GAGGCGATCAAGGAAGTTGTGGGAGAGGAAAATATCGCATATACTCCAGGGTGCAATTGTATGTCCCGCATTGTGCCACTGTCGCCACCTAAGTGCTAACACTACAAATAGCCTTCCGATTTAGTCCCCTCATCAAGGGTCATACTCCCCCAGATTCTGATTCTGAGGGTTGGTCTGTCGAGATATTTGGAGATGACCCGCAAGAGAACCCCAATGCCAAGGTCCTTGTCTCAACTACAGCCGAGAAGCAGCTTGTCGATGTTCCAGAGAGCTACCACGCAACACTCCCAACCAAGTTTTACGCCAGAGCGAAAGCCAAGTACACTATCCCTGAGTCGGGGAAACTCAAGTTCGGCTTCAGCACTTCTGGAAAGGGAAAGCTCATCATTGACGGCAAGGAGGCTATCGACTTGTGGACAAGCCAGCCTCCAAAAACCGACTCAACACCTTGCTTTAACCGCCTGTCCATGGAGAGGTTCTACGAGGGCGAATTTGAGAAGGGTCAGGTACTTGACCTCGAGGTGCTCCAAGTCAACGAGAGCCTTTCTGGCGGCGTTGGCACTGCACAAACACTCGCTGGTCGCGTTGGAATTTTTGAGCTCTACGACGAAGACCAGGGTATCAAGGATGCCGTGGAGCTCGCCAAGAAGGTTGATGTCCCCATCGTTATCACTGGCTTATCGTCAGATTTTGAGTATGAAGGCAGTGATAGGAAGCACCTGAGACTTCCCGGTCGCGTGGACGAATTGATATCCGCTGTTTTGGAGGCCAACCCCGATGCTGTAAGCTGACCTTTGTTTAGCCGAAATGCCTAGACTGACGCGTCCCAGATTATCATTACGCAATCAGGGTTGCCCATCGAGATGCCTTGGGAGTCTCAAGCAGCGACTCTCCTTCACGCCTGGTTTGGCGGCCAAGAGACAGGCCATGGCATGGCTGATGTTCTTTTCGGCAAGGTCAACCCCTCTGGAAGGCTCTCACTAACATTCCCCAAATCCATCAAGCATACTCCAGCGTATCTCACCTTTTCCAAGGCAGACTATGACATTGTGTATGGCGAAGGTGTCTTTATTGGTCATCGATACTACGAGATGGTTGATCGAGAGCCACTCTTCTACTTCGGTCATGGTCTGTCATACTCGAAATTCGAGTACTCAAATCTCACTGTCCCGAAGGAGTTTACACCAGCAGCTGATCACCAGATGCGCGTCACCGTCGATATCACCAACAAGGGCGCTTTTGCGGGCGCCGAAGTTGTTCAGCTATACATTCACCACGCAGGCAGCTCTCTTCAACGGCCGATCAGAGAGCTGAAGGCATTCTCCAAGGTCACTGTGGATGCCGATGAGACCAAGACCGCTGAACTTACTCTAGATAAGTATTCATTGTCATTCTGGTGCCAGGAGGCATCGAAGTGGAAGGCTGAAGCTGGAAAGTACACCGTGATACTTGCTTCCAGCTCAAATCCGAAGGATGAGATTGTGCGCGCAGAATTTACCTTATCCAAGACTTTCTTCTGGAAGGGCCTTTAGATATTCTGGGTACAAAGTCATGTGAAAGCCTGTCATGGGTAATAGACTTTCGTTGATCGCTTAGTCCATATGTTGTCCTTTTTGAGTGACGTTACTCGATAAGACTTTATTTATGACCAAAGGAAATTTTATGATGTTCTACCTAGGACTGTACATAACCTCTGTTGTTGAAACAATCTCGATCCCATCGGCTTTACCGTTTCTGTGGTAATGGGAATTGCTCCTGCGTGAACCAGCAATACTAGAACTTACTCTAGGTGCTGTCACCAAAACCTGGTGGTTGCCATTATCAAAGCTTTGCTGTGGCTTGGGCCAGAGTGTAGCTTCATCGTCATCGGTAACCTTTCTGCCTGACTCGGAGTCATCTCCAGATTGGAGTTCGATGGCATCAGCTTGCTTGCGACTCAACTGTTTGCGGCTCTTGATGGCATTGGATCCGCATGTTGCTCCCGAGGGCCCACCGTAGCTGGCGCTGTGGCTGCTGAAGATATTGGGTAAGATTCGCTTGAAAAAGGGCTTGAGGGAGCTGGCAGATGCGCATATGACACAGCCAGTCAACTCGGCGTACATCCAGCAGAGTTCGTATGCGAGGCCCCAGGTATAGTTAGGGCTACTAAATAGCTTGACAGTAAGAACACAATTGTAGATGGCAACAATTATGACACTGAAGACGTTAGTTTGTTAACAAAGTAACGTGGGAATTGTTACTCACAAGCCACCAGTAGTGAACAGAAACAGCAGTGACATCTTTTGCCGACGAGGAATTTGTAGCGGGATAACAATACGCAAAGGCAGCAGCAGAATGACCATGTCCATGATTACGTTGGCAACCGACGCAGCCAGGAAGAAGCCGAACTTATCCACACATTTGCCTGTCGCTTGAGCTGCAAGGTCCCACGAGGCCTTGATGGGCTGACAGCCAAAGAGGCTGATCATAGCGTAGATGAGGGCATAAAGACCAAAAAGGCTGATCAAGACATAGATGACGATGCGAAAGGTTCGTTCGGGTGAGAGGCGGAGATAGAAGAAGAGGAGAGAAATTTTGGCGAGGTCGGAGGACAGCATGTAGAAGATGTTGACAGGGATTGTCCACTGCAAGAGGTCAGTCATATCGAATGCGAAGAAGTGAATTCGTCAACGTACCTTGAGCAATGATTCGTATTGAGATTGAGTCACCTGCCAGAAGTTGGTAGCACAGCCTCCCTGAGCAACCACTGTCTTTGTTAGTATATATGAGTTGATAGGAGTAGGAAGACTTACTGCCCATGGTGCATGCATAAAAGACCCAACATGCTATAAGCGAAGCACCAGTGAGGACTGAGTATAATGTTAGCTATGCTGAACCATAGCACGGAGAGTAGAAACGTACAATCGTCGAGACGAAGAGGGTTCTTGAGCAGTCGCACTCTGGTCAAGATCCGGAGTCCATAAACGACCGTTCCAAGCGTAAACAGACAAGCACCTAAAATAATCTGTATAGTCGCAGCGCTTCCGGCTTCCCATCTGCCCTGCCCCTTGGGCGGCTCCATCATATACACCTTCTCAGCCATGGCGATTTGCGACTCGGCCGCAACAGTGTCGGTTGATCGTGGAGTAAGAAGTCAAGTTGGGGTAGGGCCATGAATTCAGTGGTGAATGAGCGATGTTCAGCTGGCAGGTTCTTCAAAGTTATTTTAATAAGGAATTGTGAGATCTGCAAGCTTATTCCTTATTCTGCTTCAGCGGCGGTTGTTGTCAGGAGCTTTCTTTTTCGTCTGCAACGGCTTCACTGCTGTTCATCAAGGATGCTCTTCCCGTTAAGCACCCGAAGCAACAAGACCGATGGTAGTACTAGGGGCCCAGTAAGGAATTTCATGCCAGGCGGGAGCTTGATGAAGAGCGCCTCACTTACCACTATGACCTACAGTTCAGGGATAGCGAAGAGTGAGCGCTGGCACTTTTGCCCCGAGAAACGTCCAGCCAACATATGTTTCCTTTTTCTTCATCAAGTTCTGCATGGCTAGCGATGCGATTCGCTTGATACAGAATGGAAAACCGGCTAATTGCAACGGTCTTTAGGGGAATCAGCTCGGCATTGGCAGTTTCCGACAAAGTGGTTTTGCTTTGTCTGATGGAACATCCACATTAACAACAATGCGTGACCTACAAATCTCATACGAACAGTATGCTAGGACAGGGTGCCGTAAGCCATTATGATACGTTCCTTGCAAAGCCAAGACCGTTGGCCAGCGTCCAGACAATGCTGACCCATGATTTTCGCAAACATCATCCAACGGCTGCAGATCACTTCTGTAGCGTGCTTGTTATCCGTCATTACATATGGGGCTTGCTTCAGGAACAACAGGGCTGAAATCCATTGCGTATCCAGGCCACTGGGCTGGGACAGAACATCCTGATCTGTGAAGGGGGCTGTGGCATCATACTCAGCACTTTTGCTCAAACACAACACGAGAGCAGATTCAGTGGAGAAGACAGATAGAACTTTTGAGAACTTCCTTCCAAGCTTGCCCCTCATCGAATCTCGTATTGGGTTTTCAGCTTCTGCAGTTTCACTGTGTTTTGACGATGTGTCACTTTTACTTTCTTTTGTCGCCTTAACCGTCTAGTAATCTGACCTTCCTTCTCTTTTCTCACTCGCTCGGGAAGATCTCATCTTACCCCTGTATCTTTCCTAGAAATCATGTAAAAAGAGAAAACAACGGTATCCACGTGGAATAAGGATCTAATCCTTGCCAGGAGATCCACATAAGCCCACAAATCCAACTTTCACTCCGTTGCTGTACTCCTCAAAAGCAACACTAGAAACGAGAATCACGGACCGGACCGCCGGAGGTTAGGCAAGCCGTTGCCTCCTGTTGATGCTAATGGTAATAAGTATCTCGTGTACGTTTCGTTTGCCGCATTTGAGCAAACTCAAGAGGAAAAAGAAAAGAGAGATCAAGGATTTGGCTCCCTTTTGCAGACCCACGTCATGCAGAGTCGGATTGGTCAAATTGCATAAGTTGTTTAATCCTTCGAGCCGTTAATGTAACTCAATCGGTTTTCCTGTAGGGATCAAGAGCCAGTCCCAAGACAGGCCCCCATTCTTTGAAACGGTTTTGCTGCGGGATCATTAGACGATACAACACTATGTGATGATCGCTTCCCTCCTTTCGGGCGCGGTGTCCTCTCGGGGGAAGAGATAACGCCGCGACTCAGTATCTTCGGTGCATACCGTCCCCCATGACTCAAGAGACTCCATTTCAAGTGCCCCATACCAAGATATCTGGAGCTTCTTCTGTAAGATCCTGGTCGTTGTGTAATTATCACTCAGTCCCCCTCCAGGACCACTCAAAGCTTGGCGCTTGGCTTGCTTGAGAAGCGTCTGGAGTCTCCTATATAATCTACCCAGTCAACAGCGGCAGCCGATACTCCATTCTCTTACGGGTTGCTTTTCCAATATCAGTTTTTCTTTTTGCGACTCCAAAAATGGCAAACCCTTACCCTTTCCAAGACAAGGTCATTGTTGTCTCTGGTGCTAGTCGCGGGACAGGCCTGGCCCTTTCGCGCTACCTTTTGGTACGTGGAGCCAAGGTTTCCATGGCTGCTACTTCGGAGGAGAATCTGGAGAAAGCCATTGCTGGCATCGAGCAAGATATTCCTGATGCCAAGGAGCGGATCATCTATTTTCCCACAGATGTCAGGAACCCTGATGATGTCAAGGCATGGATTGAAGGGACGGTTGCCAAGTGGGGAGAGTTGGACGGTGCTGCGAATGTTGCAGGTGGGACGATGAGCTCCAAATACCTTGCAGGGACACATGTTAACCCATTCGATAGCCAAGATGAACAAGAGTATTCACCCGATTGAAGACCTTGAACTCGAGGAGTTGAAGGAGGTTCTCGATGTGAATGTCATCGGCACCTTCAACAGTATCAAGTACGAGATGAAGAACATGAAACCTGGAGGCAGCATCGTCAACTGCGGCAGTCAACAGGTCAAGTATGCCTCTGGAAACATGGGAGCATACGCAGCGTCAAAGAACGCCATCCGCGGCTTGAGTCAATCAGCTGCATATGAAGGTGGTGCCAAGTACCCCAAGAATCCCATCAGAGTCAACCTTCTATGCCCGTGAGTAATCTTCAAGAGACACCAACTATCAACTTACATATATGACAGAGGATGTATTGATACCGATATGATCCGTCAACCTCTACACTTGCCCAATGGTGCAGGTACATGGACGATGACGGAGGGCGATCACTTGACGTCAATCATCAAGCGCTACTCCAAGCCAGAGGAGATTGCTGCCTCTATAGCATTCTTATTGGGAGATGAGAGTAGATTCATGACAAAGCAGGAGATATACGTTGATGGTGGCTGGATGGAGGCCAACTATGTAGCTTAGGTGTCATCTCAGACCCGAGTTGTGGACGTTGACGCAACAAATGGTATTTACAACCTCAAGTCTCGCATTCTTGCGCCTAGAGACTGATTTGTAATGTAATCTACTAAAAATTCCGCATTACCAATGCATCTTCGTGGGTTTCCTCCGTCATATCAAAGCTAGGTGCTAGACATGAAGCTTCAGCACATTCCCCAATAGGAAACTGCACGTCTCGGCGAAGTCAGCTCGGACGAATCAAAGCACCAGAAGCTGGTTCTGACGCTTTCCGTAATTGGCAACAGCACTTCTTGGCAGATTTGCAACATTCAAGTCTTGGAGCAAGATATTTACTTCCGAGCAGTATATAAATCCAACAAGCTTACTATGTTAGTCTCCAGTTCTTCATTACATCCTTCACATCTTATCGCTCCTACTCATCTTCACTGCCAAAGCAAGACACCATGACTTCCATTGGAAAATCACCTCTCAAGCTGATTCTTGGAGCCGCAAACGTGAGTAGTCGGTCGTCTATGTTTGAGTTTAAACTAATCCAACACTCTTGTAGGTCGGAGACAAGGAAGCTGACCCTTGGGCTCGTTATGATACACCAGATGAGGTCAAGGCTTTCATCAATGTCTTCGCTAAACGAGGCTACACTCAGCTCGACACTGCTGCAGTCTATTCGCCCCAGGCTCCCTACAGCTCAGAGCCTCGCCTCGGCGCCGTCAATGCAGGCGACAAATTCAGTATCGACACCAAAGCAGATTTCATGAAGGGTCATACCAAAGAGAACATCACACATGATATCGACAACTCACTCAAGCATCTGAAGATCAACCAGATCAACGTCTATTATCTGCACGTACCTGATCGTAACAATCCAATTGAGCCAGCCCTTGAAGCTCTCAACACGGCTTATAAGGATGGCAAGATCAAAACCTGGGGCATCTCCAACTTCCGAGCCGATGAAGTTCAAGAAGTGATTGATATCTGTGACAAGAGAGGCTTCGTCAAGCCTTCTGTTTATCAGGGTCACTACAACGCACTTGTCCGCGCTGGGGAGAAAGAACTGTTCCCAGTTCTCCGAAAGAATGGCATGGCGTTTTATGCCTATAGTCCAGCTGCTGGCGGTCTCTTTTCTGGAAGCCACAAGAACCCTGCTCCAAATGGACGATTTGACCCGGCAGTGAGTAACAATCTCTGACGAGATTCTGTCCGAGAATATGACTGACATCTTGTAGCACAAATCGGGAAGCATCACTAATTCGCTCTACATCAAGCCATCCGTTCTTGGAGCCGTCGACAAGGCCATTGAAGTGTTCGCCAAGCATAACATTGGAGGGCATGCTGCAGCCCTCAGATGGACGGCGCATCACAGCATTCTCGACAAGAAATACGGCGACGGGTTGATCATCGGTGCATCTAGTCCCCAACAGCTCGAGAGCAATGTTGATACGGTTGAGGAGGGGCCGTTGCCTGAAGAAGTTGTCGCTGCTCTTAACGACGTGTACGAAGAGGCTGGTGATGAGGTGTCTTACCATATGTAGTTGGCTTGCTCAGACTAGGCTTAATAGAGTAGGAGCACTTCTTGGCATCAGATCGTGAATTATTAAGCATCTTCGTCAACAAATACAATGCTCAAAAGCGTCCCCTAATCGTGACAGACTGTCAATACTTCGTGTCAATCTCTTTCAGTATGCAATTCATTACTGTAACTACTCCTGGGCAACGTGCTTCAGCCAAGACGGCGCGAAAGGCTCACTCTCACGCAGCTCGCGTCGCCCATGCACGGACGCGGAAACAAAGAATAGTGGACTACCATGACCAAAAGAGACAACAGGAAGCGAAGAGCCATGATGGACCAAATAATCTGCCTTCAGAGCTTAACCTACCACCGACCACCGGCTTACAAAACCTAACGTCTATACCTTTCTCGTTACCTGGCGATTTTCAACCAAGTAACATTATTTATTTTATTAAATCGCTCTCGACATTTGAGCACTCCATCTTTGGTCAATGTGAGTTTCGCATGATTGGCGTAGGGTAGCATTCTAACCATCCCGCGCAGATGTTCAAACTGTCTTGCCCTCCCAAATTGCACATTGCCCTATCATCATGGACATTGCGGAACAAGCAGTTGAGATCAGAAGCAACTGGATCTTCTTTGTTTCTACTGATCCGGTTCTTCTACGAGGCTGTCTCCTTGCAGCCTGTCGATACTTGGCTCAAGTTGAGCTGCGCGATGAGTATGTATTGTTAGCCATTCAGTACAAGCAGTACTATTTACAGGGCCTTCGGAAGGCACTTTCATCACGTGGTCTTACTTCGCGTCGGAATGCGGTTGCAATGACCACGGTTCTCGCGCTCGACGAGGTGAGTTAGTCGCTACAGAGAGAGATACCATGCTGACTGGGTCTATAGATTACTTGCGGAGATCATCTGATCGCTGCAAAACACGTCCTTGGTGCCATGAAAATGATTGAAGAGGCTGGAGGACTTGAACGTCTTGGGCTCAATCATCTTGTTCGCTATGTCCTCTACAACCTCATGTTCGGCAAGCGATTATCAGAATGGGATATGGATCTCCATCTTGCCTCAACACTCATGACATCAGACTCAATACTACCTTGATCATGCCAAAACATATCCCGAAACAATAGCGTTCATTCCACAACCCCTATTAATTGGTCACCCGATCGCGATGTTCCGACTCATGCTCATTTCTCCAACGTGGTCTGGCGCATCTTTGGTCTCGTCTAACTAGTGGCGCGACGTGTTATTTCCGCGTTAAGGCTGGCATGCAAACTTGGGCGGATAAGGTATACAAGGTTAAAAAAATGCATAGTTGTTTATTTTCGAGACTCGGGCGGTAGTGAGACATTTCCAAGGATCGTCTGAGACCTCTTATACGGATCAAGGGGCACAAATTTCCGCGCGAGTTCCGGAGGTCGGCGGGCTGTCAACAGTCTATAATCCTGATATTATGATTGTTATAGCCCTTGGATAACTATGAGTACGCTGTTTTGCAGCTTTAATTGCTTGAGCTTCTAGTTCAGTCGATTTGCCCCGAAAATTAAATAAGCTTTGACGATCCCGCTCCATCCAAGAAACAGAATCTCAAAATCATCAAGTTATCAACTGATATTGAAATTAAATGGCTGGGTCTCAGTCCGCCCTATCGTGGTTCTGTGAAGGGGTCTAGGAATCTTGGTTCAAGCTTAAAGAAAGCTTATACGTTGGATTGCTTCAGCCTGCGAGCCAAGCAGTCTGGGCATCGGACATCGGCAAGCTAGATTCCACCCCAGAAATGAAGTTTAATGGTTCAAAACCCGTGATTGGATAATTACAGAGGGAAGGCTGCGACTAAACCGAGGGCCCGAGACATTGTGTTCACTACCCCTTCAGCTAATCAGCCGATTCTTGCCTCCGACTTGAACTCAATTCTAATGGCGATGGGGCCTTTCGGAGATTTCTGAGCCAAGATAGAATTGGACGAGTAATTTTGGGCATTTTAATTGTGTATGAAATGTATGGTTCAGACAAACAACAAGAAATCCGTTGGCCAAGCCGGCAACAACATGACCTCCCTTCAATAGCTTCTTGGCACTGCAGCATTCTTCGTTCGAATACGAGGTCATTTGATGAAACCCATCAAATATGCATCTGAAACATTCCAAAGGGAAATGTCTCGCATGAGGTAAATCTTTGACCCCTTCATCCTTGAAGCATTTGACAGGCTGGCACTCTAATCTGGAGAAATATCGAATTTCCCCAATTCCAGCGGCCCTACCCCAGATTCCGGACCAATCCATCGTGGCTCTGACCGAAGCTAATCTGAATGTCTCCGAGGGAAGTCATCTCATGAAATTCTGAGTATAAGAAGGCTGTAGCATCTCTCCAAATCAACTTCCTCAGCTCAGCCAGCATCACTCCTTCACAGCCGGTTGCGTCTGCCACTCTTTACTAACCCAGTTTCTCACATTCACTCTTTTTGTTTTCTGTTTTATATCCAACTTAATCACTCTCTTTTCTGATATCCATCTTTCAAGATGAGATACTCCCTCGGTTTCTCCGGTCTTTTGACCGTGGCCTTGAGCTCTACTGGCCTCGCCCAGACTACTACTCCTGGACCTTCTACCACCGACTTCTCCACCTCTGGTGGCATGAACGTCCCCACCTCGGTCACCTCCCAGCTGCCCGTCACTTTCACCACCACCATGACCACTATGGCCAGACCTACCAAGTCTCCCGTCCCTGGTAAGTGTGAGTGCGGCACTGGAACCTGCTTCACCCCCGAGATCTGCAGCATCGAGTGTACCACCGTGTATGAGGACTGCTGCAGCATTGAGGGCTCTGACATCCAGGTTTGTAAGAACCAGTACACCGTCTGTCTCGGCTACAACCCCTACGAGTCTGTCTTTGTCAAGCCCACAAGCTGCAAGCACGACCGGAGCTACTACATCGAGTACGAGTCCAAGTACACCAGCTCTTACTTCGAGGAGAAGTACGGCTACTACTACTCCTCTTCCTCTTACTCCACTTCTTCTTACCACTCTGGCTACCACGCCGGATACTACACTGCCGAATACTGCTGCCTTGAGTGCACCACCATCTACGATGAGTGCTGCGCTGTTCCCGGTGCTGATATCGCTATCTGCAAGGAGAAGTACACTGTCTGCCTTGGATACAACCCCTTCATTGTGGTTCCCTGGGAGGTCCCTTCCGTCTGCAAGCACGAGGAGTCTTACTACAAGGAGTACGAGTCCAAGCACGGCGAGTCTTACTACAACTCCAAGTACGACGAACACTACGAGCACTCCGACGTTGAGGTCGATGTTGAGCAATGTTGCGTTGAGTGCACTACTATCTACGATGAGTGCTGCAAGATTCCCGGCTCTGATATTGAGGTTTGCAAGAAGGAGTACACCATCTGCCTAGGATACAACCCCTTCATCGTTGTCCCTTGGGAGAAGCCTACTATCTGCAAGCACGGAGACTCTGGCAAGACCGACTATGGCCACAAGGAGGTTGAGGTTACCGTTGAGGAGTGCTGCGTCCAGTGCACTACTGTCTACGATGAGTGCTGTGCCGTCCCTGGCGCTGACATCGCTATCTGCAAGGAGAAGTACACCGTCTGCCTCGGCTACAACCCTTGGGATGTCACCCCCTTCGTTAAGCCTACTGTCTGCAAGCACGGTGAGGACTCTGGTTCCAAGGGAAACAACAACAACGGCGGTTCCAGCTCCAGCTCCAGCTCCAGCTCTGAGGAGGAGTGCTGTGTCCAGTGTACCACTGTCTATGATGAATGCTGCTCCATTGATGGCCACGACATCGAGGTCTGCAAGAAGGAGTACGTCGTCTGCCTTGGCTACAACCCCTGGGACGTTACTCCCTTCGTCAAGCCTACTGTCTGCAAGCACGGTGAGGACTCCGGCTCCAAGGGCAACAACAACGGCGGTTCCAGCTCCAGCTCCAGCTCCAGCAAGTCTGGTGACAACTCTAAGACCTCTGGCTCCAAGTCCGACAGCTCCAGCAAGTCTGGTGGCTCCGATGAGGAGTGCGCCGTCGAGTGCACCACTGTCTACAAGGCCTGTTGCGACGCTTCCGGTGCCATCATCGAGACCTGCAAGACTGCCTACACCACCTGCCTCGGCTTCAACCCTTGGAACGTCACTCCCTATGTTGAGCCCACCGTTTGCAAGAAGGGTGGCAAGCCTTCTGGTGATGATGTTGTCATCGTCTCCGGTGGTGAGCGTGTCCGCCCTGTCCTGGCTCTCCTTGCCATGGGTGCTATTGCTCTCCTCTGTTAGTACTCCCGTCCTATCCGCATTAGCCCCCACTGACCTTCTCACAGAAACGACTAGCGACTATGTAGCCGCAGAATCTTCGCTTCGTTCTTCAATTTCCACTCCGTTGCTCTGGGGCACCCGCACCTTGCCTTCTTACTTTCTCAGTGGGATGTCTGTTTCTGTGCAGTGGATGCTTAACATTCTTATCTTTTGATGATCTTATGGTTTTATGGGTGTTGCCGCATACTCGGCCTAAAATAGTGCACGATAGACACGAATGTAATATCGACGACTGGATGGAGATTCTCTGGATGGCGGTCCTTGGCTCTTGGGGGCGATTACATGTATCCATAGTCTACTTTAGACTCTATGTCCAGAGATCAATTGACTTACTTCTCTGTCAATGTCTCACTTCGGCCCGGGAGCTCGTATGCTTTGTATTACGTGTTTATTTGAGTTTCGTATGATCATCCTTGGTCTGAAATTATGTTCAATGCAACATCAAACGGCACTTGATTTTGACTTTGAGCATGGACGTTGGCCTTCATTTGCAAGTGTCCACTAACTAGTAGAGGAAATGAAGGGCTCTGCAGGTGCGTGCAACGCGTGTACCCCGGATTTTCTCTTTTGCGGGATGAAAACATGGCAAACGATTAATCCACCAAACGAAGCAGCTCAAGCTGCATCTAGATCTGGCTACAATCTGATCGAAATGGGCTGCTACACTCGTTAAAGTTAGTCACTTTGGGGGCAAGGCAATCGACTTGAAACGGCTGAAACCAACAGCGGAAGCTTACGCTCCGGACAAACCGGATGATACTGGAGCAGGGGCCTCGTATTTTTAATGAACAAAATATTCTCCACCAATCACAAGAAACTCCATTGAGCTGTGTCTGGAGTATAGAGTTGGAGTTATATGATGATTTACTAAGAGATGAAGTTTAAAAATGCTACATAAATACTGAGGCCGTTGACACAGACATTTTCCTGGAGGCTCTGTTTCTCATCATTGGCTTGTTTCGGTTATCCTGATCTACATCACCATGAAGTTCCTCACAACATTGAGTTTCGTCACAGCGGCATTCGCTGCTAGTCGAACATCTGCACCCTCTGGATGTATCACTGTCAAGAAGTCACCTGGAAGCGGTCAATTCGGTACCGTTCAAGCTGCAGTCGACTCTCTCTCAACTACGGCGTCTGGAAAGCAATGCATCTTCATTGACCAGGGTACCTACAATGAGCAGGTCCTTGTTCCTAGTCGCAGCGCTCAACTGTCAATCTACGGCTACACTACCGACACTAGCGGATACAGCGGCAACAAGGCCACCATCACAGCGAAAAAGAGCCAGGCTGATGGCCTGAGCAACGACGGCACTGCTACCCTCCGTGTCAAGGCTGCCAACTTCAAGCTTTACAATGTCAATGTTGCCAACACTTACGGACAGGGCAGCCAGGCTGTTGCTCTGAGCGCTTATGCCGACAGCGGATACTAGTATGTAAACTGGCAACTCGACTAGGATTATGACTAATTAGCTGTAGCGGTGTCGCTCTCACTGGATTCCAGGATACTCTTCTGGCGCAGCAGGGTTACCAGCTGTACTCTAAATGCCTTATTCAGGGTGCTACCGACTTCATTTTCGGCCAGACTGCTTCCGCCTGGTTTGAGAAGATTGACCTCCGAGTTGTCGCCGCCTCAGTTGGCTACATCACCGGTATGCTATTCATGCTAAGGTATCAGACACAGTTACTAACACGAAACAGCCAACGGCCGAGACTCGGACTCCAACATGTCATACTACGTCTTTAACAACTGCAACATTGCCGCAGCTGCTGGCAACGCCGTCGCCAACGGTGCATACTACCTTGGTCGACCTTGGCGCCAATATGCCCGTGTTGTCTTCCAGAAGACCAATATGAGCTCTGTCATCAACTCCAAGGGCTGGTCTATCTGGAACACTGGCGAGGAGAACACTGCCCACGTCCTGTTTGGAGAGTATGGTAACACTGGTGCTGGTTCTCAGGGCCAGCGCGCCTCTTTTGCCACCAAGCTCTCCAATGCAGTCTCTATTTCTACTGTTCTTTCAGGAAACTACGCTTCTAAAGGCTTCTACGACGCTTCTTACATGTAAAGCATAACAAAAACAATACGCTGAGCCACCATGTACATCAGATCTAGACATTATTCCATTCCGTGTACATATTTGGGCCAACGGAAGTACTAGCCTATTTGAATAAACACTTGCAAGTAGCTGGCTCAGGCAACTCGTATATACTCTTCCATTCGTGAGTAAGGCCCCTCTTGCCAGGGTTCCCTTTTCTATCGTCTGTAAAAATATTATGTGGAATATGGATCTAAGATGCTACGCTTTCACTAATCTGTACCCGCTTTTCAGCATGTTAAGCCTTCTCGGCTAAGTCTTCATGGCCTTTTTTGAAGTGGTGTTGTGGATTGTTGTGCAGGTGCTCATGCAAAGGAGTGAGTGATCTAAACTATAGTGGAATACCTATTATTATTTAGTTTACTGCGCATTAGAACTACAAACTATTATTATTACATAAGAGGCCAGATAGATAATATGTCTTCTCTGTTGATATATGCTCTAGGCCACGAGTATCAAGTCCACATAGCACATCTGGCTCACAACCTGAACACTATACCAAAACACCTCACTTATTGTTGCAGCACTTTATTGATAGGAAGAAAAGCTAGATTATGACACTTTAAACGGCCTTGAAGGCAAAATACTAAAAGCTAATGCAAAACATCGTTCTCTATTTTGCATCGAGTGTCTTTTCTGCATGCATTATCATTGATGTGATATGGCATGATAGTCGGCTCTTCTGGTTATATAGCTAACCTAATACTACTATACCACGATGGCTACTACAGCAGTCCCGGTGAAGATCATAATGGCAGAATTTGAAACTTCCGCGGTTGCAGGTCATCGTGATGGCCAATGGCTCCTCAAAAAGCTGTCAAGCTGGCTCTATTTAGAGACAAGAGGCAATCATCTCTCGAATTTCGTAGCTACTCATAGGAGTTTTAGTAGACTGTTACCAAATGCCGCTACAAATACACACCAGTATGGCTATACTTGAGAGCCTCTGGGGAATTATTACGTGCCATCATGTTAGCTGAAGTCTAGCAGTGGAATAACGAAACGCCGTGGCCTCCCATAACTTGTAGATGGGCCAATTTGGATAGCACTGAAGGCTTCAAGATTTAAAGTGTCTGAATCTGTCTTCTTATCAAATATGTTATCGTATTCGTAAACAAGTGACATGAGTTGAACAAAGAAATCGAATTTGACTATAAAGACTACTATAATGACAGGATGAAGAATAACCCAAAAGAAGAGTCCTCCAATGCGAACAGGAAAGATAGCAGTAAGGACCGACTGTGTATGTTCCTTCGATCTCACCAGGTGCACTTGGTTGCAGTGTAGACGTACGTCCAGCATCTCTGGCACACGCCTTGCCAGCAACCCTCGGGGCCACCACAAGCCTTAGATGTGTCACTGGTTCGCTTGAAGCATTTCTTTGTGCCACCTGAATACACAATGTGCGCCCTCAGCCTGGCGTCGTCAATACAGATCTCCTTGATCCAATCATACTTGGTCTTTCGACAGCCGTCTCTAAAGCCACCAAGCGAGTACCATTTACCGTCATCACCAAGATAAGCTGAGGTATAGTAAGGGATAATCTGTGGTCCCGTGGTGACATAGGTCTCGATTCGGGCGGCATCAGCAGCACCGAGCAAGGAGAGGGCGAAGGCCGCTGTTGGAAGAGTGAACTTCATGGTGACTATAGAGTTTTATGAGCCTCGAGCTGGCTTGGTGAGGAACTGAACTGAGAACACTTACGTGTCGAGAAAGCAAGTTTCAAGTTGTGAGAGGCTGGTTGTATCTGGTGGATTGAATGTGAGGATGATGAGGAATCTGGAGAATCAATGTAATGTGCAGTGTCTCTGATCCCTTATATAGAGAAATTCTGTGCCTCGGACAACCACGTGCTGTCCATTGTCTTACGATGGCTTCCGTGAAATAATTGTGAAGTAATGCAAGTCTGTCCCTTGAATATCGTGACCAACTGTATCAGACAGCAGCCCAAACACCTCACCACTGTTGGCCCCTGCTATGCGTGGTTTAGTACGAGTTATGTGTGGGCTCTGAATAGCTTCAGTGATGTTGGTCGAGTTTTCGGGACATCGGCACAGGCTTCTACAAAATCATTGTTCTAGACCTGAAGAGCTTGCGTCGTATTGCCAGGTCTGTGGACGTACTGGTAACTATGTTGGGATATCAGTCATAACCTCAGGCGCAGTTATGTCTTGGCTAACTCAACCGACAGCTTTATCGACTACGGCATGCCCGTTGGTATCCACTGTCTCATGATCTACAAGTGGGAAAAAGAGGCACAGACTGGTGGCATTGCCAGTTGGGCGGTTAAATAGAAGGCAGCCTCGTAGAATGCTACTCTTGTACTCAGTGTTGCCTAGACGGTTCTACCTTCCTTATCCACGGGTGCACTAGACTCCTAACCCTTCTGCAACATAACCCATTTAGCCTTGTGCAAAAGTCTCACAAACCAACAAATTCCAATGACCTCCTGCATTGAATACGATTTGCATTGCTAGTTCGACAGGGCCCAATGACCTGACTTTTCTTTTTGCTGTTGGTCGTGCCTCTTGTGAAAGGTCATCTGATGACCCCTGCAATTATATATGTATGTTGGTTCAGCCAACCTCTAAGCGAGTTTACTGGTTAAGAAGGTTCCATGGCCGAGACTTTGATTTCGGGCTCCATATTCCATAGAAATGTGAGTTGTAATTATCCAGTGGGGCGATGTCTGACCTTGATGCTTGCTCATCATCATATCATACAGATAGCCTCGGTAGGTCTTTTGTATCGGCTTTTCTCTACTCTCGCAAACGTCTTCCCTAGATTCCCTCGCATTATCAGCAAATTTTTATTTCCCCGAATGACCAGAGCTAGGAGAGAATTAGTTAATAGTTCGCATCTGAGTCCGAATGAAGGCGAATAGATCAGCTCGTCTCTTCTAACAACAAGTCTCGCAACTTATTCCCAATTAACCTTTCTCGTCCTGGCTGTGGGATGTCTTGCATCATTTGTTTAAGATCACAGCTGAAGCCATGGAGTCATCATCACACTTGCTCGTCAAAGCAGAAGAATGTTCGAGAAACCGACACAACTCGACAAACTGTGTTGATATTTTTGTATGTTTGGCTCTCAGGCTCTGGGTTGTTCGATGTCATATTTTCTACTGTGAGTTAGTGTTCTACTACGGTAGGTGATTGAAGGCCACTGCCAACCAAGCTTGGCAAGCTTCCTTATTGCTATTGTCACGAGCTGATGCTGAAATAGTCGACGGGCTGTGTTCACGGCCTGAATGGAAGCAGCGGTATTTCTCCATCGAATATATTAAAGCTAATTTATCTGCATTCTTCTGAAAGCAAGCCAGCATCCAATCTCTCCCAGTCCAACCTCAATCTTTGCAAATGATCTCGATGGTTATTACAGCAACCGCGATCACCAGTCACCGGATATATGCCAACTAAGCCTTGCTGGGATCGGCGACAGCAGGCTCGATGTTGACAATGTTGGCGTGGGAATCGGCCTCGAAAAGCTTCTTCTGGGTAGAGGTCTTGACAGGGCTGTCGGATGAGAAGATGTGGTCGAGTTCTTCGAGAGTTCGGTTCTTGGTCTCGGGCACAAGGAAGTAAAGAATGATGGACTGGCAGACACACCAGACGCAGAAGACGATGTAGGTCTTCCAGGCAATGTTCTTGAGGGCGACAGGAATACCGAACTGCATGACAAGCATGGCAGCGTTGGTGAAGAGAGAGCTGAAGGCCATACCCTTGGCTCGGATCTCGTAGCTGAGGACCTCGACAGGGTAGAGGGCCTGGAGAGGAGTCCAACCAACGGAGTAGAAGATCTGGAAGAGGTAGACCCACGCCAAGATGGCTTTGCTTACCGGGCCGGTAACGGCTTCAGTTTGTGCCTTATCATCAAGGTCGGTAATGTTGGCAATCGAAGCGGGAACGGTAACACCGACCCAGCAAAGAGCGCAAACAAGGTTGACAACGATAAGCATGGGTCGACGGCCAACGGTATCGGTAAATCCAGCTCCGATAGCAGCGAAAACGATCTGGACGGCATTCATACCCAAGGCAACCCTGGTCTTTGTTTTATCACCCTTGATACCGGCGGTGTCAAGGAAAGCGCTCAGGTAGTAGGAAACAATGCTGTTTCCAGCCCATTGACCGAAGAGCGAGACGAGACAGTTGCAGGTGAGGCGGTACATAGAGGCCTTGTTGCGGAACAAGGCGCGGTAGTCCCACCATCGCTTATCGCTACCGTCCATCTCAAGATGCTCCTCATACTCATGGAGCTGAAGCTTGACCCACTCGCTATCAGGGTTGCCGTGGCCATGAAGTTTAACGAGGTTCGCTGTCGCAAGTTCTTTCTGTCCACGGGTGTATAGCCATCGAGGCGACTCGGGCAGCAGCATCGAGAAGCAGAAGATGATGCAAGGGAACATGAGCTGAAGGCAAACAGAAATCATCCAAGAGGTGTTGCTTCCCTCGTATTCCAGACCTCCGAGAGCGGCGCCACTGGCGACGAGAGCACCAACGGGCCACATGACATTGTACAGGCCAGTAATGATACCGCGATGGGCAGGGTGAGAAACCTCGACGACGTATGTAGGACCGGCGGCAGCGGCAATAGAGACACCGAAACCCAGGAAGAAACGACCAGCCATGAACTGATCAACACTGGCAGTCTTAATGCAGGCAATCTGGATAATGATGCCGAGGATGATGATGAACGAGCCAATGGTCATACCAGCACGACGACCCCAGGTATCGATAGCGGGACCAACGGCAGGAATAGCAACGACGGAGCCGATCTGGTACATGGAAGTGACGATACCTAGGAAAATAATAAAATCAGTCTCGCGATCAATCAACTCAGCGCCACGGAAGACTTACCAGCACCGATACCCTTGTTGTCAACACCAAAGAAGTCCATGAAGTCGCTGTTGGCGAGAAGGGTTCCGAAAAGCGAACCGTCGTAACCGTTGGCGGTGGAACAGCAGAAAGCGACCATGCTGGCGAAGATGAGGACTGGAGCCGCCATCTTAGGCGGGGGCTCCTTGATCATGGCCTGCTGGAAGGCCTCATCACCAATGGCCGTCTTGACGATGGCAACCTCGTGCTTCGGCTACCAAAAGAAGTCAGTATTTTCTCAATTGCTGTATTGAGCGGAGAAAGACGCACGTTCTTCTCATCGTGCCTATCGCTGTGGATGGATTCGGATCCCATGTTGATGTTTCAGCGCCGACGCTGTGAATTATCTTTCTGGGTGTGTTTGTTGATTGATGGTTGAGATGGGTCTGAGCTGGAAACAAGACTCTGGGATTCAAGATGGATCAAGGGAATATATATTAAAAGTCGAGATGCTGAGGATGGTGGTGTTCGTCTGCATCGCAAATTGAGTCCGTCCGTGTGCCTGCCAACTGCTACACAATGGAACACGGTCTGCAGATCCGATACAACCCACAAAGATCTGAAAGGGCTGGTAAGTTCTGTCTGTCCAGGGCCACGGATCGACGGTCGACCTTCCGAGAGCTGAATCAAGTGCTGCACTCTTACGGCCTAGACTGATCTGACCAGAACGGCCAAGTCCTATCCCTGAACGCGAAATTCACGTGGGATGGGGAAGCGAGAATTCGGTATTGACGCACCAAGCGTCTGATTCATTATCCGATAATGCAGTCATGTGCGCTGGGCCCCGATTCAAGTGTGCCAGCGGCGCTTAACACTCGCTCGATGAGTAGTGATCGTGCTTCTGTCGGCTCCGTGGTCCGCCTTGCATCTAACAAGCTCTGTCTTCCCTGGAACCTAGTCGGCTCACTTTGCGGGCAGCCGAGATGGCTCTTACGATTCCCCGTGGAGAGGGATGCGGGTTAGACGTGGAGGCCAAAATTACTGTCCCCCCGGACTGCTTCTGTTTAAGGTAAGGAGGAACTCTTTGTGTTGGCCGGCCCGGGATCCCGCTGGGTGATTGGTTGAGATCCTTGCTGCTGAAAGCGGACAAAAGTTCCAGACCACGAGACTGCTATGAATAGGGTCAGATTAGGGTAATGTACGATCACCTTTATTGCGGTTAGAGTTTATTCTCGAGATGTACGAATATCCTGAAGAGTTCCTGCCCCAGATGATAATCTTTTCTCCACAACTCTATCGACTGTGATCTTCGTGACATTCGATCTCACGATAGAGTTGGTCAAAGCAGTCCTTATTTCGCGGGCCTTCATGGTCAAGACAAGCTTACTCCCCCGCATTCCAATTGACCAATTCTCCACGAATAAACAGTCTCGTTTACGGCCCGACTCCTCCGACCCCATGGCAATTTGATCCCAAATAAGAAAAGACACATGCGGAAAAAGCGGGATTGCAACCCCCCTCGATGATCTGGGGTAAGCTTTTTCTCTTCTCCAGTCACAGGTGCCGATTCGGTCCGCATGTTTACCAATGAACGAATAAATCGACGGAAGCCGAAGACCAGCTTGCCGGGCTCAACAAGGCTAGCCTCCGCAGTCGTTTGACTGTTTGACAGATCAAGGCGGCAGCGCCTTTGACGAGCAGCGGTAACGGTTTTCCACCACGGGTCGTTAATCGGCTTGATGGGATGACATTCCGGATTCTCACCTGAGGATGCTTCTTTTCATACAGCGTGACTGACAGCGGCCGGTCCGCACCAAAAGAGGCCATTGTCGTGGGTTAGGGTTCATAACTGACCCAGAACAACGGCTGCCCACGCCGCCCAGAGGCTGGGCCGATATCCCGTCAAGGGTGCCTCTCTTGGCCTACTTGGCCGATTCTAGATTATGAATAGACTATTCCCAAGCATCAGATTTGTGCCTTTGGGGGCTCATGGAGAGCTCTATTGGGCAACCATGTTGCCATTCCGCACCTTATCTTATCATTCCATGATGTGACTGGGCTCCTGGGGGGGTTAAAATTCTGGTCCGACTGTGCCACAGGTTGATCTCGAGCTTGTCAGGAATAGCGAAATTTGTACAATCTCGGTGCTTGCCGAAGCATTCGAGACTCGACTTAGAGCCACGTTAATCTCGGGTCACTCCAGTCTCGAGGCTATCATGTCTCGACGTCTTGAACTTCAAGCAGCAGCCTTTGACACAAGAATGGGGAATTTGTGATTGCAGGTCTCGTGATGCTTCTCATGATCAATCGCTTTGGTGAAAGGCTGTACCAACGTCACTACACCACAACAAAGCGATATCAGAACATCAGCTACTCGGCAGTAGCTTAGCTACAGTCAAGTGAAGGCTTGCCGACATAGCCGTGTAGATCTCCAAGTGGCCTTTCTCAAATGAGTATAAGTACAACGATCTATTCTCGTAATGGTGTGGAAGGGCTTGCAGGACTTGGGAATATGCAAGCATGCCCTGGGCCTCTCTGGGGTAAGATCTTGGCGCCCAGTGTCTGGGCAGCCCGACTTTCCGCTACTTTGGATTTCCAATGAACAGGTGTCGATGACCCGAGAGGCATTCCCGAGACGATGCCCTCATCTTTGGGTGGATGCACGGGGCGGTGGTCCTGGGGCTCGAACTTTGCTGTCTGGTGGCTTGACGGTAAGACCATATGTTCGATCGACAGCCAGGCAGACTGAAATCGTTCTGCTGGCTTTGTTGTCGTGGCAATTAGGGTCCTTCCGACGTAAAAGTTTGTCACATGAGCTATTCAATACTCGTTCATCATGCTACCCTGTGCCATGCCAAGCCGTCTGTTAGAGCGCCTTGGTATACGGAAGCCAATCATCTGTTGGCTAGTCAAGTAAGGGTGATGAAAGACTTTCCTCTTCGTCATTCCAGTTTTTCCGAAAGCCCTCTGATGTGAAATGGGAACAGTCATGGTGATCATGTGGTGCGATAGAGCACTTATTTTACAGAAGAATAAGAAGTCTAAGAATACATTGCTATATTTTATTATTACTTAGATATCAATAACTGAATCAAAAGCCAGGACCTTACACAGCGGATACTCTCTCTGTATGTTACGGAGATGGCTGCACACTGCGAAGTTACCTTACGAAAACCTGCGGTTCTGGAGGGCAGTTGTTTGAATGAAAGTGTCTGAAAGTGTTATAACACTAACAGATAAAATGGTATCAACCGCAGTAATAAGTATTATCTGTTAACACACAAACTGAGCTATCATGCCACCAGCATTCTTCACACTGGATACTCGAGACTACCATGGGCAGAGTTACTGCATTTATCTCTTTGTACTTGACATGTCATTGAAAGGTTTGTTGGGGGATATTATTCAACATTAATAAGTGTTGTTCAGGGTAGGTTCGAAGTATCGCACGCAAAGTACGGTAGTTTGATAAGATAAGATAAGATACAGTAACAATACCTTTTTCAGTCTCCAGGGTGAAACATGCAGAGATTGATTGACATGTTAATATAGCTAAATCTCTAAGTGATGCCCAGAAATCCACTTTCAACCTCAATCTCTTGGCTGAATACTATGATAAAAGTGCTTTGGCCATTCCTTATGTGTGTGCAAGCCTCCCGTCTGTTGGATAATGTGTCACGATAAGATAACATTAGATAAGATAAGACCAGGTGCGGGGGGCGCGAAAATGTCGCGTCGCGCTCTACGTATGGTAAAAAATGCTTCCTATTGGTTAAATCAAACGCGTCCTCTAGGAGTGTAAATCTATGACTGTATCAGAAATGGCTTGAGCAGGCGCTGTCAGGGTTGGACAAATCATTAGGAGAAGCAGTAAGCGACTTGATAGAGGCCTCTACCGTCACCTAATCGACAGTCAGAAAGCGCAAAAATGCTACCCTGTTCATTGAAGGGTTCCAGAAGGGCCTTGGTAGGGCTGTGCATCCTCGACTGTCGATCAAGTGCCGAGAAAATAGTCCAAGACGCTATGGCTTCTTCTTGTGATTGAGAATGGTTTTCGCATCTGTTGCCTGTCGAATGCTGTGAGTGGTCGTCTGACTTACTCGATTCGGTCGCCATTTCGACGCTACGAGGTGAGCATCACGGGATTCGGCAAATCTGATGATTGGTCTAACGCCAACCCTCTGAATGCTCAGCCATACTACGGAGATCGTCTAAGTCGATTCGAAGCATGTCGATAGACTTACTGATTTTGGCACTTGTTTAGATTATTCAACCTTCATCTCTGTATATATATGTCTAGATCTTGACTATTTTCTCGCCCATAACAGAATATTTCATTTTACTCCCAATTGCCAGACCACTTACAAACACAAACGAATCATGGGCATTCTAAGAGACACGATCGGCTCAGCTATAGGAGCTGCAGCAGAGAGCAGTCAGAAAAAAAGATCCCCCTATAATTCAAGGCAAATGCGACCAACACGAGGAACTCTGTCCCCTTATGATGCATTTCCATCCTCGGCTCAAGGAGGGCAGCCACGCACAAGACAAAATTGTAACCGGAAGTCGATGGACCAGTCGCTGGAGACAGAGACTTTATCTGCTCGAGATGGCTTCAGCAGCCAACAACAGCCTGGATATTGTTATAACGACGAACCGCCGTCATATTCCCTGCACGCCTGCGATGCACCCTCGAGCAGTCGACCTAGAAGCAGCCAGATGCCTTCACAGATCAATATCTACCAACAGCCTTCATATAGTTACTCTTCCCCTGAAACCATATCCTCGAACGCACGATTCCCTCATGACCAAACTTCCTTCCAAAATACCGACTTTCGACCGCTCATTCTCCCTCAGACTGCTTTTGGAGCAGGGGAGCCCTTCTTACGAGGTTATAGTTCTGAGATCAGTAAACATGGAATCTCACGCGATCAATTCCTGCGAGTCGTGGATGAGATCAATGTCACCCGCACGCCCAACCCAGAAGTACAATTATTTCAAATGGGTGCTGGCATCGCTGGGTGGTTCGTGTAAGTTGACATCAGCCAATTTTTGTGGCTTTGAAGACTAACAACTTTCTCCATTAGACCAGGCGTTGCCAGTATTGGGCTTATCGCAGGTCAGGTCGGCATTGGTGTTGCTACAGCGGTCGGCCATGCATCAATAGTTTCCAAAGCATTATCCAAGGCCAATATGGAGCTATTCGCCCCCAATGGACTCGAGATATGGTAAGTATTTCTCACAGTGAAGGAACTTGTACTAATGAAGCTCTAGTATTATCAAGACCCAAGACCTTGACACGGAATTGGGCATCTCCTCCCATGGCATACCAGACGTGCCCTATAACATGCCACCAGTCGATAGACTAAGCATTTATGGACCACAGGTTGCCTTTGTAAATGAGATCCTACCAGATAAATCAGACATGGGACGACAAGACCCCCTCGCCAAGGCTGGTCGAGCACTTAACAAAAGGTCAAATAAGAGGAAGGCCCAAGATGCTCAGGAGAAGCTAGATAAAGGCGAAAGAAAGGACAAGGGAAAAAGACGGCTTTTTAAGTCATATGATGACATTGAATGGGTGCGTAACTATTGCGGCTGCGATATGTCAAGGGGATCACTGACCTTTTCTATTAGCTTGTGGTGAAGCTAGCACCTCCCATGAGCGCCGGACAGTTGTATTGAGGGGGAGCATGAAGGGCGTTAGGCTGGACGTTGGTGGTTGTAGTTGGAAGCAAATAGCGCGTTCGATTAGAGTAGATTTAGCAATATTATGAAAGTAAGAATCTAAGGAAAAGTCCCGCCTTGTGTAACAACTCCTCTGTAGTGAGACGTTTCTCAACTACGAAGCGTGTATGGAATTACAGTGGCAAGAAGGGCTTCTAAAGAGGGACGTTTCTCTTGCCTTCCGACGACCTTTCTCGACAGCAACAAAGCTTCAACTCTTAACTTTGAATTAAATTAATACAACCAACGGACTTGACACCATGCAGGCCCCAAAAGCCTTGATCAACACACTCGTTTTCATCGGTGTCATCTCTGCTGCTGCCATTCCCGACACAAAGGTCCGTAAGCTTACTGAATACTCGTCCAATACCACAGATGGCTCACTCACTGACCAAAAAATAGCTGGTATGCATCTTACGTAGAGAGCTTTGAACGAAGAATCAGTTTAGGCAGTGCACTCACAACTACCCTACCGGAACTGGTAGAGGTCCCTTTGGGCGTCCTATTGGTATGTAACAGTTTGGTTCATCATTGCAAGGCATAAGCTGACACTACTGGACTACAGGATGTTGCGTTGCGGCAGGCTGCTGCTACGCATGTTGTTGTATAACTAAGGATTCGGGCGACGTCAAGTGCCTGGAAGGCCGAGAGAGAAGGGGTCTTGCATATATCAAACTACGGCCAGCAGTCTTTATCTATTGCAAGAAATTTGAAGAGGTATTAAATTCATACTGAATTTGTGATGTGTAAACCTCACAGTATTTTGAAATTCTGATTCTGTTTGTTGTTAACTGTCATGTTCCGCGTGAGAAGTCTGCTTGCCAGGCAGAACCCTCCGGGAATGAACCTTGTCACTCATTTGATTCGTCCTGGCGTATGATAGTATACGGCTGTGCGGAGGCGATGATGTCGACCGGTCATATTAGCTGTTCGATGTCTTGAATCAGCCTAACGAATGCGAACCTGAGCTAGGTAATGCGAATATTACGTCGAAACAAGTGCCGGATATAGTAGGCTTTCCGACATGGCGGGACTTTCGACTAGTAAGCTGACGGTCCCTAGTAGCCGATCGCCCCATGCCGCCATGCCTGTATGATGAGAGAAAGAGAAAGCTCTTGGAGTACCTCAATGATTTCAAGGATCAAAATGTGTATAAAAGAGTCGAAATACTGCATGATCGAATTCCCTTCCCTCTGCATCAAAACCTGTCCTTCATCGAATACCTATACCATTTTCAAGTACAGCAAATTATCAGCATGAAATTGTACAACGCCGCCTTCCTTGTCTTCCTGACAACCCTCCAACCGGTGCGTCCAGTATTTATTGAAAATGCAACATATGCTAATGATACTGTTCAACAGTCTTTTGCAATTGCACTCCCATCGGAGGCAAACTTACACCGCAGACACGACTCGAAGAATGACACCATGCTACAAATCATTCCGGACGTTGACTTCAACTTCAATGTCATGGCGACCTTGGCCACAGCTCCCTACCAAGGGGCGGATATCGGAGAGATTCTCGTCGCGGCAAGTCAGATCAAGACGGGCGATTTCGAAAGCTACTATGAAGCATACTACGATCTTGCGACTCGTGTTCACAATCAAGCAAAGGCAATCGACTCCAAGAAGCATCCTGTTTCTGCGCGAAATGCTTACTTCAGGGCCTCGACTTATTATCGCTCTGCTGATGCATTCTTGCACGGAAACTGGAGCGATCCTAGGATCATGTCGCTTTGGAAGCAGCAGGCCGATGCCTTCGACAAAGCAATGCAGCTCTTACCCATTCCCGGCAAGCGTGTTGAGCTACAGGCTGACAACTTTACTGTCCCTGCTATCTTCTTCAAGACGGACAAGCCTGGCCGTCGTCCTACTGTCATCCTAGGTACCGGATATGATGGTTCCATGGAAGACCTGTATCATACCATGGGCGAGGCTTTGCTGCAGCGAGGCATGAATGCGATCGTGTATGAGGGACCAGGTCAGCCAATGGTCCGCCGGTACCAAGACCTTGGCTTCATTCCTGAGTGGGAAAGAGTTGTCACACCGATCGTTGATTATGTGCTTTCTCGGAATGATGTCGACGGCAGCAAGCTTGCGCTAATGGGATTCTCATTTGGGGGGATCCTTGCGCCTCGTGCCGCAGCCTTTGAGCATCGCCTAGCAGCAGTGATCGCCCTCGACGGGATCTTCGATTTCGGCCAAGTAATGTTGAAGCAATTTGGACAGGAAATCACCGAGCTATTCAAAGCTGGCAAGAAGAAGGAGATTGACGAAGAGGTTGCTCTGGTGCAGAACAACGCGAGCGTGCCCTCGACTCTGCGATGGGGCATCGACCAGGGAGAGTGGTCATTCAAGACTCACTCGGCGTACACGTTGCTGGAGAAGTCTCAAGGATTCACATTGAAGGGTATCGTCGATAATATCAAGGCACGCGTTTTTGTAGGAGATGGTCAGAATGATATGTTCTTCCCTGGACAGGCGAAGGACTTAACGAAGCAGCTTGGAAGTCGGGCAACATATCATCTCTTTGAGACGGTTTCGGGGGCTGGACTTCATTGTCAGGTCGGTGGTTACGTGTTAATGAACCAGGTTTCGCTTGATTGGCTCGAGGATGTTTTTGCGAATCAGACCATGCAGAACTGAGGGTCTGATCAGCGATAGTGGCTGTGACATCGCAGCAAGAGTCAATTTGAGTCTGATCACCACTCGCTGTGCATCGCCACTATGAAGACCCATTAGACTAGTTAATTGACTCCGGTTTCGCTTTCTATCCATTGGCAGTGGAATGAAGATGGCTGCTGTTGTTTCTTTGAACGACAGAATTGCCGGCACTCGGCAGAGCCTTGGGGTGAGATGACGCAAGGGTCAAAGGGCTTAGCGACGGCCTCCAGTGGTAAATGCCTGTGACAGGTGCCGACTAGCCGTGCTTATCACCGAACGGCCCAATGTTGTGCCAAATAGTGAGCTTATCCTAATCTGGTGGGCATTTCGACGCTAGCAAGCAGCCCCAAGGCTCACCAAATACTTCCATATCTCGTCGAAACATTCGCCCTTTTCAACACATCCATCCGTCCATCACTGATCCCGCCATACATCTCCGTGACCTACAAATAAGAATCAGAATTACTGAGTGCACTAACCCGAAAATCGGTCAATAGCCAATAAGAAACGGGCCATCTGATATCGGAACCATGGTCTTCTCTGGCAAGCCTTCGCGAGCATGCGAACCCTGTCGAGAGAAGCGCAGAAAGGTATGGTCCGTATGCATGTTTTCTTCCTAAACATCTAACCCTGCTACAGTGTGATCTCAAAAAGCCCTCTTGTTCAACATGCATGCGGATGAAAATCTCCTGTTTTGGGTATCGTGACGTTCACTCAGTCAAGATCAAAGACCAAACCTCAGCCGTCATACGGAAAGTACAGCGCCAGAGATGTGTTAATACCAAAGCAAGCCCCGATTCCTACAGCTCATCCAGCGATTGCAGCTCCCCGGATCAGTCGATTCAGCGCAATGACTTGGAGGTAGACTGTCTCCGGATCTCAAGTCCTCCGGAAGAACTTGCACTTGGATACTTCCTTTTTGTCTTCACCCGATCCGGCCCATTCTCATACCTTCATCAACACACAACTGCTCTCGCTATAGACGATGATATCATACAGGCCATTCACGCCCCGGCCCTTGCATCCCTAGCTCTCGAACATCGGCGCGGTGATCTATTACGTGCAGCACGTTACCACTACTCCAAAGCATTGACTCGGACAAACCAAGATCTAAGCGATCCACGAGTAGCCATGCTCGACAAGACCCTTCTCCGTGTATTGTTGCTCTCAACTTTCGAAGGATTGGTGTTCGAAGGCCGAGGCTCAACGAAAAACTGGGAACTCCACGTGCAAGGTTCACTAAGACTTTTGGTGATGCGAGGAAGGCAACAGTTTCAGACTGAATTTGGGTGCAGACTGTTTCACCATACCGCCATCAACGTGCTGACAAATTGCATAATGCAATCGAGCCCGATAGCAGACGACTTCTTGCAACTCTACGACTATGCCGTTTCTGGCCAGTCGGGACTCGATGAATCCAGGACTCGCATGATCGAATTCGTTTGTCAGTTCGCCAGAATGTGTGATGCCAGAAAAAGCATTTTGGCGACGGAATTCGTGAGAAAGTGCATGGAACTTGACCAAAAAGCTGCCAGGTTTAACGATATATTCTTCAAAGAATTGCCGTATGAGGTTATCGATGTTACCTCCGATGAATACCGACAGAATGCTCCTGGCCCGGAGATCTGCCCTTACAAAGATACTGTGCACAGATATCAGTCTCAACAGTCAGCTCGTGTTTACAACACATCTAGACTCGTGCGATTGACAGTCAAAGAGTGGATGTACAGCATCTTCGATGGGAATCCCCATCGAGTCATCCTCAATGAACCCGACGACGATGATCCGCTCAAAGCCATCTGGAGCCAGCTTCCCATCAAGGCCGCATTGCAGGCCAGCGATGTAATTGATGAAATGCTAGCTAGTATCCCGTACTCACTAGAGCTGCTGAACACACCGTTCCGAACGGCTTCGCGATATGTGGTCTGGCCACTCACGATCGCTGCAGGATCTGAAGTTTGCCCTCCGCCTGCGAGGCTGTACATCATCGATCGGCTGAAGGAGGTGGCTGTCAAAGCAAACCTTGACCAGGCTATGCAGGCAGCGAATATGTTGGAGGATAGAGTGCCGTTAGAGGACTGGTAAGTTAGCCTTGATGGTGGATGGTATATCGGTATGCTAATGACTATTTGACAGGATGCATCTTCTTCATCTCTCGTGATGTGCGGAAAGCGAAGGATTTGTCAACATGGCCACAAGAGTATGGTTACATAGCTACTTGTAGTAAAAGCAGCCCACGTGGGCATTCGTGTATATAGCGGAGTCATGCCGAACGGGTTCACAGACTTCACATAGTCTACTGTGCGCCCTTATCAAAGACGTTACTGCAAGGAATAATTGCGCAATTCGCATCCGCAAGAGAAATCCGTCTCACTTTAAGCTACCGAGTAATAGCCCTATGGGCTTGGCTCAATGAATGATCTACTAATGTGCTTCCACCCGAGTTGTATCCACTACGGAGCCGCATATCGGACCCGAGTCAGTGGTTCCGCAAAGAGGATGATCCAACATTCAACTCCGATGAGAGACGGCTTTATCACTCTTCTACTGTTGAGCGTGAGCAGGTGAATGACTTATCATAGCCACTGCAGATTATCGTGGAGCATCTTCTCAGATGAGGCGGAGGTTTGGTGAGCATCAACTTCCCTGCACGACCCAACTGTGCGGTTCGATAAACTCTCCAGGATCTATCCGAAAAATACTACTAGCAGGGTAGTAACGCCCTTGAATCGACATATTGTGGCAACTTCCATTATGCGATTGCTAGTCTGTATGACGAAAAGTAGCCAGTGGAGAGACTGATGATAGAAGATCGAACGCCCGTCATGCAGGACGGTTCCTTGAAAGTTGGAGCCCAGTCACAACTGCACATGGACAAGGTCTAGAATGGGACCAAGACCCGCACTTGTAAAGATTCCCTGCAAACCTAAGGCATTGACCCTGTAAGTCACTGGCCGTCTTGCCGGCAACCGGCATCACGGATGATGGGTGCATATTTAAGAAGGCGCTCAAGGACGCCGAGATCACCATTGACCCCATCACTGCATTCAGGACTGTCTTCTTCATTAAATCTCACTCAAGTTCATATCGAAATGAGTGACGAGAAGCAAGTCGACCCCAAGGTCGCTGATGCAAGCTCCAGCAGCTCACTCAACGAGGGCGCTGTTATCTCTGGCCGAGCTGCAGATGAGACTCTTGATCTTATCGAGAAGCATGGACATGAGGTTGAAGCGCTTACTCCCGAGAAGAAGAAGAAACTCAAACGCAAGATTTACATCCACGTCCTCTTGCTTGTCACCTTCATCGACTTTATGCTCTATGTAAGCAACCAGATGTGAAAATGTGAATGGCACTAACAGCCCCGGGGCAGGTCGATAAGAGTACATTGGGTCAAGCCACTCTCCTTGGGCTTTTCAAGGATACGGGTCTCAATAATTCCGAGTACAATAACCTGAACTCCCTCTTCTACACCGGTATGTCCCCTCAACCTCTACGGTCAACACAGCTGACCCTTCCAGGTTACATCATTGGCCAGATTCCTGGACAACTTCTCATTCAAAAGCTACCACTACGCACGTTCATCTCGGGAATTATCTTTACATGGGCCGTCATTGTCCTCCTACACTGCGTCGCCCAGAGCTACGGAGCCCTGATCCCTCTTCGCTTCTTCCTCGGCTTTGTCGAATCCGCGGTCATTCCAGCTCTTGAGATTACGATGTCTATGTTCTTTACGCCTGAGGAGCTCCATCAGGTACAACCTCTGTTTTATACCTCTTGCATCGGCTCGCCCATGTTCACTGGCCTTGTTTCATACGGTTTGCTGTATAGTAAGGTCAGCACTAGCCCGTGGAAATTCTTCATGATCATCACTGGAGGCATATCGCTCGTTCTTTCAGTGATCACCTGGTTCTGGTATCCCAATAACCCTGCAACTGCATGGTTCTTGACTACAGAACAGAAGGTTCATACTATCCGTCGAATCCACGAGTCGACCCGCAGCTCCATTGAGCAGAAGACATTCAAGAAGCATCAATTCATGGAGTGCTTGAAGGACCCGATCTCTTGGCTCTTCGCCTTCTCTGGCTTTACGCTCATGCTGGCAAACAATCTCCCATACCAACAGAGCTTGCTCTTCCTAGACCTTGGAGTTTCTCCCTTAGGATCGACCCTCGTCTGGGTCGCTTCTGGAGGCTTTGCAATCCTTGCATGCATTACGGCCTCGCTCTTGATACGCTTCTTTCCTGGACATAGCGCTTGGTGGGCTGCACTCTGGTGTGTACCCTGCATTGCAAGTAGTATTGGCATGGTCACTATTCCATGGGGCAACACTATTCCCATGCTCGCTTGCCTTCTTCTTCCCCCCAATTGCTTCGCGCAAACATGGATCATTTCTGTTGGCTGGGTATCGTCGAGTTGTGCCGGTCATACAAAGCGCCTCACCCGCAACGCTATGTTCATGGTGCTCTATGGAATATCGAACATCATCTCGCCGCAACTATGGAAGACTGGAGGGCCACGTTACTATCCTGCTTGGATTGTCCAGATCGTGGCAAGTTTCACTTTGACGCCAATTCTGTTGATCACGATTCGGTTCATCCTCTCTAAGAGAAACAAGGAGCGACGACAGTGGATTGCTGAACAGGAAGCGCTCGGGAATCATGGTGAAGGGTATGTCGAACAGGTTGTTGATGGTGAGACTGTCAAGGTCAAGGTGGATGTTTCCATGTTGGACTTGACTGATCTGGAGAACAAGTACTTCCTTTATCCATTGTAATCATCACTAGATATTGTCTCTCAGAGATCAAGCAAAGAATGTTTATTCTCTACTACTTACGCGATAATGGTAGTGTCTACCTCTGGAAAAATGATGGTCAACCTTGATAGGTTAGTAGTCAAATGCCATGTCTACTCAGACTCACAATCTCACTACCTGGATTATCAAATTGGAGACATACCACGAGGCTCTTTTAGTTCATGCAATCAATCTCAAGTGATTTCCTGAAACGGTAGGTGGCAATCAAGCACAGATCTGTAGCCTCCGCCCTAGAGCGACATCTCAACAAGCCCCACCACGCCCAACGTGAACATCCGCCCTGGCTAGACATGACCTCTCACTATCTCATTCAATTGAACCGAAGGCCTGTGCCTTAACGAAAATTTTGATCGGGTTCTCGTTAATTTATAGTTAAGAATTCGTCTGTCGATCGGCGAACGATGAGATGTCGCGCTAAGATGGGTGTTGAAGTGATTCGGCGACATCATGGTGCTCGAACCTCAACGCCCAAGATCCACATGATCCGTGGGGTTGGTCCTGGGCCTGGGGTAGAAAGAAATAGCGAAGACATCTCACTAAGCTATTATATAATGAATATCGAATTTTGTGATTCCTTGACTCCACATGTTCGCCTTTCATCGACAAGATGAGCAATCACTCGTATGTTGCCCCGAGTATTCGGACATAACTTGCTATATCAGATGGTCCGAAATCGGCTATCCAAGGGAGTGAAAAGGAAGGCCTCTCGCCATCAGGTTCTTAGGGATCTGCTCTCATGCCGTTCACCATGACGAACTACATGACCATGGATATCCAAGCCAAGACAGACCCTCGCCCTGAGGTAAACGAATCGACCCCCTCCACCAAATCCATCGAGCATGGCACCAACGACACTGAGCTTGAACGCGCTCTCCATGGCCGCCATCTCCAATTCATCGCCATCGGCGCCGCAGTCGGGACAGGTCTCTTCATTGGTACGGGCAACGCCCTCGCAACAGCGGGTCCCGTCTCCCTCCTTATAGCCTTCATCTTCGTCGGAAGTCTTCTCTTCGCAGTAATGACGGCCCTAGGCGAAATGGCAGCGTATATCCCCGTCGCAGGCGCCTTTACGACATACGCATCGCGCTTTCTGGACCCAACCTTTGGCTTTGCTATGGGTTGGATCTATTGGTTCAGCTGGACTATTACGTTTGCGCTTGAGTTGACAGCTGCGGGACTGATCATCCAGTACTGGGAGAAGGGGCTGAATATCGGTATCTGGATTGCTGTATTTTGGGTCCTCTTCACTGCTGCCAATTTTATGCCTGTTCGCTGGTTTGGAGAGTTCGAAATGTGGTTTTCGAGCATCAAGGTCATCACTATCATTGGCTTCATTATCTTTTCGATTTGCGTCAATGCCGGCGTTGGAGACCAAGGATATCTTGGGTTCAAGTACTGGAAGAACCCTGGAGCGTTCAGTGAGCATCTTGTCGAAGGAGATGTTGGACGCTTTGTCGGCTTTTGGTCGGTCTTGATCACAGCTGGGTTCAGTTATCAGGGTTCAGAATTGGTGGCCATTGGTGCAGGCGAAACAAAGGATCCGCGCAAGACGATTCCTTCTGCGATGCGTTGGACCTTTTGGGGCGTCTTCTCAATCTTCATCGCGACCGTGTTCTTCCTCGGCCTCAATATCCCATCCACAAACAAAGACCTTCTCAGCGAGTCGCAAGACGCTTCGGCGTCTCCTCTGGTCATTGTCGCTCAATTGGCTGGTGTTCCAATACTGCCTTCCATCCTCAATGCGGTTCTGTTGACTGCTGTATTGACTGCTGCAAACTCGGACGTGTACTCAAGCAGTCGCATTCTCATTTCTCTGGCCGATTCGGGCCACGCACCGGCATTTCTGAAGAAGACGAACCGCTTCGGAACGCCTTATAATGCCGTCGGTGTTTGCGCCGCTGTCGGCTTTTTGTCTTTTCTCAATTTATCGAACGACGGAACTGTTGTGTTCAATTGGTTCTTGAGCATTACCTCTGTTGCGGGATTTATCGCATGGGCTATCATTTCGCTCTGCCACATCCGCTTCATGAAGGCCCTGGCTCTCCAAGGGATCTCCCGATCCGAATTGCCCTACGTTGCGCCCTTGCAGCCGTATTTGTCTTGGTATGGCCTGTTCTTCAGCGTGTTGATTATCATCACGAGTGGATTTCAGGTGTTTATCGAGTGGGATACCAGCTCCTTTTTCACAGCATACATCAGCTTGATCTTGTTCATCGTCATGTTTGTTGGCCACAAATTGATCTTTCGGACTAAACTGGTTCCGTTGACCGAGATGGACATTATTACCGGGAGCGATATCTAAACGTATATTAGGCAAGAGATTCTGAATTGATGCAAATAACTTGGTCTGCCGCATGTCGAGCTATGGACCTTCATTCCTTCAGACGTGATCATCATTCTCAGTGAGTGACTTTTCAGGTTAAATAAAGATTTCGTATCCGGTTATGGCCTAGCCCGCCCGTTCATCGCCAGTGACGAATTGATTGGCCGACAAGAGCGGAGAATTACGGCAGCACCAATGAGATTGATCCTATTTTCAGCCGAGGATCCCGGTCTCTGATTACCTCAGCACTATTGATATGCTATCGCTATCGCGCGTGAACTTAACTTGGGTTAGTGAGATCTGTTTCCAAACAACTTCAAGATCCCTAGGGACACGAGGCCTTTTTCGACATGTTTCGGGACGCGTCAATACATTCGCTGATACCAACGACGCTTCTTCTTCTCTGCCTTGATGCTGGCTACGTCTTGGCAGCTTCGGAAGCATCGGGGCTTGATCGGTGCCCAGACTATGTCGCTAATCATGGTGGGTAATATCCCATCCATCCATCTATCGTCATCATGGCTTCAGTACTGAGCGAATATGGCAGCACCATTAGTATGGCTTCATTCGGAAGATCGCTTCATGCCTAGCGATCTCTCAGCCCACATCATCAACACGATACCGAAACTCAATGAGCAACCGTTCAGTGGGCCTTCATCCGTCGACCTCTCCAATCTTGGGGACCTCAATAGCTACGGCGGTGAAGATGTTGCGCTCACAGCCAAGGAAGATCCTCTCACTTATCCTCAATGGATTTTGGGTGAAGCGCCGGATGATTCTGGCCGGATAGCCAACTCGGTACCCTGCGCCGTGATCTTGGTAGAGAAGAGCGAGGTTGACATCGATGCATTCTACTTTTACTTTTACTCTTTCAACGAGGGGCCAAATATCACCCAAGTCATGGAACCCATCAATCATTTAGTCGGAGATGAGAACTTATCATCAGGGATGCACTTTGGCAACCATGTTGGAGACTGGTAAGTCTGCTCCCACTCACCGTCAGCGGTTCCTCTAACATTTGATGTCAGGGAGCACAATATGGTCAGATTTCACAATGGGACTCCTGTTGGTATTTACTACAGTCAGCATATTGACGGTGCTGGTTTCGAATGGGATGACGCGACGGTCAACATCACTGATGGAAGGGTAGGAGGAGTGTTCGTCTCGCTCAGAATTCAGTGGCTAACAAACTTTTCAGCCTATCGTGTACAGTGCCCTCGGTTCGCACGCCAACTATCCACAAAGAGGGTAAGTAATATGGTTCTATTCTCAAACAATGACTCACCATCCCACAGCCACCAAATTCACAACGTAGCAATGTTCGACTACTGTGACGAGGGCAAGCTATGGAACCCTGCCCAATCAGCCTACTACTACCGTTTCAATCCCGATTCCTTCACCATCACTCCGATTATTTCGCCTTTTGAACCGTCTTCGACCGAGCCCGCTCAGAACTACACTTCGTGGTTCGACTTCACTGGCCACTGGGGTGACATCAGCTATCCCGACTCTGACCCACGGCAAGAAACGGTGCCGCACTTTGGTCTCAAGCGCTTCAACTCTGGACCCAATGGCCCCCGCTTCAAGCACCTAATTCGCAAGGGTCTTGTGCGTGATCACGCGCGAAAAATGGGCTGGAAAGAGCGGGCAGTTGGTGTGTTTATGTCTTGGTATCCCTGTTGTATACGAGGCTGGAGATTATGGAGGTCTCTGGGCATCATGGCTGTGATAACGTCGGCTTTCGTGCTTGCAGTTGTGTACGGAGTTAGAAGGATGAAGACGTGGAGGCAGAGGCAGGTTTACACGAAACTGAAGAATGATGATATCGCGATGGAGGAGTTCAGGAGGGAAGAGGAATTCTTGATAGGGTCTGACGATGAGGAGGATGATCATCAACTATAGGAGGGATGACTTCTGATTTACTGTTCAAATAGACACATAGAATTAGACAAGCAACAAGATTTCTTTTCCTGCACTCTTTCAGATACTTCTATCATCCATGAAGGAGAAGTGAGCAATCTAAAATATTGAGGACTAAATTTACAAGAAACCCCTTGGAATGACCGTGACTAGCTAGGTGACTAACCTGACCTGGACTGTTTGTTCCATCCACCCTCTGCCTCGAAGATGTGACCAACAGCCTCGCTCACCTTGAGGAGGTGACGATCACGAAGTCTCGCAGACACAAGAGAAACTCCAACAGGTAAGTTACTCTTCCCACGAAAACCTGGAATATTGACCACTGGTGTATGTAACGCCTAAACGTGTCAGCAAAATCCAAGATTCAGCATAGGTACACTCACAGTCCAAGTCGCTGCGAAAACAGGGCTTCCTGTGTTCCCGAGGCCTTCAGGAGCTTCGTCGAAGACACTCGGAGCTAGCACAGCGGCATACTTAGCTACTATAGTATCGAATCGGGGTCGTAGAGCTGCAAGCCCATCATAAGCATCCAGCTGAGCCTTTCGTGAGATCTTGTGCCTCTCTCGAACACCTTTCGCCAACACTGGATCCAGCTTGCCTTTATCTTGGCAATACTCCGGCCACAGACTCGTCGCACCCTCAAGACGCACAAGAGTAAAGTGCCAGTCAATAACTTGTTCAAAGTCTGGACCGAGATCAAGCTCTTCAACTTCGGCGCCGTGTGCTTTGAGAAGCTCTACAGCTTTATCCATAGCCGCGATCGTGCCCTCTCCAGCCAACTCCCACTTCGACGTCCGACATACAGCAAATTTCAATCCTTTGATACTACCAAAGGTGTCACTCTCCTCATCGTATAAAGCAAACGTGCTGATCTCATCATCGTGTAAAGCAAATATGTCACTTAGTATCTCAAGATCCGAAACGCTTCGGGAAAAGAAGCCAATAGTATCAACAGTTGGGGCACAGAACTTCTGTCCCTCTCTCGTGATAGCTCCCCACGTAGGCTTGAAACCGTAGATGCCGTTGAATGCAGCTGGTCGGACAATGGAGCCTACAGTTTGTGAACCAAGAGCTATGGGGATCTGAAAGTCTGCTACGGCGGCGGCTGAACCGGCTGACGAGCCTCCAGGGGTATGAGAAATACTGTGCGCGTTGCGGGTAGCTGGACCCGTGAAGGATGCGGCAAACTCGGTTGTTGTCGTTTTACCTGGAAGTGATGAGAGACTGGTGCTCAAAGAGCCTGGCTTGACCTACCGAAGATGAGGCAGCCTGCTTGACGGAGAACCATGACCGATCCGGCATCGATTACGGGATGGTCATTCTTATAGATAGTTGAACCATGCTCGGTCGGCATATCTGATGAGTTGTCAGCGACTGGTCCTGTCACTTTTAGAATGCTCTCAAGTGCTGCCTTTAGTCAATATGATGTCCTTGATCCCAACAGGAAGGCCATGCAGTGGTCCTCGCTGGTCCTTTGGCACCCGGTCTAATGCTCTAGCCTGTTCCAAAACAGCTTTTGGGTCAAGATATGCCCAAGCTTTGACATCGTCATCTCGTTGTTTAATTCGCTCAAGTAAAGATGAAGCATACTGCTCAACTGTGAGATTACCAGAGCGAATGTTCTCCAGGATTTGTGTCGCTGTGTGGCGCCAGGGCTCCATATCGAAACACAGAAATCTCTAGAAGTATAATTGTTGAGGGGTATTGGCGAGAACCTGATTGAGTTGTTGATACAGTTCGTGGCTTGAAGTTCCCCGCTTGCTGACAGTGATGGAGATCCACTGAGATGAGGGGGTTCGGATCCTGGACCCGACAGCTTTGATCAGGAAGTTTCCTCACCGGACAATTCTTCCGTGACGGATAACAGTTCGAAATCGCACGAGTGAAACTTGATAAGCATTGTTTCTGATATCTAGGCTCGCTCCATCGCAGCATAACGGCCAAGTACAGCCACTACTCATGGATCGCTACACCAACCGCCATCAACAACATACGAACTGCCCGTCACTCCACTAGCTTCGTCACTACCCAAGAACACAACCACTTTAGCTACTTCCTCCGGCTCTAGATCTCGCTGCAAACTCTGGCCGCGCATAACTTCCTCCCGATATTCGGGCGTGAGAACCTCATCCCTCTGTCGCTGGGTCGCAATGGCACCAGGCATAACACTATTGATGCGAACATTGTACTTGCCATATTCTTTACTCTGAGTACGCGTCAGACCCATTATTGCCGCCTTGCATGTGCCGTAGACTTGGTCATGTGAGCAGACTGAATGATCAGACAGGAATGTTAACGTACCAGGAGTTCCTTGAGCGGGGATGCGCCAGGTGATTGACCCAAGATTGACGATGCTCCCGGTTTTAGCCTCTCTCATAGCCGGAAGAACAGCTTGGCTCATGAAGAAAACATGCCGGAGATTGGTGTTGATGTTGGCTTCCCAATCTTCAGGCCTGACATTTTCTGTTTCTAGTCTGGCTCTGTTTCCAGCAGCCGCAGCATTGTTGACCAAGATATGTATCATGCCATGTTGATCTTGGATTCTCTTGACCGTGTCTTGTAACCTTGGTAAATCTGACACGCTGCAGCTGTAGAATATGGGCGCCTTGGCTTGAACATTGGCGTCTTTGGCGCGCGATACAGCGCGGTCAATTGTCTTTTTCGCCGAGTCCTCGGCGATGTCGATGAAGATGACCTGGCTGCCCTGTAGCGTGAACAACTCCACTGTAGCAGCGCCAATGCCTTCTGCACCGCCTGTAATGAGCACGGTCTTGTCCCGTAGACTGGGGTAAGTAGCGTGAGTTGCCATGACTGCAAGTAGATGTCGATAAGAGTTAGAAACAAGTTATTAGAAGCAAGATACCGTGAGAAGAGTATCTCGTTTGACACCTCACTCACTGATGCTTTACAGATGCAAGCCACTTTCAAGCGATGTAATGTGCAGAAACAACGTTACAACGGTTCGTGACCATTTTACGGTGACTTCATTGGTGTATGGGCGGGGTTACTGTAAGGAGTCTAGTTAGTTAATCTCTATACGTATTGTCATCTTTTACGATAATTTTGGGCCGCTCAACGCCGTGACAAGTGTGTTCAGCAAAGGCATTAAGCGATATCGTCTTCATATTATAGAATGTAGTGTTTATTCTCGACTGGCCCTTCTGACTTCATTGCAACTTGGCCCCGATAAGGTCTGGTGGAGTATGATAGATGGTCATCTGCTAGCTTCCGCTCACGTGCCTCTGAATGATCATTTCAGCTTCCGGGTTCCGTCCCCATCTCCATATCCAGATCTGCTGATCGCAACAACTCGAATGAGTTTTATCAACCGTCCCGGCCTTTAGAAGGTCTGTTTCATCAAAATGGAACCCCGGAGCAAACAGGCTTGTGAGCCATGCCGGTGAGATACCGTATCCATGAATATCGGCTCCAATTGGTTTGACTTTCGTCTAGGAAAAAGAAGAGCAAATGCACGGGTGAAAGGCCGACATGCTCATTCTGTAGACGACTAAACCAACTATGTACTTATCGATCTCCTGAGCCAGTAAGAGCTTTGGCAAGAAAAAGCAGTAGAGTCACCAAGAGGTAGAGCCAATCAAACCAGTCATTAAGAGGAAGCTAACGCGAAAAGTGGCCAGAGGGATGACTTACAGGAGCGGTTCCAGATGCTGGAGTCGCAAGTGAAGGGTATTTATGAGTTGCTCCAGTAAGTTCACCATCGATCATGTATATAAGTGGTGGCTCATTCTTTAGACCATCGTCAGCCTCAGTTACTGGCCCCGGGCCCTCTCCAAGTACTTCTGCAAGTATCCCATCTACAAGTTTGCAAGCAGAATACAGCGCAAGTCCTGGCATGACCTCGCCCCCACCGATAGATACATCCTTTGATGTGAACAAGTATGTCGCAGTCTTTTCCCAGATAATCCTGTTACTGAATTTTCCAGCTCAGATGTACCGTTCGAAGTTTTGGACCATCTAATAGAGGTCTATCGCGTCAAACTCCATCTCCAGCCTTTGCAACTTTTCAACATATCTGAGCTCAAGGAAATTCTCACTACTGCACCTCAATACCTTCTCTACAGCTTCTTGGCGCTCACTGTGCGGTACAGCGCGCATGACTTCTTCAATGGTAAACAACTCAAAGCGGTTGAGTTGTATGGCAGCTCTGCACAGCAAGAGGTCGCCATCCTTGCCTCTCAGGGCGTTCCCAAGCTCGAGACTGTGCAGGCCTTATGCTTGCTTGTCTTGGTTGATGTAGCAGGTAAGCCAATTTCAGATGCTTCTCGTTGGCGGCAAACTGATCCAGGTAAACCAGCATGTAAGCCAGGCCGAGCGTGGATGAGCATCGGAACCATGTCACGACTGGAGGCTCTCCGAAAGCTATCCCAGAGTTCTTTCTATGAATCCTCATCTGAACTTGAAGCCAGCCTGAGATGCCATTGGACCGTTGCTCTTCTAGAGCAAACATTCATGCCTCAAGAGCGTAGCAGTGTGTACGGCGATGACGAACACAGATACCCAGCCAGCGCTCACAGGCCACCGTCACTCCCGCCCACGAACGATGGTGAGTGCCCTCCAGATCTCTTCTCCGACGATGCACCCGAAGATCTGGGAGTAACCGCATACTATATCCATGTAATCGAGATGTGGGGCCATCTCTCATCATACATGCATCAAGTCAGAATCGGGAAAGCAGAGACAGCATGGTCACCAGGCTCAATGCATTACATACTCTGTGCAGAGCTTTACAAACATGAGACCAAACTTCCACATAGCCATCTGCTGAGAAACGTCCATTTTACTAAAAGAATGGCCGCCGAACTTCAGGATCAGCGCGAGTACTGGATACCATGGCTTCTCATGCAAGTGGTTACTCACGCCATCACAGCTATTCTACATCATCCTTTCATCCACCTGGTAGCTATGAGGGGTAGATCGAGTGGACTTCAGGCCCGTTCCTTTTTGCAACAGACTGTTGATCAGGCTCTATTCAATTCAGCGTGGGTGTTTAAACTCTTACGCCTATGCGAGGAGCTGCGCTTCGAGATCTGCGATCCTCTAGTAGGGCAACTTGTAGCAGTAGTCGCAACGATACCTTGGCTATTCCAACGTGCGATTGATCCGAAGGTCGCCGAAAAGGCAAAAGGCGATCTTGAGTGGTGCAAAGGGTTCTTGGAGAGGCTGTCATCAACATGGCCGCACATTGCGCAAAAGGTGCGTAGCTCGCAGCTACTCAACCAGGGTACTAACAGGATTTCAGCTCGAATTACTACAGAGCTTGGACTCTACCGCAGACAATAACTCACAGCCGCCAGCTGGTAAGGGCATCTCTATTGCCTTTCATCCAGCTCTATTTTGGGCTCTGGTAGACCCCAAGATCAGCCAGATGACACCGCTACACGGGGAAAGTTCAAGTCGGCCGCAAGATGCTATGATTCGCATCTCAACGCATTATATCCATCCTTTGACTGAGACACAGGTTAGCCAGTCGGCGCCAAGCCAAAGAGAGGAGTCATTTGATCCTTTCATGTTTGATGTTGGTGAACTCGAGGAAGTGAATTTGAACGATATCTTTTCACAATTCCTACCAGACATATATGACATACAGTAACTTCAGTCGCTTTCTCATTCTCCACCTAGATCTCCTATCTCGATCAGATAATTACAATCATATTATGTCTTGCATGCTTTCTCTAGATATCAAACCCAAGTGGCTTGATCGAGCATCCTCAAGGAGTAGGGGGAGCAAACGTTAGGATAGTAGATATCTTAGTAGACAACAAGGGAGAAGTTAGGGAAACCCCAAGATCGTCGGGAATCGCCCAGAGATCAGAATGTGATCTATTATAATTATATACGAATCGTCATCTCCTTAATTATATAGATAAGCCATCCATTCACGGGCCGCAAGTTGGGTCTTGCGCAGGAGATCCGCTCACGTGCACGGCAAATCGACACTATAGATAGGGTCAAACAGGTTGACATCCGTCTCCACCGGACACTTGGGTGCAGTATATCAGACGTCAGTTTTCAGCCAGACTCTTAATCTGACCTACCAAACAGCATCGCTTACCTCCATCTCCTCATCATGGATCAGACCACCAAGGTCGTAGTCATTGGCGCAGGCCTTTTTGGCCTCACTACAGCCAAGCAGCTCGCGCTAGAAGGTCACCAGAACATCACTGTCCTTGACAGGCACATGCCGCCTGTAAGAACCCCAGCTTCAGTGACGTCGATCCGCTAACCTCTTCAGGTGCCGGATGGCTCCAGCTCGGATATCTCCCGAGTCATCCGATTTGACTATGCCGACACCGATTACTGTTCCCTTGCGTATGAAGCTTATCGCAAATGGTCTCAAGACCCTAAGTATAAGGGCATCTTCTACCAGACAGACTATGTTATTGCTGGGTCGCGAAGTACGCCTGAGAAGTCTTGGACGGATAAGACGATTGCTCAGCTTGATAAGCGACAACTGCCTTATACAAGATTGGCAGATGCTGCTGATACCAAGCGGAGATTCCCCATTTTGACCGGTGAACTAGCGCAACCTAACTTTGAGGGTTACTTGAACAAGTCTGGTGGTTGGGCCGATGCGAACAAGGCTATCAAGCAACTCCGTGACGAATGTCTAGAGTTAGGCATCTCCTTCATCGCAGGTCGAGCTGGAACCGTAGTTGGCTTTGACAGCGACGCTCAAGGTGTGATCAAAGCAGTCAAGACCCTCGAGGGAACTCCTTTCCTAGGCGATCACTTCATTCTTGCAGCAGGCGCTTGGTCTTCCGGTATCGTCCCTACTTACAACTCAACATTGTCAACAGCACAAGCGCTCGGTTTCCTTCGCCTCACAGACGATGAGATGACCAAATACAAGAACATTCCCATTTACATGAACTACGCCACCGGTTGGTTCAACTTTCCTCCCCACGAGGACACAAAGATGCTCAAATTTGCTGTTCACGGCTGGGGCTATACTCGAGCACCCTCCAAGGGCGACAACAACTCTGTCACATCCAACATCTCCGTTCCCCCTCCTGTATCTCGAGAGCGAAAGAACTTTGTTCCAGCTGATGCTGAGGAACGTCTCCGAGCCGGTTTGCGCGAGATGTTGCCTGAGCTGGCTGATCGTGCCCTTACTAGGGTAGCTCTGTGCTGGTACACAGATACACCTACTGGTGACTTCATCATGGACTATCACCCTGATTATAAGAACCTGTTTGTTGGCGGAGGCGGAAGTGGACAGTAAGTGATAGCAGCCCTCGTTAGTGACACCTAACTAACATCTCTTAGCGCGTTCAAGTTCCTCCCAGTCTTGGGCGAATGCATGGCATCCAGCTTGGAAGAAGAGGCTGCCCAGTCACTTAGCAGAGAAGTGGAAGTTCCATACTGAATATGAGCATCGTGAGGATACCTTCCTTGGTGATGGCAGTCGAGGTGGTCCAGAAAGACGAGAGCTGAGTGCAGGCGAGAAGGCGAAACTGGACGGAGAAGAGAAATCTAAGCTGTAGTCATCAATCTTCCTCAAAGTACATATCCTGGACTATATTGTCATCTTTAATATCAGCAATAAAACCTCGTAAGATATATCTGAAGGCGGCTGGTCAAGTCAACCTCACGTCGTCTATCAGCATATCTCAAGTGAATTGGTATTCAACCAGCCCTTTTGGTATACGCTAACAAAACTGTCAATGCTCTCGAGTCCCTCCATGATAAGCTACGATAACTCAGGACATGGGCCAGGGCCTAGCTAGCCTACGCCAGTCTAGCTTAAGCCAAACTTTATTCATTCATGGCTGGCTAAATGCGGTTACGCCATCAGTGCAACCCCCGACATCGTCTGATCGGGTCGGATGCAGCCCTGCCATACTAGTGTAGGGTTAAGGTTTAGAGATGTGAGCCTTTCATGGCAAGAATGTTCTTCATGTCAAATATGTAGATGTGTATTGCTTGCTGATGTTACAATCTGAACTACCTATATGCTAATGCGTTTAATCAATGATCTTGGGCTCCATTTCGATATCCTTCTTCTTTCCTAGGACTTCCTTCTCTTGATGGACAGCCACGTGGTTGTTAAGCAAGTGGCTTGGATCACGGATGAAGCAGGCCGCAATGATGGCGAATACACCCAATGGAATTGTCGAGTAAAACACAGTTCTGAACGCCTTAGCGTATGTGTTCTTGAACGCGGCGGCTGTGGCTTGGAGAACTGGCTCTGTTACATTGGGGACCTTGGCCATGGCCATAGGAACGCCGACTGCATTCTGGATGACAGCCGGAATCAAAGTAGGCAAGTCTTTGGGGGAGTATCCCGCACCGATAGCAGCCCCAGCAATGTTGTTGCCGAGGTCGCGATTGACAATAGAGGTCAAAATCGTGCTGAACATGGCGTTACCAAGCGATCCACCAGCGCTACGGAATGTTCCCATGAGACCGGCCGAGACTCCAAGATCCTCTTGGGGAACCAAGAGACCGGACGAGACATAGGACAAGACTGTGACCCAGGTGAAGCAGGACTGGCCGAACATGGGGAGGATAGTCCAACCAGTCTTATTGTTGGGGACCACGGCGGCGTATGATGCGGTAAAGACAGTTTGCAGGACGAGCGCAAAAACAAACTGATATCGGATGTGCTTGAGCTTGTGAACCAGACTAGGCATGATCCAACCTCCAATAATGCCAGACATACTTGCGGGAACTGAGATGATACCGATTTCGATAATGTCATTGGTGAACATGAACAGAGTGCCCTGGTTGCCGAGCGTGATGATTCCCTGCCAGATCATGCCAGACACGAAGAGAACCACGAGATACACAGTGAATTCTCGGTACATGCGAAAGATCTTGATGGGGAAAAGTGGCTTCTTGGGAATCGTGAAGTCGTAGACGAAGGCTGCGATGAAGATACAGGCACCGATTGAGATAGTTGTCGCAACGAGTGTCATGGACCTATGGGTAGCGCCGAGGAAGGTGACGCCGATCAGGAATACGGTAATACCGGTAGCAAAGAGGACAAGTCCGATATAGTCAAGCTCCTTGACTTGCTGCCAGCGGGTCCTCTCAAAGTCATGTTGGGGTCGAGATGGGGGGAAGTAGCAGATGAAGGTTCCGATCAGGCAGATAGCAGCGTAGATTATGGTGATATAATAACACCATCTCCAGCTCGCCTTGAGATATAGATGGGTAGCGATGAGACCGGCCAACGAACCCCAAGGGATAGTGATGCAGAACTCAGTCCACGCCAAGCCAATACCTCTAGAACATGGGTTAGTGACTGATCTCAGTGAAGTTTGAGTGGAAACACCTACCTATACTTGTTTGGCAGAAGCTCGGCGATTCCAGGATACGCGACCATGATGGTGCCAGCACCAAAGCCGACCAAAGTAGTTCCAGCGACGATGTGTAACGTGGTCTGGGAAACAGAACAGACAATCTAACCAGCAACTTTGTTAGACCAGAGGTATACCCCAATTGCAGAACAATTCTGGCAACTTACACCACCAACCAGGACGATAGTCTGGCCGCACAATAATACGTATCGGCGACCAAACACGTCACTCAAACCACCAGCAATAGAGAAGGCGACGGCAGAACCGATGGACCAACTACCAGGAATCCAAGCGATATTCTCAGTGTCTCCCAAGGCCATACCAATCTGCTGAAGGATCTGGGTAGGCATGATGAATCCGGTCGCGATGGCGGGGACGTAGGTCAAGCCCATGAACTGCAAGGAAGAGGCCATTTGTTAGTACAGCCCAAATCACCATCCTAGAGCAAAGTTGAGTATATAAACTTACGAAAACAGCTAAAATTGTGGATATGGCGACCTTGGGGGTCGGCTCGAGGTCGGGGTTTTCGACATATTCAATTGAAGGGGGCCGCTGGTCATCCATGGGCAGGGCTGACTTCTTGGTGTCGCCTGTAGGCGCTGCAGAAACCTCTGGGTCGGACGCCATGTTGAGAAACTCGAATTGATGTTGAAGACTATCGAATAATGGATTGTGGCAGAAACAAGAGGCGGTTGAAGCTGAGATATACCACCTTGAGACGTGGAGTTGTACAAGTTGGAAAAATTAGTTGACCTGGAGACGAGGCCCAGGCTTATATAGATTGACCAACTGGAAGGTTACGCTGATGGTAATTAAACTTTGACTAGTCTGTGTGTGATAAGGCAATTGCCCCAGGAAATTGAAATAGTGCGGGGAGGCTTGATACTACTGTAACGCCCTGTGAGCAAGGAGATGGTATGCTATGGTCAGCATGGGGTAATTGCTCGCTTCTTCTTCTACCCCGCAAGATTGTACAAGGTAAACCTCGGTCAATAGCATTCTGTGCAGGATTGAGCAGCTCAGGAGGAGTCAAATGGGGTTGAGTCGAAACGACTGCCGTGATTGCCGCGTATGGAATCAAGAACCATGCTGAGATTGGCGGCGGCTGTTCATCACAATGAAGGGATAGCTCCACGTGGGGGAATTCGATAAGACGGGGGAAACGAGGCTCCAGACGCAAGCTAGTGCAACCGAGAAGTGACTGGGGCCCCAGACGGAATCTGCGGAGAGGCTCAGCCCCTTGTCTCAAGATCTTGGGGAAGCAAACTCAAAGGGCTCTTTGGCCATAGATGGGATAGCATCAGCCAAAAGGTCGGTGTTTGCACCCCGAATAGTCTAGATATTCGGTCACGAGGACACCGAGACGCATAATCGAAACGATCACAGCTTCGGGCCAGAGAAAGCTTAATATCTTGACTCCATTCCGGTTGTGCATCACGGCAAATACTTGGCATCCAGCTGGTCCTAGAGGCCATATCTAGATTGCAGTCCTTTATCAGGACCACCCATGTGGACTTCTCACACAGCCAATCGAAGCGTTACAATGACCGACCTACTCGAGAGTGCGTGACAGGTTAAAGAACCCCGTCTGTCCCGCCTTACATCACGTAGAATTTTTTAGATACCACCATCACAAATAAAATGGCCGATTTTGACGCTAAGACCCAGTTGGTAAAGGGGAGCCTGCCCTGGACGCGCCGCGTCGCATACAATGTCCAAATCCGGGCAATACAAGCGACCCTGACGACCTTCGACTGGTTGGGCTCATTCACCAGAACTTCAGCCAACGCGCCCAATGTTGTCAAGACATACAATGTGAGAGGTCATTTGCCTGTGCGGTAAGTTTTCAACACAATGTCTCGACACCTCGGCTTTGATTTCCATTTCCGAGCAGTGTCTTCATTTCGGTGTCTCTCTCTTCACGTTCCAGAGCTGATCAGCGTTGTAGCATTTTTCTTCCTTCTTCCTATGAAGCCGGCTCATCCAAGCCCCTTCCAACACTGTTTACTATTCACGGTGGTGGTTTTTGCATAGGCTCCTCCCAGGATGATGATGCCTGGAACCGTTCCTTTTCCGACACCCATTCCGTCTTGGTCATTGCATTGAACTACAGCAAAGCCCCAGCAGCCCCCTTCCCTACTGGCTTAGATGATCTTGTCTCGCTATACCACGCCGCTTTGGATGATGAGTCTCTCCCCATTGACAAGGCAGACGGCGGACGTGTCGCCATCTGCGGGTTCAGCGCAGGCGGCAATCTGAGCCTGGGCTTGTCTCAGCGCCTGCTCCAGTCTGACCACTGCGCTTGTCCTCCTCGTGCAACTATCTCTGTCTACGGCGCACTTGATCTTAGCCGTTCCCCAGAGGCAAAACTTAGTACGCGTCAGTACAAAGTGGATGCCAGTCTCGGCTCCCCGCGCACGTCCGCACGCGATCTCCTCCTCAGCATGGCCCCGCTCTTCGATTGGAGTTATCTGCCCGATGGACAGGACCTGCGAGACCCTCTCTTGAGCCCTGGCCCGTACGCTGATCCAGATGATCTTCCTCCCCATGTTTTCATCATCGCATCGGAATTGGACATGTTGGCAAAGGAGAGTCTGGAGTGTGCAACCCGTCTAGCCCGCGCAAGAGGAGGCTCGGGAATATCGGACGCTGGTTCCGAGCTTTCTCGCTGCGGGCGTTCAGAACCTGGAAACCCTGGGGAGCTGGAGCTGGAAGATAAGCGATTCGCTTGGCAGGAAACCTTTTCTGATGGCAGCGTCAGATGGCTCCTGGTGCCGGATGTCCTGCATGGTTTCGACAGTCTACCCATGCGTGAGAGGGTTGGAGACAAAGAGACGATAAAGGATGCAGAGCTTAAGACAAAAGCGTACTGCAACCTGCTAGGTGACTGGCTTCTTAACACTGTTTTCGATGCTTGAAGAAAGGATCACAGACAGACTCGCTTCAGTTCTCAGATCAACCAATCGCCACTTATTTCATCATACTTAGATATTCAATACACCTCAGCTCGAAGTTGCTTTGGCATCTTGTGTATAATTAGCCCGGCTTGACAACGGGGAATTGCCTGCTGCAGAAATTACTAAAAAGAGTGACTCATTAGGACGCACCGTAAATAACAGATAAAATGGCACAAACTTATCAATATCGATCTATTTGTAATAACAAGTGCCAAGAGAATCCAGACTCTTTGGAGCGCGTATGCCTGGATTGTGTCTGACCCAACTTGGTGAGCGAACCGGCCGGTAGATAGGATTGGTGCAGGGGCAGGCATGCTTTCAATGCCACCCTACAAGCCCTAGCCTTGCGAAATATATCGGAGAGGGCCCGAGTAGTATTTCGGGTAGATCCCGAGACACTCGGACATCAGTCGCTTAGAGGAAAGTGCAGCGCAACCTCGGATCAGTTTCATTCGGGAGTTGGCCTTGATTTCCATCTCCAGATTCCCAACGTATCGATGTGACTCGCCTGAATCCCTCCAGACTTGTACTGCAAAGTGATATATGAAGGTTGTTTTTCATAAAGCAACGGACTAGATCAGATCCAACATGTCGGACTTGCCAAGACTTTACTTGGAGTGGCTGCCCAGCCTATACGGTCGCCACGACTGCTGTAGAGTTTCTTCCAGTTCGGGCTATGTTTGGCGACCGATTATCTATATGCTCTCCCGATATAGCTAAGCCTGCTGAGGAGGAGGAGGAAGACATCTACGGCATTCTCCATCGTTTGGTCGCCAAATAAATTCCTTCTTGTTGTCATATGTCGGTCGAGATGTCGGAGGACTTGCGCAAGGAAAACCTTGATTTCGTGCCTGGTAGATCAACTCTCCAGATCATTTGTATAGCCAGTGGCGAGCAATTATTGCTTGATAACCCGAAGTTTCTCAAGACCGAAGTATCCGACTCGCCTTGCCATGGCCGTTTGTATCCGTCCGAGATGGCATAGGAAGCTTGCTTGCAACGTCCGCAGGCCACGATCAGACCCCGAGTCCACGCCGTCAACGGGGACTATCATAAGCATAGCAGGTTATAAGCACAGCCTGTGAGGGGAGCATCTATCAGAATTCACAGTTTCTTTAGAGCAAGCGGCCACGCTATTCGGATGACCCGGAGCTGGATGATTCTGAGGTGATCAATTCAAACTCACGCACACATGATCATCTGGGGACAACATGATAGTGGCATACATCGCCAAAGCGATTTTTTCACAGCTTGCAAGCCTTTATGCGCGCTCTGGCAGGCCATATTGACATTTGGTCGCTGCTGGTCATTCACTACCCGGTACTCTTTTGTGATGAGAAGAACATTACAAATCACAAGACCCAAAGGTCGTGAGCTAGCCAGGCCCTCATATTCAGAGTGCAGTATGATAAGATAGCATCTTTGGGCGATGGCCGTGTTGGATAACGCCATTGAATGATGCTGGGTCGCCGAGCGGGACAGTCTCATATTGAATCAGTTCATATCAAGAGCTCCTCAAAGATAGCTCCAAAGGGGGGAGGATGGCCGGGCCGTTGCAAAGGCCAAAAAGTCAAAGTCTGAGTTTAGCTGCTCAATTATTCATCGTCAGGGCCTTTGTAGTCACTTGATATATCAGTGTTAGCCAAAACTATACGAGATGCAACAGACTCTTCGTGATGGTTTTGCCCGAGGCCTTGTCCGCACCAAAGCATTTATTTAGTCCAGCTTCAGGCCGAAAGGACCAAGCCGCGAACGACGAATCCGATAGAAACATTGTCTAAGTAAGAGTGTTGAAGGTTTTATAATAAATTCTCACGCACCAGCGGCATTTCGGTATTATAGCCGGCGGTCGGTATTGTGCGACTCCAAATCCCGCCTCGATTGGTCTAGCGGCTGATGTTGGATGCTCATCACTTACTCCAACTTGATCAGATGACGCAGCCAGGTTGCATACCAAGCCTCAGCTTCCCCTCAATCAATGAAAACCTACCAGTTTCAAATCATAGCAAAACAACCTCATAATCCAAAATGAAGCCGTCGCCGTTTACGTTTGACCCTCGTGCTGATACTCTACTCATTCTGCAAAACCCCAACGCGCATCTACAAGAGGAAAATGAGATCCAAGTGGACTCGGAGCCGGAGTATGAACGGCTTGGGGCCGATGAGGCGGGGTTGATGGAAACAACAAAGGTCCGACGCGATTCACCGATGACTCTGGACAATGACCAGAGTTATCCGAGAGGCTATTTAGAAGAGGGAGGGTCGACTCAGGTCGAATTCCGAGTTTCATCGAGACATCTGAGTCTTGTCTCACCGGTTTTCCGGGCGATGCTGGAAAGCCAATTCAAAGAGTCTCGGCCAAATGATCAAGGGCTCTATGAGCTGCAAGCTAGTGAATGGGATGCTGAGGCACTCGTGATCTTGCTCGATATCATCCACGGTCACCATCGCGAGGTGCCGAAACGGATATCAGTAGAGACGCTCTCACATATAGCAATTATTGTCGATTACTACGGCTGTCACGAGATCATGGAGCTGGTTTTCGCTGCTTGGGTGAGCTATCTCGGACCGCCTGAAGAGTTTGTCAAGCAGGATCCGATGCGCTGGTTGTTTATTTCTTGGGTCTTCAGGCAAGAATCATTATTTACAACCGCGACGAAGATGTTGCTGTTATACGACAACGGCAAATACGTGGTTGACCTACCAATACCCCAGCCAATATTAGGTAATGACGCGCCAAAACATTCCTTCATCGATGATACTGATAATCCACAGATAAAATTGACGACAACCGTCAATTCGTTCTCAATACTCTCTTCGGCCATCTCTACAATCTCCAACAAGATCTCCTCGAAGGCAAAGCCGGCTGCTCAGAAACATGCGCCAGTATGCTTCTCGGGTCGTTGATGAAGCAGATGCGAACAAGAGGTCTCACGCCTGTTAGACCATCGATGCCATTCGATGGATGGAGAGTTGAAGACGCGCGTAGTATGATTCTTGGCTTTGCGGCGCGGCCTTGGCGCGTGCCTGGAAGATCCACGGATCATCCTTGTACATTGAACAAGTTTTTGTTTTCACGCGTCAGTTTGACACTTGCACATGCGAAGGGTCTTGAGTTGAAGGATTTTGAAGGGAGTCCTTGTGCGTTGTTTCAATCTGTGAGCTCATAGTAGCACAAGTGTATTAACGTCAAGTACGCTTGATACATTGTTCATCAATGTTGAAACATATGGTCAGCGTGTATCATAGCCTAGTTGAAGTTGTGCAATCCTAAGACAGGGCTTACTAGATTTTTGCAAGTGATATTGCTCATTATATCTATTAAAGGAACCCTGTCACGACTTTTAATCTCCAGAGTGGAAGAAAACCAGCATGTTTTGGGTCTACCATAAGACCATCAGCTAATTAGATTTCAGACAGGCTGGAATAGATAAGTATATATATCAGAATCTACAATTACAAATTACATATAACCCTGAGGTTTTCTCTACTTAGCTACCTTTGTTAAATAGTATATCAAGACAAAGTATAATAGCTCTTGTGTCTCCTATAGGGTATCTGAGACTACTACTACGTATGAGAAAACAAAAAAGACAAGCGAGGCTGTTGGGATCGTATTTAACGCGGCTTACCTTACTAACCGAGTTTTGCCCCCGGTTCAGGGGTTACGCTATTCCCAATCCGATTAGTCTAATCGGGTGTAGAGGTGGTGAACTAAGGCAGCCGGGATCTTCCGCAGTGGAATTGGGATGAGGCTGCAGGTGTCTCGTGTGAACTCTTCGGTGCACAGCTTTTGTCGTACGATACAACTTCTTTTCGTGTTTTCCCGTTGATTCAGAGCGTTTTTGCTTGACGATGAGCGCTATCTAGAGACTATTGCCTAAGACATCAATAACCGTTTTTGCTTTTTACTTGCCGAGATTGGAGCTCCATCTTTCAGAGCCAGCTAGTTATGCATTTTGTTACAGCTGAGCTCCAGGCCCAATGAGAACCCGATATCTAGCCCCGTATAGGACTAGGTCCCAGCGCCACTAGCCCCCTTACCTGCAATTTTCTGGCCTGAGCTGCAATCGTCAGCGCAGCAGATACGGTTTGCAACTCTCCACTGCAACAATCAATCAATCAACAACAACAATCTCACTCTCTTTGCGCACACTCAACGACACCTTGTGAGCCTCATCAAGTGATAGGCGCGCAAGCAGCAACCACTATCCAAGGACTCAGCGCACTCTTAGCATGCTGATGCGATAGCGCGACCGACAGAGGAGTCAGCCAAAATGGCAGGCCAGGAGCCTCTGCGACAGTTTCGAGATGTCAAAGATGCCGTCTATCGCTACGATTCGGTTTTCGCGTCAATCAAGTCGCCAACTGAGATTTACGAGGAGAAACTGAGATCACTTCAAGATCGCATCGCGCAAATATGGTCTGAATTGCATTCGGCGCCGCCGGACCAAACATCCCGGCTTCAGGACAACCTGATTGAGCTGGCCGGCCAGAAGAAGGAACTGGAAATCGATCAAAAGACCAACATTGAGCACTATGAAAGAGTTCACGCGGAGAAGCTTCGGCAAACCATGGACTCGTTCCGCGACCATCTCTTTCAACTCATGGGAGCATCCAGCGTACAGTCTCAATTTCATATGACGCCTGACACTACGAGGCTTGGGACTGATCGAGTTGAGAGCGCGCCCGTGGAACCCGCGTTTCCTGAACTGACATCTATCGTCCCTGTTTCTGCAAATGATGAGATGGATGATGGACCCATGTTTGACGATAACCTGATGGATGACACTATGGAAGACGGTGCTGATCACGAACCTGCGGAAGACATCTCACCCCAGGAGGACAGTGTGATGCAAGAACCTGTCGAGACCGAACCTCATCACGAAGAACCCATAGAAGAGCTTACAGAAAACCCAACAGAAGACGAACCTTTCGAGGCGGCACCTACCAACAAGGAACCTACGGAGGAAGAAACCGCCAAAGGGGAAACTGTTGAGGAACGAGCAGAGGAAGAGCCAGCGGAGAGAGTGTCCGCCGACGAGGAAGCTGGCGCGGACGGTACTGAAGAGCCTGATGACCACCAAGCTACAGAACCAGAACCAGAACCAGAACCAGTCGAGAGAGAATCTGTTGACGATAAGCCTATTGCAAGCAGGACTCGAAAGCCTCGCAGTCGAATAAAGGAATCGAGCCGCGACAGCGCTGCCCGCCAAAATATTTTTGCTCGTCAAGCCAGATATACCTTCAGTCCATCGCCGACTCCGGCCGCTGAAACCATTACGGTACAAGCGGACGAGTCTGATGATGAAGAGGACGATGAAGGTGATGACGAAGAGGGGGATGAAGATGAGGACGAAAATAAGGACGAAGATAAAGACGAAAATGACGACGAGAATGACGACGAAGACGAGGAAGAAGACGAGGACGAATCGGAAGAAGACGATGAGGTATCTGAAGCCGAATTCTCCGAACCCGAAGAAGCCCCGCCATCACCACGACAAACTAGATCAGGAGGAGTAAGCCAATACACCTCCAGCTTTGTGTGATATGTTACTTACCCACTTTGTTAGACCAAACGCAAGGGAAACTTCTCGAGTCCAATGACCAAAACCAAACGCCAAAAGTCAGAACGCGCACCCTCTACTAGCAAAGAGAAACAAAAGGATGCACCAACAATAGAGTCAACACGACGACAGACTCGACTAAGTCAGCGACATCACGACCCGACAGATGCTGACGAATTCAAGGGAATCACTGACCCGAAATGCGGAAAGGTCTATTTGACGTACTGGGACAAGACCAAGGAATGGCTTGCTGTCCTCATTCTCCCAATGGGCAGTTTCGACAAGATCGGAATTCCTGGATCTATCGAAAGTTGCGGATTAGCTGACTCCCTTCCACCTTGTTACCAGTATGATAAAGTGTCCGGGGAATATACATGGGCTAAACCTTACGAGACTGGTAATTCACTCGTCAACGAGCGCATGTTTCCAGTCATGTACTTTGACGGTCGAGACTTTCCTAACAGGAGTGCCATCGACTGGATCGACGCAAAGGACTTGCGGAGATTTAACCCAAAGCTCAATAACGATATTCTTCCTCACATCAAAGAGGTTGAGAGATATCTAAAGGCTGACCCGGCCAGAAGAGTTATACAAGAGGATGAAGATGGCGAGGGAGTACCGTACAAAGAGCGAACTGAGTCACAAGCACCGAAACCAGAAGAACTGAAGAACAAGAAGAAGAAACGCAAGTCGAGTGAACAGAAGACTCCGGGATCCAGCAAAGCCAAGACAAATTCAAAGAAGCAGGCCCCAGCAGCAGACCCACCAGCACCAGTCGCAGAGGTTCAGAAAGTGACCCCTACGCCGGAACAAATGGCAGCACATAGGGCAGCAGCACTGAAGCCTCAGGTGCTGAGGATGATAGGCCACCATTATGGCTCGGACAAATCAAAACCTGCCAAGACCGCAGCCTCGAAGCCAGCAACGACGGCCCGTTCAAAATCAAATGAGAAAAGTTCAAATGGTCGGCCTGCATCGAAACCGCCCTCTCATGAGCCAGTAGGGTCGAAGTCATCGACCTCAAGGCCAGGAGCAACCAATCCTACGAGACCGGCGGGGAAAGGATCTAGTCAGCATGCAGCATCAGCCCACAGGCCATCGGGCTCGAGGACACCGGCTACTCCAGATCCCAAACCAACCGCCGCGAGGCCTGTAGACAAACAATCAAACCAGCCTGCTCCGAAGCCATCCGCAGCAAAGCAGGCAACAGCGAGACCAGCCGAGAAAAATGCAAGCCAGTCTACCCCAAAGCCGCCAGCAGCAAGGGCAGCGTCGAAACCAGCTGAGAAGGAATCAAATCAACCTGCACAGACTGCATCAGCACCGAGGCCTGCCGAGAATCATCAAACCAATCAGGCCCGGACAAGACCCAAGTCAACAGATCCGAGACCTCCGGCAACAAGGGCAACGTCAGGCACACGTGCTGAGAAGGAGCCTAGCCAACCTGTCTCAAAGCCGACGGCACCAAAGCCAACAGCGCCGAGGCCAGCTGAGAAGGAATCGAATCCACCTCCACCAAAGCCAACCGAACATCGCCCAAACAAGCCTGCTCAGACTAAGCCTCAGGCGCCTGTAACTGGTATGATTACTCGCCGTATGCAAACTCGGAATTTACAGCTAATGAGCCCCAGCGGAACCTGAAGTCTCTTCTCCAATCTTCGACGAAATTCAAACAGAATTTGTGCCTCAGGATGATGAGCCTTCTCCAGCTTTGGAAGACAACTCTCAAGCGGCCCCTATCCAGCAACAAGCAGCTCCTGTTCCACAACAAGCAGCTCCTGTTCCACAACAAGCTACTCCTGCACAGCAACAAGTTGCTCCCGTTCAGCAACAGGCTACTCCCGTTCAACAACAGGCTGCCCAGCCCAATGCTGACCCTCTGCCTCCACCTCCGCCCCCAGCTCCGAGAGTTCCAAGAGCACCATCAGCGCCGCCAAGGCACCAGTCTGTTCCGCAGCCCAGTAATCTTTCCCGTCCCTTGCCAGTACCTTCACCAGTGCCAAGGCCTGCAAGTACTAGGAATCCGCCACGGCCACTACCCGGTGAAGATGTCAAGAAGGAGAAGAAACCCATCATTGTTATTGACATTTCAGATGACGACTCAGACGGCGCTGCTGAAGAAAATGCCGCTGCTGCGCGCATGTTATCGCAACGGGCTTCCCGAGCTCAAGTTCTTCAACAGTTGACTGCCGCTCTGGCACAAGACTTAGTCACTAACCAACCACGAACGACAGCAGTCCAGCGTACTGACCCAGATCGACTGACGGCGGTTGACATCGCGCTGGCGGCACTGAGAGGGGATGGACCGTCGAATTCGTCAGCTAGACAGTCGTGGGACCGGAGACCTTACGATTCGACACATAGGCCTGTGCAAGGGGACGCTGAGAGGACACGTGGACCACTTTACAGCTCAACTGCGACAAACACGTCTCCGCCAGATCAGTATCGAGCACAAATGGCAAACACGGACCGAAATATCGGTAGGCAGCTTGGCTCTGGATCACTCCCGACCCCGCCGACCCAGTCGTTGTCGGGCCCCATGGAGATCGATAGCTATTCATCACGCCCTCCATACAGCGCAGGGCCGAGTCCAATAAGCCAAGCATATCGCCAGCCACATCCTGAGCAGTACTCACATCTGCAGCAGCCCCAGCCACGGCAAGGGCATGCTTCTCAACAACAGCTCCTGACTGACTACACGAATGCTGCACCCAGCCACCCAGAAAACTCATCTCGTCGGGCAAGTTATGACCAGACACCACGGATACCTGAACCTCCTCCCACGACTCAGTACTGGCATACGCAAGGGCGATTGCAGCAGACAGGCGATCCCCAACAGTCACAGCAGAATCAATATCAGCCAAGTCAGCAATCGCATGCTTCCCCTGTGTCCACTGCACCCTCGATCCAGTATCCAAGACCTGATGCACAGCAGCAATATCCGACTCAACAGGCGGCCCCATCGCAATATCAGAATACACAGTACCAGGCGCAGCAATCGCAAGCGCAGTCATATACCCAGTCGCCGCAAGCTTACCAACAACAGCCGCTGGTGCAATATCAACAGCCACAACCCGCCCAACAATATCATGATGCTCCTCAGCCAGCTCCAACTCAGCAGTATGACACGCAGGTGCAAACTCAGCCAGTTGAGAGATCTACCCAACGCACTCCTACTCTTTCACACCTGATGCACAGACATCTGCATGAATCTTCGCACCAAAACCGTAACCAGGTGCTGCCGCCACTTCCGCAGTCTTCTCCCCCCATTCCTTCTCCCCAAACCCACAACCAGTCATCGCATGCATCGCGCCCATCCTTCTCCAGCCCTTATGCCAGTACTCCGACACAGCCTCCACCACAGGCGGGCCAGTTCCCAAGTGTACCAACAGTCCTCTCGCAGCAAACTGTGCAGCAGACGGCGCCTCTCCGTACTAGCCACGAGTGGCCAACCGCATATCAAAGCAGCCAAGTTCAAGCACAGCAGGTGGGGGCATCTGCTGAACGGCCTTCTTCGTCTCAGTATCAATCCACACCCTCAAGCCACTCTCGGCCAGCGTCTGGCCACAGACAAAACGAACAGCGGCCTTCCTACCAAGCATCAACTCATAACGCATCTCAATCTTACGCCTCACCGCACTGGAACCAGCAATCATCAAGCCAGGCTTCGAATCTTCCTCTTCCTCGGCCACTCCCGGTCGATCCACAACTCCAACAAGATCCGAACGTATTGCCGCCCTTAGTATCGAGTAACAGGCCACAAGAACGACCAAACCAGTCTTCTTATAACCCCTACTCAACCATTGCTAGCAGTCCCCAGCGTCAAGAATCATTTTCTGCTGGAGCACATGCGCATCAGCTTCCTCGACCCGGGCAAGCAGGTGCTAGCTCGCCACCGGGATTCTCTCAAGCACCACCCCAACAACCAGCACCCGCAGCAGCGTATCACACAGCGCCACGTCACCAAGCTGAACCAGCTGCTGGACATGGGCCCTCAGCGACACAACAAGCAGCAAGCTCTCATGAACAACGGGCCCTACCTCCCCCACCAGAGTCTTCAGCACCTCCGGCATCACAGCCATCCGCGTCAACATCTTCCAATCAACAAGCTGAGGCCGGGTCTAGTTCGTCCCGTGATAAGCGAGACAAGCGTGATAAGCTAAACTCAGAGCCGCCGGGAAACACTCAGCAACCAGAACCAGCCAATAAGTTTCACCCATGGGTCCAAGTTGATCTGAACCTACCTCAAGACCCACCCGACTGGGGTGACTCAATGCCATTTGAGCTTGTAGAGTTTATCTCTGAATGGGAACGCCTTCGTTCTCTACGCCAAGGACTGGCAGGTCTACGAAACCACAAGGGCGGCCTCGAATGCCTGTTCTGCAATGGCCCTGAACGGGTGCCTTATGTCTATGACCGTAAGAACTATTTTGAGAAGCATCTCTTGCATCACTGGCAGAGGGTGAAGAAGCTTCATCCTGAGGGGCCAGACCCTACCCCACGCCCAGTACAGCGGCAACAGCAGTACGTTTTTCGGGACGGCACTGCAAATCTCAATATTTGATCTGGGAGTAAAAAAATAGGGAAAGATTATCGAGGTGTAATTGAATTTAATGAGGCGTTAAGTGTTGATGCATTTTGGTGTCAGACGGGAGGATGCACAAGAGTAGAGCTATCATCACTCTTGTGCCACACATAGTATTTGGATAGACATAAGACTGACTGATGTATTGGATATATGATCTAAATATTTACACATGGAAGATTATCTGCTCAGCTCAAAGCCAGCTAAACGCCATCAAGCTCAGCGAAACATGCATCGCCACAAGATGCCAAACTTATCAAATGTCTCGGTAGGCATTAATCAAAGGAGCGTTTAGTCCCTCGCAGTCTCAATCACGCACCGCAACGACGAGTGAGACTGACATCATCTACACGCATGTAAGCATACCGGAATCCACCTTCGCACTGGATCTCGAAACGCAGTTCCCCAGCATCACCGGGGTTCTGCGGCGTGAAGACCCCGTTCGCTCGCTGATACGTGTAGGGGCCATTTGCATCAAAGTCACTGCTATCGCCTATCTTTTTCCCATTGACGTAGGTGGTGGCATAGCAGCGGAAGTCAAAGGTATCGTACCCATTATTGCCCATGGCGATGTAGTATACCAACTCGTATTCGTTGTCTCCCAATGCGGGGAGAGCTTGAGAGAACGTGGTGGATGGGCTGTCGGAAGTGATGTGGCTCACACTGGTTCATGCGCTGTTAGTATAGTTTATAGACGAAACGTGGCAGTGGAAAAAGGTCGCTTACAGGAGGTTGGAGGGGGAACGCGGTTGCACTGTATCGAGGGCGACACCGCTACTCAAGTCCCATGGCCAAGCATTGCTGTTGCTATCATCGAAGCCGGGGTTGTAAAGAATCTGCTCTTCAAGACAAGGACCTGGCCCAACGGGACCAGCAGTGGTGGTCGTAGATTGCTCAGGAGATTGTTCGGCGGTAGTAGTAGTCAAGAAAGTGGTCAGAGACCCGGCGGTCGTCGCGGTGTCCGTAGCGCTCTCGGTGATGGTAGTGTCGATAGCATCCGTGGTAGCAGTAGTACCAGTGGCAGCGCCGGTGACTGTGGTCTCGGTCACGTCGGCAGTGATTGTTGACGATAAAGTCTCGTGAGAAGTCGCAGTCGTAGTCGTCTCGAAAATAGCTGTAGAGGACAGGGAGAGTGAAGAAACAGGCTTGCAAGGTCCAGCGCTAACACCGCTAAAAGCAAGAGCAGCAGCCAGAACTGCAACCAATTGACGAGCCATGATAAAATTGTAGCGAAAGGACAGTGCAAAGTAAGCACAAAAATGAGAGATCGACAGCAATAGACTAGAAATGTTTAGAGACAAGGTAACGAGGGATTGAGTCCCTCATAACTTAAATTTACGGTTATTCTCCCCTGATGCTAAAATCGTTGATTTGTGCGCCACAAATGAGATATTGGCTTTGGCGTTCACTACAGGCAATAGTTTGGTGGGCTGTGATGAGAGCTGAACTACGTTACAGGGGTTGAGTCGCTGTCGTGGAAGCCAACACAGCGCTAAATATGCACTAACAGTGATAACCCAGACAGACAGACCGCCTAGTCTAAGGGAGGAAAGAAAACCCAGGACCTTAATCCAAGTGAATAAAAGGTTTAGGTAGGTAGGTAGCCTGAATAAATTAGGGCCGCCTCCTTCACAGAGTCAAGTCATTTCAGGGTCGTGCCATGATCTCAAACCGCCAGATGCACCTCTTAACTAGTCGCTCAGGTCCAGTTTGTTGACCTCGGATTCTTTGAGGTTGGATCACGCGCAAGCCTTATGAGGCCATTCATTTTTGACACTGTTCAAAGGACCAGCTGTCAGACTGGTTACATGGTTGATGATTCACTTATATTTCCTTACTGCGACGTCGATCGGTTGCGTCGTTCATCTCATCTCCTTTGCTTTGATGGATGAGATTTCACTCATCGCCACTCCAGGGATGAACAATGGAAGTCAGCAGTGAGGGCAAGGGCTTTGGCCCTTACATCGATCGATCGGTCAAGTGGGAACATGAACAGTCAAAAATGCGCACAAAGGACAGATTGAACAGCAGTGACTGTAATGAGATAAAAATAGAAATAGTTGAATGAAAACACCAGAACGAACAGTCAAACGATCCATCAACAGTGAGTGAGTGATTCACAGTGAGTGAGTTGAGTTGAGTTGGTGCGGAGACAAACACAAGACGCGTTGCGTTAGTTGTCCCCGCAACAAAAAAAACAGAGCCAACGACGCGTCGGGAGGAAAATGATCCGTCAATGCATCGAATTTTCAATTGACGAGAGACACAAAACAAACAGAAGAGGCCAGACAAGGGAACAGCGACATCGCATGACGAGAACAAAACGACTAATCTCATAGATCAACGCGCACTTTATCGCCTACAACATAAACCCACCGCGACAAACTCTATTCCCACTATCCAAAGCCTCATCTCATCCCCTCATCTCAACAGACCCCACCAAAACCCAACATGGATAACTATCAGAGAATAGAAAAAGTCGGAGAAGGTCTGAACATCCCTGCCATGCATGACATGACTAATACACAAGGTACTCATTTACTGACTACTCTCAGGTACTTATGGTGTTGTCTACAAAGCCCGTGATCTCAGCCACAATGGCCGCATCGTCGCTCTCAAAAAGATCCGTCTCGAGACCGAAGACGAAGGCGTGCCCAGCACCGCCATCCGCGAGATTTCCGTCCTGAGAGAACTTAACCACCCAAATGTCGTCAGCCTCCTGAATATTGTTCACGCCGACGGCCACAAGCTCTACCTCGTCATGGAATTCCTCGACCTTGATCTTAAAAAGTACATGGACTCGCTCCCCATCACAGACGGCGGCCGTGGAAAGCCTCTCCCTACTGGAACGGCCACTACCGTGCGAAACCTGGGAATGGATGAGAAGGTGGTGCAGAAGTTTATGCTGGATCTCGTCCAGGGCATCAAATATTGTCACTCGCGTCGCATATTGCATCGCGACTTGAAGCCGCAGAACTTGCTCATTGATAAGGATGGAAACCTCAAACTGGCTGATTTTGGCTTGGCGAGAGCATTTGGTGTTCCTTTGAGAAGTTATACCCATGAGGTTGTCACGCTGTGGTATCGCGCCCCCGAGGTCTTGCTTGGTGGACGGCAGTATTCGACTGGTGTTGATATGTGGTCTGTCGGTACCATCTTTGCCGAGATGTGCTCCAAAAAGCCCCTTTTCCCTGGTGATTCAGAGATCGACGAGATCTTCAAGATCTTCCGGTGAGTCAGCCCCGACCTAGATCCTCGAGGTCGAGTACTAATCTTGGCAGAACCCTCGGAACCCCCGACGAAGACGCCTGGCCTGGTGTCACCACTTACCCAGATTTCAAGCCCTCTTTTCCCAAGTGGCAACGAGATTTCTCTACTCCTCTTTGCCCGAACCTGGATGAGGCTGGTCTAGAGCTACTTGACTACATGCTCATCTGCGATCCTGTAACTCGTATTTCTGCCAAGGCGGCCCTGAACCACCCTTACTTTGATGAGATTCTGTGAGTAGTGATACCGGGTTCGACGGGTACATCGCTGACATTTTGCTACCTCAGGGGCCGAAACTGATCCTCTCTTGCACTGAATCTTGAAGTGAGAGCAGATTATGGACGGGACATTGTAGAATACGAACACGGAAACGCATGACAACGATATCATGGAGGGTATGAGTAAGAAAACAGGATGAACCTAATGAGGATTATACGAAGGAGGCAATCGTGGATCATAGATGGCATAAGTATCGGAGGTCAAAATTGTAAACTGTACTTGACTTTGCGGTGCTGTTCTTCGCTTCATACTGTCCTAACTCAGGCGTGGTCAACTAACATTTAAGGCGTCACTTTTATTTCCTCAACGAACTGAACTCAGGCGAGGAGACACGAAGAAGGGTAATACTGAATACAAGTATGCTAAGAATTATGTACAAACTTTCGAGGTCACTCCTCAGACCTTGGCCTTGGTAGTAGCACCAATAGCAGCCCCAGAAGCAGGAATCAAGAAATCACTAGCCTTTACACGCCCATCAGTTCCACGAGCACCCTTGAGTGTGGATGCATCTGTGCTCTTGAAAGAAGCATCATTCCAGGTGTCTTTGCTGTCCCACGAGTTACCAGAGGCAGAAACCTTGCTGTTCAAGCTGACCTGATCACCCGTGTTGCTGGCAGCAACGTTCTTAGTGACCTTGGACGAAGAGCTGCGAAGGTTGAACCCGTTATCACCGTTCTTCCAAGCAGTATTACGGTCGAAGGTCAGAGAGCCAGGGTTTCCGTTATCAATGAAGCCCTTCTTGGCGTTCTGGAAGGCGATGCAGTTCTTGACAATGTGGTTCGCAGGAGGGTTGTTGGTGATGCCGAGCTTGAAGCCGTTACCGTCACCTTCGAAGGGCGTAAAAACCCAGCGGTTGAAACCGTTACCCCACGAGTATACTTCGTCGAGCGTGACTGGTGAGTCAAACATGTACAGGTCCAGACCATCGTCGACATTTTCCCAGAGTCGGGCATTGCGGAGGACGTTGCCTTCACCCGAACCCTCCTTACAAGCAAAACCGTCGGCACTCTCACCGTTCTTGCGAGGGTCACGGTTACGGTAGGAGTCGAGATTTATAACTTGGTTGTTAGAGGAAGCGCCTTCAAGCTGGAAGCCGGTCTCATAGTTGTCATGGGTGGAGAGACCTTCGTAGTAGTTGTTGGAGGCATCTCTGGCGTAGATGCCATATGGACCGTTGATGATTCTGTGAGATGTGAGTTTCGGAATATTCCTGGCTAGGGTTGAACTTACTCGAGATTATAGAAGGACCACCATTCAGCATTCTGAATATGGAAGACGCCACGCTCGGCATTGGGAAGTGACTCACCAACAGCCTTTGGTGTACTGTATCATGTTAGTCTCGCCATAGGATATACTGAAGTTGTCACTCACCCTGGCATATTCTCTCCATCGATGATAACCTTCTCATTCTGATAAGGCCTCACAGTAATGGGACTCCCCTTGGCGCCGCTGGTCTTGACCTGAATGTTCTTTGAGGGAGCATAAGTACCCTTCCTCAAGTAGATAAAGTCACCAGCCTTGGCAGCATCGATGGCAGATTGGATCGATCCATATGGCGCAGCAAGAGTACCAGAGCCAGTACCAGTAGGAGACACAAAGATATCCTTAGCGTTGGCACCAGCCAGGAAAGCTAGGACAATTGCGGGGGTAAGCTTAATAACAACCATATCTGCGAGATCCAATGACCAGAATGCTGTGACAATTCTTCATTTCGATGGATTTTTCTATTGACTTATGTATAAGAAGTGCACTATGCTTAATTTCCTAGATGGGACGTACGGATTGGTCCACTCCGAAGGGGACGACGAGGTTGAGGATGAGGGGTATTTCCACCAATGAGACGATATCACCCCTTTCAGAAGATCGCTGTTTCACTGGTGGACATCATTCGGAGATGTTTCAAAGGAAGTATTTGGGGGCATCTTGGAAGTTCGGGGATCCAATGTTGTCCATTTGCTCCTCGATGAAGTTAGTAAACTGATGATTCGGGGGAAAATAGTCCGAAGCGTTATGATCATATGTTCAGGATATTCCTCTGTCCAATCGCTCGACTCTCTATACTCGTATATTCGTAAAGCTACCTTGACCGACAGTTTGTTGTGAGTATAAGCCATTCCTAGTTGATTCTCCTCTCTGAGGAGGCGAGTAGGGTATGTCAACTTGTCAGGGATAGTCCAACCCCTTGTTAGTTTTGGGAGCATTCGAACCGCTAACGTGACGCCTACTCGTTGTTATCTGCACCCACACTATTCAGGTTTCTATAAGAGGCTTCCATGGACTTTGAAAGCTTGTCTCTATACCCGTAACCCCGTCGCTCGGTGATTGCTCCAAGCTCACAGTCCGACAGTCTTGCCCTAAGTCTATAGTTTCTCTTTCAGGGATGACCAAATAACAAGCGATCGAAGACTTGATGGTATGAAGATAAGCTTAACAGTCGCATCTATAGTCTTAGGATTCGATTTAATAGCAAGAACACTCCACTTGGGGTTACCCTTCATTCCAAATGCAAACAACCGGAAATTTGAATATAAGGCAAGTATGCCATATTCCTGACGAGGTCCCAAAGATACAAGAGACCCTATGGCGCTTGTAATTGGCGTTGCGGTTATTGTAGCTGACGTTGGATTCTGGACTGAAGCCTCCGTGTTCAGACGGCAACCAATACTTTGAGGCTGGAGGCGTACAGTCTTAGTAAGAATCGACTGGCCCAGACCGTGATTGGCTTCTGCCTCGTGAGCCTGCAGCGTCATCATTACCAAACTTCATCCATGCTACTAAGCACTTGGGAATAGTGCCAAAACTAAAGAGAAGTATAAGAACGACGGTTCCAGAACATCCTTTTCTCCAAAGTTCACTTTGAGTCAAGAGTGAATATAGCTTGGAGATACAGACAATTTGCAGACGAAATGGGTGAGTTGAGATACCCCTCATCTGATGTCACGTCTGACATGCCCAACCACAGCCAATAACCAAACCCTCAGTTATGGCGTCGGCAAGATCGACGCCAAAGGGGCCTTCACGGCCGAAATCAAGATCGCTCCCCGTATCGGACTTGAAGATATGTGGCAGGGTCAATATGGCGGTGCTCAAGTTATGGGAAAGCGCCCAGGCATGTACATCAAGTACCTTCCTACGAAGTATCATCCTATCAACGGTGATATGCTTACGGGAGGGTGCTATCTCTTCGACACGCTCGAAAATGCAAAAGGCTACGAGGACTGGACCACAAACGAGTTCGAAGTGGGCGAGCCAAAGACGACCTATTGGAAACAGCCTTTGTTCAAGCATGTCGACTCTTTTGTTTGGAATGTCATCGGTGCTCACAACTTCACCCCAGTTGAAGACCATGGAATCGGCCGTTTCCAGCGTTGGACTTACCACCATGTCGGTGTTGAAGCCATCTTGAAGCAGCTGTATCCTGTCCTCAAAGATGCAGCCGAGAGAAGAGGAGCAGGCTCCTTTTGGCTCTTGCACCGGCCAGAGGATAAGATGGTCGCGGTTCACATGTCGTTCCCTAAGCCTGAAGATGGTGACCACGATTCGATGTATGAAGAAGTCGAGGATATTGCGCGTGAAGGTTCCGTCGCGGATGTATTTCCTAATGCGTTCGAGGTAGAAGTCCTGCTGGACAGAACGAGCATTTACTATGCTATTTGGCAGCCTTTGGCACAAGGAGATGGTGTCAAGGTCACGAGCTCAAACTTTCCGGATATTGCAAAGGCTTCGAATGGAGAAGCTTGAGTGATTGGAATATGGCGCGCAAGAAATTGAGGAGTACTGTCTGTTGATCTCATATCCGATGTTCACAAATGAACCGAACTTTTATGCTTCCTAATTTGTAACCTATTCCAACAGTGCCCTTTTCACCTTCTCAACCTCGTCCGAAGTTCCACAGACCAATCCAGCTCTATCATCACATCCCTTCAATATAGTATCGAATACTCTTGCGCCCGTCTCAGGGTCAATAGCCTGTCCGCCCGCACACTCAACAACGAGCGCTACAGGGAGCAGCTCATAGAGTCTTCGCAGCTTAGCCTTACTGGCAGCAGTCACTGGTGAGATGTACACGCCGTGACCTTTGACCAACGCGTGATAAATATCGGGAATGAGACCTCCCGAGTACCGTAGCGTGTACTTGTCTGTAATGAAATTTGTCACGAGATTCATGTACTTCTCGTTATCGGCAGCGGCTCGTAGGTTGGCGGGGGCAAAGTAGCGTGTCTTGAAAGGAGGCTCAGCGAGACGAAGCTCGGGGCGAGCGACAACAAACTTTTGGGTGTCGTTGAGGCTGACTTCGAAGCATATGGGCTTCGATCCTGGGACGCGAAGGGCGACGATAGCGAGGGTTCGTGGACCGAATACTCCAAGAACAGAAGCAATTTGTTTCTCTGTAGGTTGGCCAACTGCTGTCACTCCATCCCAAATACCGATAATGGCACCCACGGACCAGTTTGGGCCGATGATAGAGCTTCCATCAAGAGGATCAAACGCGACGGTGTATTGCTCAACACTGGCATCAGCTTCCGTTGTCTCTCCTGCACGCGCTGGTTTCTCGACAGGGTCCTCTTCACTGCTGGCAGTTTTGATAGCCGATGACTTGGCAATACTGTCACGAATAATGTTCTCGGCCAGAACATCGACGTTCAGCTGCTCATCGCCAAAGGCATTCTCTGTGCCGACGATGGAAACATCATATGATCCTCTCAACCCTTTGCCAATATCTGCGATAGCGCTGAGAAGCTGAGGAATGACCGAGTCGCGCAATGAAGCTCTGTTTTCTTGGGGTAGCGCTGATTTGAGGAATGGCGCAAGCTCGAGCTCGGGTGCTTTTGTTGAAGACATTTTTGGTGGATGTGATGTTGAAAACGTCAAGTTCAAAATGTCGATCTCGAATTTGAGGTTGCGTCACTGAAAATTGACGCAATTGAGCTGCTGTCATTGTCGAGCTTAACCAGAAATAGTTTAAACAGTCGTTATCGACGGCCCGATTAGTGTTGATAGCGGGCGATAAGGGATGCTTCTGGATCTTGACATCACATCATGGCCATGGCGTCTAGGCTGAGCCATTCTGCCTTTATCTCAACATCGAATGTCTGAGGCAAAAGGATGAATGAAGTTGCGTTTTTTTCTTAGGAAAGTTGACAAGGAGCATGATTCTCACTTGTTTGTAGTTAGAGTATTGCTTAGCTCACCGACTTCGTGAACTCAAATAAAACTCTTGATTCATGATGCCCAAAAGACTCTGCGGAGAAGGCAGATTGAAGCGCTCTCGTTCCCACAACACATCCAAGTCTGTCATATCTCGTCTACATGGTTCAAATCAGCAATTTTGGGGAGAAAGTTCGGGATGTGAATCAGTCGACACCGAGTTTCCGGGAAATCCGGCTTCATGGTCTTATCGGGCCGCATGTATCTTGTTCAGAATATCGTATCACTGCAGCTCTCTTGTCAATGAAAGCGAAGGTTCATTTTAGACAGAAACATGAACTCAATCACCTGATCAATCAGGCCTGGGAAGAGCATTGGAGTCGGAGCGGGATGATCGATGAGCACATGCGGAACCGGGTCCGCAATACCGCATACGACAGAAGGTGAGGTGTCACAAATCGATCGACATTGGACAAATCTTGATTCAATAACTGCTCAATTCTGACAAGATACCCTGGTTCCACGGAACGTCTCACGAAATCGCATTAGATTACCGACATGTACAGGTTTCCTCGATACTCGGCGGTTGCGGAGTTCCATGTCCGTTAGATTACCATCTATCCCAATCGGCATCAGAGTGGACTCTACAATTTAGATTCACTGGCAAATCGTCAGATGGAAGGATCTGCACAATAGTATATTCATTAATCTCTTACGATGACGCAACAGTCTCGCTGGCTACAACAGGTCCCTTGAGCAGCACAGGGTTTCCGTCATAGAAGTTCTTGATATCTCCAAAGACAGCAGCGGCAGCCTCGCTAGCAGCAGCCTTCTCAAACACCTCAAGGCTCTCCCACTCAAGAGTAGCCTGGATCTGGAAGGGCGCGCCCTCCTGGAATGTAAGAACCTTGTAGTTCTTGAGACCATAGGAACCCCATTTGCTGCAGAGGCATTAGTAATTGCATTGGATTCTGGTGGCATGTCAGATCGGGGTCCCACTTACGATGCGACGAGAGGCATGTGCTTTGTGAGATAGTAATCCAGGTCGAAAGAAGGACCGGAGGGATAGACGACGAGGACCTGAGCCATTTTGATATGTTAAAAAGTGATTTGAGTGAAGTTTCTGGTGATAATTGTTTCGGTGAAACGGCCTCGGCAGCTAAAATCGAGGGGTAGCTAGCATTTATATAGTGGACGGCGCCGAGCGGGGGTGATAGGTAGCTCCCCACCTTGCGAATCGAATTGGGTGAGGCCAACGGGTCAACGGAGCCATCCTCGGGGAGTGATGTGATTGATGGAGACCGATTACTCAGCCTCAGAATCTATTTTGAATGGTGTTTTTCGGTTCCAAGAGGGTCCCGAGGTTGAGCGGTCAAGTCAGCAATCAATTGCCTTGGCTATTTAACCTTGGCTGGCTAATGCAGCCACGACAGGCACAAGTGCGTGGCTGATAAGCTCATCAAATTCTGACTGGTGTGACATCCATTGGCAGATTTTGACACAAGCGAGGTAAAACGTGATTCGAGTGATCGAAAATACGTCAAACGAGAATGAATATCTGCTCTCCAGCCATACCAGCCAGACCAGATTTGCCCTGGTTTGCAACAAAGCCAACGCGATTATATGCTGATAGGCTGTCTCTATATCATCCGAACCATCCGAAACGTTCTCTAACAGCTTCAAGGTCAGATCTGCTTCTTCTTATGACCCCCCTTTCCGTCGACTGCTGATCAAACATGTAAGCCCATATGACTCGCGAATGCTTCCCGGTCATCCCCGAAAATATACTGTTACACTGGTCAATAGCCAGTTTGCAGCAGTCAAGTGGACTTTCTATCCGCACTAATGACGAACAGAAGACTTACATTAACAATGCGAGCTAAGCACTGTCTGACCTTTGAGGCGTCGTGCCAACCTGGTCTTCTAACTCAGCTAATATAGGCACTCTCTGCGCCAGAATCTCTTGAAACTTAAACTCTATAACTCCCCGAGAAACGGCAGACGTACTACAACGAGAATTAATAAATATCTCTAGCTGCCGAGCTTACCACTTACTCATCTGGTAGGTGAAACATAACATCGAATTTTTGCTGAAGGCGCTGAATAATGTAGGGTGATTGAGCCAGACCTCCGACTAGGAGAATCGACTGTCTTCAAGTTAGTATAAGTATATAAGAAATCAAATCGTTGTTATAACCGACATTTGGCTTCCTTCCTATAGCCTCCAAGGCCGCAAACTGTGCATCAATAACCTTTTCGATGGCCATTAATGATTTTTCGAAACATTTACGAACAGCACTCCTATTGGATCAGTCAGCCATTGGTACTCTAGCGTTAGGTGTGAGAACCCACGGTTTAATCAACAGTTTGTTGGACGATGGCTGAAGTCGTCTTAAGGTGGAAATGGCCTTTCTCGGCAGCTGTAGGACAATATCGTGATTCTCATCGCCCCGGAAAGTTCTCTTCAACCCATATTCCCACTCGGTCTGGATAAAAAAGTCCAGCTCAGCCAGCGCAGATCTGGAAGTCCCCAAATTCGATGATGAATGGTTAAGCAAGTAATTGAGGAATTCCATATCGACTGCGTGCGTGCCGATTCGTTCACCTGGATAAGTGTTTAGTCAGTTTGGTATCATCGATTGGCAGAAGGTTTAAGATATACGAACCGTTCCAAGCTGTGAGCTGTCGAACAAGAGGAGGGGACTCTGTATGAACTTCGTAGCTGATAGCACGCTAAGGATATCATTGCAAGCGTTAGACCATTATTAATCCAGAAAGACGTGACCTTGATCAGTTGAGAAGACCCTTGGCCCTTTATCGTCTGAGGAATACGTACCGCACCAGTACCACCGCAATCACATACAACAACAATTTCCCCATTCTGGTATCCGTTAGTTGCAAGTTCCAAGATTGAATTATTCAAAGCATACCTCCATGACGATGCTTGGTCCTCTTACAGATAGGTCTAGTCTATATTGAGCCTTGAGCGAATTCAAGACGGCTGCTTGCATCTGTCCAACGGCATTGATTTGGACGACTTGCGACGCGTCGTTTTGGACCGTGGCGTCATATGCAACTCGTAGAAGGCGACTCTTTACGTCCCAAGAGAAATAGACAGGAATGGCAAGAGAGAGAATGAATTCAAGATCCCAAAGCTGGGTCTTTGAGAAAATCTCGTGCACAGCAAGGCTCCATAGACTTCGAATGTAAGACGTGAGGAATACGGCGGCCTGTGTACGAGTTGGCTCAACGCTGCTGCAAAAGTCTTCCAAGGCAGAGAAACAGCTTTTCGGCGGTATATTCACGGACTTGCGAAGTCGAGCAGCTTGCAACCTGGGACTTCCCCATACTTTCGTCTCTAGGTCATACTGCGTTGGGACCTGGCCATTTGATGTCGAGATGGTGGCTGCATGGGGCCAATCGTGTATTGAGTAAATCTCATAAGGGTTCGAGGAATCCGCCCACGAGACGGATGAGAACCTATAGTGCTAGGTTAGCTGGGCTGGCTGACGGCTACCTGTCTGGATGGGTACTTACACTGAGCCGAGGTCTATTCCAACGATGATTGTCTTGGGTTTGGAAACAGGCTTCAAAGGGGACCTATCAACAGATTTAGAACGAGTCTCCCCAAAGGCTTGGCTCTGTGGTTTCAAATATGCCAGCCGCTCCTGCGCACGCCTTCTGATATCGGAGGAGTTGGTGTAACTACTAGTATGGCGCATAGCTAGCTCGTACCACTCTCTCGCCTTGTTCAAGTCCAGTCCCACGTATTCCGCCTGCTCATAGTGACAACCCAAAACGTATTCTGCGGCGGATTTACCCTCAACTGCCCCCCATAGAGCGAACTTAAAGGACAGTTCTAGGTCCGATAGAAGGATGCCCTCTATGCCAGCATAGAACCAGCAACTCAGAGCCTCGGCTGCTTCTACTGAGCCGCGCCTCACTGCAAGGTAGTAGTAATGGAAGGACTTAGCCAGGTCCTTAGGGCAGTTTAGAAGCCCAAATTCGTACGCTTTGCCCATCTGGAACTGCGCCTTGTGATACCCTAGATTAGCGCTCTTTTCGATGTACGAGAAAGCTATTGTCTCATCTGTAGTCACCAAATACTCATCCATGTCAAAGTCGGCCAGATCGCCCGTTATGGCCATTCCGTAGGCATAAGCGCCTTGCGGGGCATCCTCATCGGCATTGTCTGCTGATTGTTTCAAAAGGGCCAACCCCTTCTCATAATCTTGCTCTTCTCCATGGCTGGCGTGTATCATCGTAAAAGCTAACTCGTAGCTAGCTGCAGGATCGCCCATCCCCTCAGCCTTCTCGTAGTACGGACGAGCCATTTCAAAGCCTTCTGGCTGTCGGTGGTATATACGTCCCAGATGATAACAGGAGCGCGCGTGGCCAAGTTCCGTTGATCGGTGGTAGAGTTTCATCGCCTGATCTAGATTTATTGGGTGGCCAAAGCGACCATATTCGAATAGCTTCCCTTGATGATAGAGGGCCTTTGGATGCTCCTCTAGAGAAAAGAGCCGTATTATGGCAAGAGCCTTGGCAGTAAGCTGTCCCTCGTTTTTCGAGGCCTCTTGGCTTCTTGGCATCTTAAGCCTGGCCTTCTCGGCCACGATAGCCCACGTTAAGACGTCACAGGCCCAGGCTAACTGAACTGCCGGGCTGTCGGAGTCGGAAAGATGGTCGCCGGCTCGTTTCAACACATCTTCTTTTTCGTCGTCTGTTGGAGGTATGTTGCCACCCGTAACCTTGGGGAATTTGAACGATAAAGGACTTGTCTCAGGTTTTCTGTCTTGTGTACCCTCCTCATATTTATCTAACGACTCGAGTCGGCGAACGGCATCCTCATTGCCGTGGTCGGCAGATAATTGGTACCACCTCCGAGCCTCGGCCCAATTCTTCTCAACGTGTATCCCGATCTCATTATAGTAACCCATGGCGAATTCGCCAGTCGCTAACCCACCAGCTGCGGCTTGTTGAGCGTACTTATATGCCAAAGACTCATTCTTAGCAAACGCACCCTCATATCCAAATAGGAACCATCGACTGACACCCAGAAAAGCCTCTGGTATTCCCTGCTTAGCTGCCAAGCCGTAATAGTAAAGGGAGTAGGATGGGTTGAAGTTGCAGTCAAGGTGACAAAGCTCATATGCCTGACCCATCTTGAGCTGAGCTTTAGCAAACCCTAAGTAAGCTGATTTCTCGATATACATCTTGGCCGCAGGAGGGTCATGAGGCAGCAGAACTTCAGAAATACTGATGTCGGGCAGCTCCCGTGCAATCAACATACCATATACGTAGGAGCCTTGAGGAGCGTCTTCGTCCGAGCTATCAGCAGAAGCCATTATCCGCTTAAGGCCATTAATCGTGTCTTTATCCTCTCCGTGTTGACCTAAGAGACTCATCATGCCCATTCTGTACAGTGAGGCGGAATCATTGAGAGCTAAACCGCGATAGTAATGTCGCTTGGCATTGAGAATATCGTTGGATTGCTCGTATATCACACCACACCTATACTCCGATCTGCCGTGGCCAAGGGCAGCGGCACGTGAGTATCCAACAAATGCCTCTTGCTTAATGGTAAATCAGTCAATCTTGTAATATCTCCAAGATAGATTGGATCGAGGATACTTACCTTATCAAGGCGATTGCCGAAGATACCAAACTCGACCCACTTTGTGCGCATATAAAGCGCCTCAGGGTGCTCCTGGTCTGCGAGATGAGTGATTAAATCCAGTGCATCGACAACAAGATCATGTTCTGCGTCAGGGGTTTCAGATCGGACATTGTCGTTGTACTCCTTCTCTCTTGCGCGATCCTCCTTGCAGATTTGTACCCAGGTGAGGACATCACGCGCCCAGGTAATTTGCATTGAGACGTTGTTTGAGTGCAAAACGTGACGGCGCGCGTTCCGTAGTATCTCCCCTTTCTCCTCTTCAGTTGGAGGGATGTTGTCAGCCTTGATCTTGGGGAAAGGCATAGAGTTGGGCCATTCCTCGGGGTCCTGACTGGGTCCCATATCCAGCTCCCCTATCACTCGGCTCATGTATTCTATACAGAGTTCAATGTTGGTACATAGATTCTCCTCCATATCATGTTGCTGTTGAGTGGTAAATTCACTCTCCTCCAATTTGGCACGTGAGGCTCGACAGAACTGGGCCTTGACTTGGTTTACATTCAAAAGAAGTTGCAGCGTCATCTCATTCTGCGTGTCAAGCCACGTATGAGCAGTCCATTTAGCAATCACCTCTTCAAGTTGTTTGACAAGATCATCAAGCCGAGACGAACCGATTGGCTTGTCTTGGCTCCAACGGGTCACTTCACGGTCGATTGCGCTTGATGTCGTCGCAGTTACGCTTTCAACGTCGTCTTCCGTTTGCTCGCTAATCTCTGACATTCTTGCTAGGTCTTTCTCAGATCCCATCTCGGGAGAATCGGAGGAGGCCTCATCGTCTGGGTTCAGATCCCAAGGAAGAGCCCTCAATGCCCATGAATGGAGATGCTCGGAAATGTGATCATCTTGATCGGGCCTCGAGTATCCGCACGGCCGTTTGCAGAGGGGGCATTGGACTAATTCGTTGAGGTCTCTCTTACTCATGCTACTAAGGAGCGTTAGACGATCCTCCGAGCAGCTGTGGCGAGATCTCATGTGGTTCGCCCATGACTCTTGGCTGTCAAAGATGAATTCGTCGTCATGGTCGCTTTCAAATATGCATTCGTCACAAGCCCAGCGCTCCGTCTTGTGTTGGTTCCTAATATGGTTGATCCATTCCTCCTTGGAGGCATATAAGTTGTGAAAGTCTGGACAATCGTGATAAATGCACGAATATGGATTTAAGTCTTGGGCAACGTGACCTCTAGATGAAAGAATTAGGCCCCTTCCATAGTGAGATATAACAGCACCTTAGTTGTACGACATACCGCCATCTGGACTTTGTTGCGTAGTCCTCGGACAAGACTTGCACGCAGTATGGACACTGAAAGCTGCCCTTCTTTGCGGGACATGCTGGGTAATCTTGGTTAGTGCCAGTCTGCGTAATTTTGGTCACGATTGAAAGTGCCCCCTTCTTGGGCTCCAACGGCATGATTATAGGTAGGATGAACTGTGAACCTAGTTCTGTCGCTGTCAAAGTCTTTGCTATTAGGGACTCGGTAGGTTCTGGGGGGACGGGCAATGGCTGGGTAGGGCTTGGGATAGGAAACGGCTCTTTTGTGTCAGTGCCAAACGTGCTTGCTTCTCTGGCTGGTCCAAGCAGCGCCCCCGGAAGTCGCGATGGCGCGATAGTTGTAGCAGTTTCTTCTTGAGGCTTTTTTGCGATAACATTCTTGCCGATAAAGCGCCTCGCGTACGCAATCCTGTTCCGCCTTATGACATTGGCCTCGATAAGCCTTTGCTGAGTTGATGTTGCCCGAGATGGATCAATAATCCATGAGCGAATGACGATTTCGACAGCTTTCGGTATTTCCTGGTTGATAGCTAGACGCCCCAGTTCAGTCAAAAGCTTTTGCTCGTAAGAGCTGACCAGAATGAGAAATAAGAGATGGTTCCTCAGCAGCGTGTATTCCTCATCATCCAGGTGATCTCTCAAGTACGTATCAGCTTTCAGGTAGCGTAGCTTTTGCCCTGATCTTCTTATGGCGACTGATATCTTGGCCAGTAGCTTCAGATTGGTTTCAATGTAGAATCTGGGGTCAGAGTTCTCGGTGTCTGGGGTATCTGCAATGGCTTCCTTGTCCTCTGGTTGTCTAACCTCGTCAGAGAGTTCGGACCAAGAGGACTTGCTTGAAGACTTGTCGGACTCGGACACCTCACCATCCAGGTCATCGCGAATAGACTCCTGGTCCTTGTCTATACCCGTTAACACAGTTTCTTCTGACTCGCAGCGTCTTAGAAATAGGGCCAGCCGTACCTGGTTGCAGATATTCCTTCAGCGCCAAGGCTAAGCTGTCGAGCAGGCCTGCGATGACTCTTTTGACATCTAGTCGCTCTCTGAGTCGATAGTCAAGCGAACTCCTGCCAGTCTTTTGCGCTTTTAAGCCATGAGCCCACCACGCAAAGTCTGCGGCGCAATCTTCGAACCAGTCATTGTCAGCGAGCGTCCGATGACCTGAGGTACTCTGGAAGAGGGCAAGGCATTCTTGGGTTCGACGGCAAAGGTCATTTGCGAGTTCCATTCTCTAGTGCGCACCGATGTCAGCGTCAGATGCCCCGCGTTCAGCTGGCAGGGTTTGAAATGGTTTAGAGGCTGACCGACAGACAGGCAGGCAGCCAACCAGATCGGATTTCCAGCGTTTCTGCCTCACATGACCAATAATTAATTATTGGCTCCAGTTGCAAATTGATTCTTTCCAATCTCTAATCTCTTTCGGTTATCATTCAAGTCAAGTCTTGGCAAGTTAATTAATCTCAATACTTGATCAATATTGCCCATATACGTCATGGACAAGTGTTGGTTTGTTCTATCTCAGACTCATTATCTCCCTCCCCAAGAAAGTGACGAAAATGGAGCATTCAAACAGACAGGGCCTCTCTGTCTGGGCCACTTCATCAAGAACCTCAACAACCTCGACCAGGTGATCAACACAAAAGGCCCTGAGCCATTCCCACTCGACATGCCTGTTAATCGCACAGGTCCGATTGAATTCGAGTGGGAATCGACTAAAGAAGGTGGTTTTGAAGCAACAACAACAGCAGATGTACCCATCGCTGCAGCGCCCGGCATCAACGCCAAGGCTTCGCTGGGCTTCGCCCTCAAGAAAACCGTTGGCAACCATTGGCAGATTGAACAACTCGAAACTCTCACTGTTGAGCCCACGAGAGCATACGTCAATCGCTCCCTAGCGAGGGACCAGACAGCCGAGTTCTTGCAAGACAACAAGTTTGGACCAACATGGTCAATTTTCATCATCACCGGGCTCAAGATTGTTCGCGGCAACTCTACCCAGAAAACCACTCACGAAAGAGAGAAGGGTATCAATGGAGGTCCGGGAGTGTAAGATTTCCGGATGCCCTCATACCAGTCGCTTCATCTAACTACTATTAGTGGCATCGCCGGCGTCGCTGAGATCTCTGTCGATAGTGGTTTCTCTTCAACGACGTCTACATCAACAGCTGCAAAGCACACGCACGACTTTGTCTGGGCAGTGAGGCTCTCCAAGATTACGAAAGGGCTTTTTGACAAGAAGTGGTCCAAGAAGACTTACTCTAGAGGTGCGACCTTCAACATGAAAGACAGCGGGACAGACATTGAGAGCATGCTCTTCGAGGAAGGATTGACGACCACTCAGCTGTTGACTGTAGAGGCCGACGAAACTGGCCCAGAGCATTTTGTGGTTCCAGTGGATACTACATCGTTTAGCGAGTTAAATTAGCGCAGCTTCAGGGCAGATTAAACTTTGCCTAGGAACTGCTTTTTCTCTTAACAATATTAGTACCTATCGTTTATCCAGGATAGATCAAGCTAATACTTCCTTTTCTTATTTCTTAGAAATTCCGCTTCGTACAACCGTGTTGCAACCATAATGGGAGCAAGCTTCATTTTTGTGCCAATGGAACAAGCTAAGCCTTATATAAACAAGTCCCGTGACCCTCAGCTCTCTCAAACCGCCTCAGCCTCAGCCTGATTCAAGTTCTCTCATTTCAACAACCCGCCAGACAAGCTGCAGGCTTTCCCGTGACGCACTTACCATGACTTCTTCCGATGCATTAGTCGTCAAATTCGCAGTGGATGTCACTGACCGCCTGGCTACAGTAGCGCGGGGTATTGGAGGAAGCGAAGACGGGCTCTTCTGTCCAGCGTTAGCCGCGGCGCTCTGGCTGGTGAGCCAGCACCTGAAAGACCAGAAGGAACCCGACTCGGTGCATGTCCCACGTCTACTGAAGCTACTGAATAATCTTGAAAGAATCTGCAAGGTATGGCAACGCTGGCTGCTGAATTATGGAAGGCTAATCACGCTTGCTATCTAGCCTACAACCGGCCCAAGTCTGCTGAAAGAACCAAAGAGTGACTTCGAACTCGCTCAACGGTACCCTGGGCTCAATCTACTTCATCAGAATAACCGCAAAAACGCTGTCGATGGCGTGCGTAAGTTAGCTTTACGGCGGAGTCCCGAAGGAAAAAAGAAGCAGCAGGGTCTACTGAGAATCCTTGACACCTTTATCAAACCCCTCGCAATTGCAGATGAGATGCCAAATGCGAAAACAAAGACTCAAGTTTGGGTTGGAGATGACTTCACTGGGTCAATGAGGACCCTATACAAGGTGCTTTCTTCATACATCCATTGTAGTAACGGGAGTGAGCAGACTCAGATCGCAGGAAGACTCCGGCTGGCACTTGAGTTGGTGCCCGAATCAGATTCCCCGGTGTTCGATCTAATGTTTCTTGCGCATCCGCATCGCGAGTTGGAAGAAGAGTCTTTCCGATGGCGCGAGACTCGCATCTTAGTGGATCGCAGGTAATTGCAGGGGAACGTGCCTCATTTGTTACGGGACGCTAATCAGAGCGTAGAAAGGCGAAGTTTTCTGTTGCAGACGACAAGGAATTGCAACTTCAAATCAACGGCCCGATGTGTATCGAAGACTTTTGTGAGAGGATCAGTACAAGAGAGCAATACCAATTGTCCCTCAAAGTAGCGGACAAACAACTCCATTTTGTTGAGTGGTGCGAAGGCGCAAGGATTTGGGTGCCAAATACACCCTCCGTGTCCCTTTCCGCGATACTCAAGAACCACAAGCTATCACAGAAGATGAAATATCTGCTCTCCTACCTCCTAGCTAAGTCCATGTGGCAATTCTACTCAACCGACTGGTTGGGTAAGGAGTGGACGAAAGAGAGCATCCACTTCATGTTTGAACACCGCCAGAGCCCCAAGGACGCTGGTATATACTTGAATGAGCCCTTCATCTCAGCTCACTTCGACCCAGACAACAACACTAATGATTCTGATTTCAGACCGCACAAGTTTCCCAAGATCAAGGCTCTTGGCATAGTTCTGCTAGAGATTGAGCTGGGGACAGTTATCGAAGATCACTATGATGACGAGTGCCATGCCCCTGATGGAGAACTCAACACTGATGCGGACCTGTATGTCGCCCTCAAGCTTTTCGATGACCCTGATAGGTTGGAAGATACCTTTCCGCTGCTGAAGTCCGTCATTGGTGACTGTCTAAGACCTTCCAAGTTCATGCAACATCGTCACAGTGTTGAGGAGCTGCGCAAGGTGTTACAGGAAGAGGTGGTAGACCACTTACACACTCTCATCGGACTTTACGGCCATCCAGACAAAATTAACCTAAGGCCAACCGTACAGATGCAGCCGTCACGGATGAGGCCAACCACACAAAAACGCCCCGTCTCTCGCCCTGTGCCTCTGCAACAACCACAAGCCCCAAAGTGAGCTACAGTGATCAAACAGTATTGCTTCAACTACTGACCCTGACAAGACAACTACCAATGGACGAATACCGACCCGTGAACGCCAAATCTGTCGCCTCTAACGGAGCGGTGGCCAGCTGGTAAGGTATTCCGCCGCGAACTCTGGCTGCCCTGGCTGACTGGTATCAGCATCACACAGGCCTCGGCCGAGGCTTGGTTCGAGGAGTTGGACGAGCTCAACGAGGTCCTCTCTTCTCTACCAAGCGAGACTGATCAAACATACAAACAAGTCCGTGTTGCGGTCATTGATACGGGAATCGACGGGACCGACTCTTATGCCAGGCACATACGAGGATACCGAGATTTCGTTACGGACAGGGATGACGTGAAGCAAGACAATACCGGGCATGGTACTAACTCGGTTAAGCTCATATTTAAAGTCTACGCCGAAGCAGAGGTGTATGTTGCTAGAGTATTTGAGTCGGACGAGGCGAATGATGACACACAAGACCTTATGTTAGAGGTGAGTAACATGGACTACGACAAGCGAGAAATCAGGTGATTAAAATTCACCAGGCAATCGAACATGCGAAGAATGTCTGGCAGGTGGATGTCATCAGTATTGCGTCCGGGTTCGAGCGAGACCATGCACTCATGAGACGGGCGATCAAAAGAGCCGCTAGTGACGGAACTCTCGTCTTTGCAGCGGCATCGAACTACGGAAACATCAGACAGGTCACCTTTCCTGCTCGCATGCAGGACGTGATCTGTATTTACTGTACAGATGGTCGAGCAAAGGTCTCGCAGTCGATCAACCCAGCTGCGCAGACCACTAAGTCCAGGAACTTTGCCATTCTTGGTGAGGGGGTTTCAGTGCCTCCGTCGATACGAGAGCAGCTTACGGGCACGTCAGTGGCAACAAGCATCGCGGCCGGTCTCGCGGGCCGTTTGCTTGACTTTTCACGACAGAAAGATTGCCGGCAGAATATACGATGTGTAGGGAACTTGGCGAGTGTTGAGGGCATATCCGCGGTATTTAGTCACATGGCCAAAGGAGCTGAGGACTATAGATATAACTGTGTCGTGCCTGGAAGACTCTTGCAGCATCTGGATGAGGGGGAAGGAAGGGCGATGAAACGAGCGAGAATATGTGAGAGGCTTTCAACTGCTTTAGAGAATATTGACTTGGACGTTTAGGATGTAAGCATCAACACAACGGAAAAGTTCTCAATTTAGCTATTTCTATAATTGAGAAACTGCTGATCTCTGCAGGATGGCCATGTGTTTCTTACTCTCAGAAACATCTATGTTTGCGAGGGTGCAGAGAATACATGCCGAGCAAGAGATAACAGCAAGCACTAGTGAACTAAAGGCCCGTGGATTAATGATATTATTTTAAAATTATGTATTTCTATACATCTAAAGGCCTTTAATTACAGCAATATAATATACACATTTAAAATTATTCTTATATAATTTACTTCTAATAAAAGTATTTATATCTATATTGATAATTAGGTAAATGCCCTACACTCTCAACTGCTAAGAACCTCTAATGGCAAGGATCTTTATCACTGTAGCTAAATGATCACAAACTCCCATTCGGTCTGTTAATAGCAATACAATCATCACATGCGACGATCGTTCCTTTTCCAATGCTGCTTGTAAGCCACAAACTGCCCATTCTGCCTTATTTGCCCCGCACCTTCTCTTTATCGGATAGATCGACGAGGGTCGGGTCATCTTAGCTCTTGATAGCAATCAGCCTAATGGCAACACAGCCACTTGCAAGACGCCAGTGAGGCGTCAAGACCGGATTGCGGTAGCACAACCGCTAAGACGATAGTGGGAGGTAACCAGGAAGAGGCCTCCACGCTGCAATACCCCGCCTGTCAGATTTAGTTTAATAGGGCTGAACAAGTCCAAGACTTTGCACGCATCAGCATCAACTTTCAAACATCGCTTAATTGAAGCTTAAACAGTTTATTCACTACCTTAACCAGATGTCGCAGCAACCTCCTTACTGGCAAGGCTCCCAGGGCGGTCCCCCCCCTCAACCGGGCTATCCGGGACAGCAGCAGTCTGGCCAGGGCTACTACCAGCCACCTCCAGGCCAACAACCGCCTTACGGCTACCAGCAGCAAGGCCCAACTGGAGGACAGCCAAATCAACCATATCCTCCTGCAGGCCAACAGTATCCTCCCCCAGGTCAGCAAGGCCAATACCAGCAGCATTCACAAGGCTATCCACAACAGCCTCCTTACGGCCAGCAACCCCCAGGACACCAGGCTCCTTATGGCCAACAGCCTCCTCCAGCTACTTATGGACAGGGACAGTATCCGCCCCAGCAATATGGTGGCCCCCAGCAGGGCCAGCCTCCATACCCAGGTCAGCAACAGCAACAGCCACCTTATCCAGGCCAGCAATTGCATCAGCAGCCTGGACAGCAGCAATATGGTGCACCTGCAGTCATCGTTCCTCCAACTCCAGCATCGCCAGGTTACGACCCCGCCCAGAAAGCATGGGTTAAGCCTGTAGACACCGCAGCAGACGTGGAGGCTCTCCGAAAGGCCATGAAGGGAATGGGTTGTGATGAAAAGGCTCTGATTCGTGTTCTTGTCAGCCCTAAATACGCTGATCCATGGACGATGGCTCAGCTGGTTCGGGACTACAATAGCCGTTTCATGCGCGACCTCGCAAAGGACATTGAAAGCGAGACCCGTGGCGACTTTGAAACATGTCTTCTCGCTCTAGTCCGTGGACCACTGGAGAATGACGTTCAAAATCTGTCAAAGGCTCTTAACCGCGCGGGCACCGATGAAGATGCCTTGAACGATGTTCTTCTTTGCCGCTCAAATGCAGATATTCGTGCTATTACCGCCGAGTACAAGCGTTTCCGAGGCAAAGAACTTCTGGTCGATATTAAGGAAGATGTCGACGATACCCTCTACCGACTCTACAGCATGGTCCTTGCCGCTAGGCGAGCGGAGGATAACGCTCCAGTGATTCCTCACGAGATTGACCAGAAGATTACAGAACTGCAAAGGGCCACTGAGGGTACAATCGGCGCCAACGCTGTGTCTGTAGCCCAGATATTCACTAGCAGCAACGACGCCCAAATCCGTGCAATGAACGATGCATACCAACACAAATATCACCGCAGTCTTGAGAGTGTTATTGAGAAGGAGTTCCGCGGTGACATGGAAGACGTGCTGCTGCGAATTCTCTACCATGCACAGGATCGAGCTCGAGCGGATGCAGGCAGACTCAGTATGCCACTAAACAAGTCCATGCGCAAGGACCGTCTCTTCATCAACAGACTCGTCAGTCTCTACTGGGATCAGGGGCGCTTATATCAGACAAAGCAGGCGTACAAGCCAGTGACTGGTGCTACGTTGAGTGGGAATATCAAGTCGGTTCTGAGCGGCGATTACAAGGACTTTGCTCTGGCATTGATTGGCGAGAAATAGGTATCATGAAGCAATGTTGCATGTTTTATCCAGGACAGTTTGATTTGAACCTGAAGTCGGATTACAACTTTTGACCAAGTTATCTCGTTTCTATGCAAACTATGGAATGGATTCTCAGTAGCTCTAATCCCTGATTTGGAATGCGATATACAAATATAATAAAAGCCTGCCTGCGGCCACGAAGTTCACAAATCTTCGCCAAGCTGTGGAGCGCGAGATAGGGGACACATATCGATGTCAATTCTGGACAAGCATGGCCCTCTCCAACAATATTAGGACTCACTCACTATTGGTGGCTTATAATAAGTCAAAACATTTGGCCCCCTCGTGAGTCTCGCCTGATTTCTATCGTCTTTTGTCCGTATTACTCTTTGATTTGGCTGGCCGTCTGGTGAGATGACCCGGCTGCCTGCTCTGACACATAATGGTGTTCTACCATGTTGGTATGTATCAAAGGCTGCACATTAGGGACAGATAGTCGGTCTTGAAGCGTCACAACGGACTGCTAGCAAATGACACATAATAATACCCAAGACATGTGCTGACGAGAGATTATTTGCACTTTCGACCGCATGAGAGCCTGCTTTCGGCCTGATTAAGAAATCAGGCTGGCGATTAAGACCTTGGTACTTAATCCCCGCCTCTCACATCTGCCTTCTTCTGTTATCCTTTAGCTTCTCCTATCATCTCAGGTTTGAATATCGTTCAGGCAAACCGATACAATGCCCAATTTATACTCACAAGTTTGCGCTATTGCTCGCTGCAACAGACCACGTAAACATTTCAGCACTAAGATCTCGCCATGGTGCCAATACCGTACGTGCTCGCGTCTCTAATCTTACGCCTATCGCCTTTACTAAAATTGGACTTGTTTGGGAACTTAGATGTTTGCCCTATGTGTACAAACCGTTCGAAACGAGCAGCGAATCGAGCTTGCTATGTTTGCAATCCTCCTGACGACGACTGCTGCATTGTGATGTAGCGTCATAATGGTACGACAGAAATAAAAGGACTGTCTTCCTGTGTGGCTTTTTCGCAGGGCGATAGGGTGCTAGAACAGAGCTCTTCGCTTTACATACATTATTGTATCATCAGCATGTGTCGGTTAGTCATTGTGGCTTCTTTTCAAGTGGATAAGTCGGTGATACAGCGTCTACCTACTCACCGGTCCCAGTCTACATGACCTTGGCATGCATGTTGAGGTTATATATTAATGCAACAGCACATTTTCAGTATATATTTGAATGCTTTAGGGTGTTGCCTCCGCGCTTCCACAATTTCTCGTAGTTGAAAGTGAGACATGAGACTGATTTGTCTAAAAGAGGGAATGTTCTGCTACTCCACCAGATCTTGCATTTTACCATTAACTACGAATAGCAGCCCACGATGGCAGGCGACCAGAAGCAATCTGCTGTCGCTCAGAAAGCAAACTTTATCGATTCATTAAACCAGCAAGACCGGCTGGGCTGTCTTACAACCTAAGCGTCCATGCAATACACAATCCCTCAGCAAGCACTGTCTTTGTTCCAACGACTCCATCAACTATCTATCCTGTCGGGGGACGACCGCTTCCGCAATCTTGGACGTGTGCTGCTCGTACGGCATCAACGGAGCTCTGCTCCGACACCATGTCAACGTAGAGACTTGGACAGCTCATTATACGGACTCGAAACTCGATCCCAAGCATCAGGTTCTGGCTGACAGGGAGTTCTTTTCGAGTCGAGAACGTTCTCCCAAGCCCATGGTCTTAGGGCTTGACAGGGCAGACCATGCTGTTCGCTACGCCTTAGGTGCCGGTTTGATCGATGCTGGTTGGGTAGAAGATCTGGAGGTCAAGGATCCTTCTCCGGGACTACGTAACGCACTGCAGGATGTGAGTCTTATCAGTTGTACCGAGGGCGTCAGCTTCCTAAGCTCTCGAACCTTCGCTCGCATCGTTACTGCAGTCGGTAGATCAAGTAACCTCTGGTCGCTAGCACTGTGATTCGGACATCTTCCTACGAAGAGATGGCGACTGAATTGAGAGAGCAGGGGCTTGTGACCGAGTGACTTCCTGGCGTAGTGCTTCATCAGCGCCGCTTCGCTTCTGCCCAGGAGCAGAATGATGCTGTTGCGCATATAGCTGCGCGTGGACTGTATCCGACTGGCTTCGAGGAGATGGGTTATGTATGTGCCAATGCCTCCATATCCCGATCTGTTGAGGACATATCAAGGCCACCTATAGCAGAGCTAGTTGCAGACCTGGACAAGCACTAGTTCACGCAATCTAATATCTCGGTATGAGAAGAAGGAACAGCTTGACTTTTATGCGTTTTGATCTGACCCTCCATTTCTCAGAACATCTCACTATGCAGGGCAGCCAGTTTTCTCAATGTTTATATACTTAGAACCCTACTCTCGGCATCCTATTATCTCACTTTGCAATATTCACTCTCATATTCTGGAATTATGCTTCTTCAAACGCACCAAGAACTCCCCTCACGTAGTTCATCATCTCGTCTTGATATACCTGCTCCCTGATGATAAGAGGGTTCCGAGTGTCAGTAGACCTTTCCAGATAAGCCTTTTCATCCATAACAGGCCGCCCATTTCTGAGAAAGTGAACTCCCAGACGGTACAAGGACAAATTGTTTGTGATAAGGAAGTTCTCCCTTCTATCACTGGCGTCTTGGTACTGCGTCTGAAATTGTTGCCAAGATGTATGCCAAGTCTGTAGCGCCAAATCTAGAGCTGAAGTATCGACTGGTAATATTGACGTTTGGGCTTCGAGCAAAAGGGAGTTGACTGCCAAGATCAAAAGATTCATACCAAAGGCCGTCAGATTTGTCTCGGCAGGAGCATGGCCTACCATGAGGCCTTTAACAGAGGACAGGAAGCAGCTAGAAGGATCCTGAGCTGGCAGGGCAGCCCATAGAGACGCAGAGCAAGCCGTCCAGCTGGCATCGTCGCATGGGAAAGAGGCCCTCGTATCTGTCGGGGATAGAATGGGTTTACTGCCACAAAGTATTGACTGGTAGCAGTCGACAGCATACACACCCCAGAGCACTCGTTTATTGGACTCTTTCTGTATCCACGATGTCCAAAGGCGTGCATTGCGTGTTGCTTTGGTACATTCGCCGTGAATCTTAAGAAAACCTTCATGTCGTATCGCTGCGACGAGAAGCGGATGAATAAGACGGGACGCAGCTCTTTCGGCACTTCCTCCACTCGCCATGGCAGCGAACTGCAGCAGTACTAAAGCTTGTAGATCCTGAAAGTTTGGCGAACTTCCGTTTGAACGAAGACATAACTTAGCCAGCTGTGATGGAAGAGACCCGTAGAGTAGCTTTGCTTCAGCTGTAGAAGTAGGAGTTTTGTCAAAACCAGCACCAATAAAGCAAATAGCTCTTATTAGAGCAGAGGGGGATGAAGCCAGACAGAACGTTGGAATATGCAATAGTGGAAGCGAAGGGTGAAAGCGCGAGAAGAAGAGCCTGGCGAGCGCCTCAAGGCGATGGACAGGGATGGTCTCTGGGCCGTCAAGCTCAAGAATGAAGTCGGCTGAAAGTCGAAAGTTATCCGGGCAGATGAATCCGTGATTTGTTCGCGTACCGGTCCAAAGAACATTGTTGTCAGTCAAGGTGTTCTCGCCAACGGACGATGCCATATCGCTAGGACTCCATGTCCAACTACTCATGTCAACCATGCTCTCGATATCAACGAGTTGCGACAGAAAGTCAATTTCGCCAAAGGATGATGTGTCAAAGTATGAAAAGTCGACATTCTGCTCAAGCCGTGGCTGTAGTTCATTTTGCTGCACGCTTCCCTGTGGCGATGGGTTTGAACTGACGATGCTGGGCGTTGTTTTCCTCATACGTTTCTTACGTCCGGCTTTTATACAGGGCGAGTTCTTCTGCTGGCACCGCGAGCAAGGAAAACCCTTCTTGTCGAGGTCGCATCGGACCTTGGATGTGGCACAACTGACGCAGCTTCTGTTCATGTTTATTAGGTAAAATGTGTGAGTTGGAGGTATCGGGACTTCGGGGGACGGAAGTATTAAGTAGAAATTCCCGATCAGAAAGTCCCGCAGGTTTTAGTGTGCAGATGAAGCCCGAGCATGCTTACAGTGCATATTTGTCAGATTTTAGGGGCATTCGAGCAGCTAGATGTGACTGTTATTGGTCAGGTCTGCCAGAGCGTCGGGGTTATTTTGGGAAATCCCGATGGCTAAAAGTCCCGAAATCCCGGAATCGCATCATCAAGCCAGGACAAGATTTATCGCTACTGGAAGCTTTAATATATTAACAGCCGCTAATGTCTAGTTTGAATTATTCTTTTTCCTCGTATCAGTATCGAATCAGTTCTCACTCTCACTCATCATACAAAACTCCTCAAAATAAACAGCGTTCATCACTTGCACAAAATGTCAGACGCTGCCTCTAACGAAAAGCCCAAGCAATTCTACCAAACATGGTTTGATAGACTCTGCTTGGTAACTCGACGAGAAGACCCAACTAGTTATTCCACTTGGCAAAAGCACGTAATCGTCGCCATAACTACTCTATCTGCATTCACGGCACCGTTTGCCTCATGCATCCTCTTCCCATCGTTCACAACTCTTGTCGACCACTTTCACACCACCGAAACAAAAGTTGCACTTACTACAACTGTCTTTCTTCTTGGCTTGGCTATTGCTCCGCTGTGGTGGAGTACCCTGAGCCAGCAGTATGGCCGTCGCCCAGTCCTAGTCTTAAGCTTCCTCATCTCAACAGTTGCGGTGATTGTTTGCGCAGTTTCTAACTCGCTACCTCTCATCATCGTATTTCGACTTATAGAAGCAATGGGCTGTTCGTCTGCTCAAAGCGTTGGTGCCGGTGTCATAAGCGACATCTACATCTCGACCGAGCGTGGTTCAGCTTTAGGCTGGTTTTACCTGGGAACACTTATTGGACCCTTGGTCGCCCCCATCATTGGTGGCGCTTTGCAAGTCTGGCTTGGTTGGCGTGCAAACCTGTACTTCATGGCCATTTTCACCTTCATCGCAGCCATGCTCACTCTGTTGGCTCTGCCCGAGACACTTATCAAATCGTCTACTGAGCAACCTACGCCATGGCACCAGGTCCTCAAACGCGATGCCCTCGCGCCGCTCCCTAAACTGAAGTTTTTGATGGTTCCTTCCATCGCTCTGACTATTGCCTATGTGAGCATCTGCTTTGCAAGCCTGTATTGCTTCAACACGACGCTTCCATACGCTTACGCCGCTGCACCTTACAACTTCTCAGCCATCGAAATTGGTCTTTGCTATATCAGTAACTGTCTCGGATACGCCATCGGAAGTGTCGTTGGAGGCAAGCTGAGCGACGCCAAGTTGCGCCAGTACCAGATAGCGCATGATGGTGCCATCCGCCCCATCGAGAGGATCAGGACAGTTTGGTACGGCGTTGGGTTTATCCCCGTTGGATTGATCATCTACGGTTGGTTCATTGAGAAAAAGGTGTTTTGGATCGCTCCTCTCGTTGGAGCTTTCTTGTTCGGCCTGGGTCTCATGCTTGTTACGTCAACGGTCATGCCTTTCCTTGTTGATATCAAGCCGGGAGTCGGTGCTTCAGTCGTCGCTGATCTCAACCTGGTTCGTAACGTTCTTGCTGCAATTGGCACTGTAGTTTCTCCGATCGCCACGGCAAGTATTGGCTTTGGATGGTGGATGTCTATCTTGGCTTTGATCTGCTCTCTGGCAGTTGGCTGCATTGTCATCGTTGTTTGGAGAGAAGGAGCGGAGCAGAAACCGACCGAGGGGGCGGCCGTGTGAGTCTTAGACATGAGATGTAGATGCAGGGAGAAAGGCGAGTTCAGTACTCCTTGCTTGCTTATAGTATAGTATCTTTCTGTTTTAAAAGCTTCATATACTCATAGAAGGGCTTCTCCCGAAGCACTATATATTCACAATAGACTATAGACTGTACTTCCAACTGACACCATATCTCTATTATTCAAAGCCTATCCAGATTATCGCCAGATTGCTGCACTCAACAGGCTAGACCCTTAGAGTGCCGTAGACATTCCGCCATCGACAATCAAGTTCACTCCGTTGACATACTTTCCGAGGCTACTTCCAAGGAAAACAACAGCGTTGGCGATATCCTGTGCCTGTCCGACCTTTCCAAGAGGAATAGATTCGATAAGGCTCTTGAGGAAGTCAGGATTAGCCGTCATGATCTGCTGAAACTGGCTCAACTCCACGGTTCCATCCGGCTTGTCGACGGGAGGAGAATCAATGGTGCCAGGAACGATCGTATTGATCCTGATGCCCTTAGGTCCGAGCCATCGTCCAAAGTCCTTGGCCAAGGTGGCCTGGGCGCGCTTGAGCGTGGTATAAGGTCCTCGGATTGCTGGATGTCTAGCCTCGAAGCCAGCAAGTGAACTGATGACGACAATCGAGCCTGTACCGTTTCGCTTCTCCAGATGGGGCTCTGAAGCGTTGATGAGGTTCACGAGGCCAAGAACATCGGCATGGAAGCTATTCTCCCAATCGTCAATGCTTGGGCTGACATACTTAGGACAAGCTATGCCCCTGTCAGCAGGATCATCAATGCGGTTCATCAGAGATAAATACCATTGGCAACAACGAGGTCGATTCTTCCAAACTCCTTGGCTGAGGCGTCGACCCAGCCTTGGATCGAAGCGGCATTGGAAATGTCAACACTGGTGCCAACAGCTCGTGCTCCGCCAGTGGCGTCCTTGAAGTTTGCGAATTCATCGCCTCGGACATTGCGAGAGCAGTAAGAAACGCTGACACCTTCGATCAGTAGAGTCTCAACGATGACCCTGCCAATGCCCTTGGTGCCGCCGCTGATGAGGGCATGGGCGCCGTTAAGTTGAGGAGAAAAGTGTGACATGTTGATGATGGGCCGTTTGGTTCTATTTCTGTTTAGCCTTTTACACTTCTTCCATCTCAGAAACATACCGTTTTGTTTTGTTAGTTAAGGGTCGTTTTTGAAGAGTGAAGATGAACTTCTAGGTACCACTTGAAGATGCTTCCCGTGTTGTTTATATACTGAAGAACACCCAACCCTTAAATCCACTGAACAGAGCAATTGACAGTCCCATTTTGAACTCAATTTCCTTTTCTGGAAAGATTGAGGCTTTCGTGGTTCTTCATGCCACGGGCTCGGATTATCAATCAACTGATTGAAGCTTATACCTTTGATCTTGTTTTCCCATTGAGGTTAGTTCAGCTCGCCGGTCCGATATCACAGCTCAGAATCCCTGGTCTACCAATCAATCTCATTTTCCTAAAAGGGTATAAACTGGGCCCATCGCTTGACCATGATCATCCGTCCCACTCAAGCCGTCTGGTCTGTCTTCGCAAGTTATGGTGGCATATCCTGGACCTTTCTATCTCATTTTCCTCTTTCATATCTAGAGCCGGCAACGAAATCTCGCTGTGATTACCCGCTCAAGGCCAGACGAATGAGCATGGCACCATCGTTCACCTTTGTTAATGTCCGCAACGCCCCGGGCCTGGGCCCCAAAGAGGCCAAGCAGATGAGAGGTCATATTACCAAGACAAATTTTGCCAAGAGGAGACAAAGACTGGGCCAGCAGAAGAAAAAAGCACACACGGCTCAATCTTCAAGTCCATCCTCTGCCTTGATTACATTGGACGAGCGGGAACTACGGCATGAGCTCAAGCCGGTGGACCATCGTTTGCTCATCCGCATGGTAGAGCCTACATACTCTCCGGTCGAATACTGTAAGAAAATTATCAAGCATTTCTAGACATAGCTACTAATCGTAACTGCAGTGCTTTGTGAGTACCGCGCGCTTATCTTCCCGGCGGGTCTCGGTTCTCCCGGATCAAACAGAGAAGCAGATTGGATTGCCCTGCTACACTCTGAGCCAGCCCTGGTCGAAGCATCAATGGCCATAGCGATAAGACATTCGCCCCGGCTCCAGAGGACTCAAGGTATTCGTGAAGCGTCCGTGCGTAAAGGAAGGGCTATCAAGATGATCAATGAACGACTCGACACGCCTTTGGGATTGACCGACGGCGTGCTCAGCGCCGTCTTCACCTTAACTTTTGCAGAGGTGAGTAACAATATTTCACACACAACAGAGCTATCTGACATATCGCACTTCAGCTCCTTGAGAGTGATGTCGAAGCGAGAGACGTCCACATCAAAGGCCTGGCCCAAATGATCAAGGTTAGACGTTCCTTAGGAAATACAGACATCCCATCGTGGTTCGGCGATTTTATCCTATAGTATGTCTAAGAGTGCTCTGAATTCTCATAAATATTCTTTCACTAACCGTTACCAGTGATTCAATTGGCCACACGATCCTTTCTGCCAGCTATTCCAATTTACCTCTCATCAACGCATTACGGAATGAAGAAGACCCTAAGCAAATAGACGTCGCAGCAATTCGATCCGACACCAGCGACTTGCGCCATTTAATAGATAAATATCACGCTTCCACATCGCTGAAGCAAGATAAGGCAGCTATCATTAGGTATGAGGTTCATCGCCTACAGCTGAAAGTTGATACACTGTTGGGAAGCCAAGAGCATTACATCCGCTCTCTGCATGATTCTCTGCAGCTCTTTCTATCACTGTCATGGCCTATAGAAGGGCCAAGGTCGTTGGATATCAAGGCTGAGAACTTAAAGTATGCGCTGCTACAGCCCCATATCAGGCTCTGCTCCTCGATGCAACTCCTGGTTTGGCAGCTATTCGTTGGTGCAGCTGCTGCGGAATCTGCGAGTGAGGTTCGGTCTTGGTATATCATCAGATTACGAGAGGTTGTAAGCTCCATGAGAATCGGGGGACAAGATGTTGCGATGGACACTCTTGCGGCTGTTTTCGCACCTAATGCTCAGCTGTTGGAGACATTTAAAGCGGTTTGGGATGAGGTCTCTTTTGGGAACCAAATAGAATGAACAGCGATAAGCCTCCTCTAAATATCATATTCTCCTTCATCAATGAACTCGGTTATTGTTAAAGACAGCAGGAAAAATAAACGGGGAATTGTCTCCGGCTGAATCCGTCTGGCAACTCCACTACAGCGTCACGTGGAGCTATTTAGATGAGTCAATAACCAATGAAGCGATTTCATCACCAACTTCGATTTATCCGCATCTCGCCACTGACATTCACGATGGGCCCTGACTTAACCACTCAAGACCAGGCAATCCCCGCTCAAAAAACGTCGGTTCCTGTCACTTTGATATTTGATGGTCAGCAAATAACACTCGAAAATGAACCTTCGATACCTCTTTACCGGCTTAGCCGCACCATAGCCTGCAAAGTTCAGAAGCATTGCAGCATAATATTCGAACAGATCGAGGTTGTCGAGACATCCCAGCCAGATGGAACAGGCTCCAGAATACGGGAGCGCCCTCATGATCTTTATTATCTTGTGAACTCGCTTCTCATGCTGCAACGTCGACACGATACGCCAGCATGTTACCTCACCGCTCCATCGCCCAAGGCATTAGGCAATATCCAGGTCGACGTCTACGATACTCCTTTGAAATGTCTGGGATTCAAAGCGATTCTCAATGCAGACAAGTCAGCAGATGATGTACAACTGTTCAAAGCCGATACCCAACGAACCTTATTTGAGTCAAGGCCAAAAGTTAAAGGCGGTCCTTATCAGTGGGTAGACGTACACGGGGAGATTATTGCATATGAAGCAGGGCAGGAGGGCGGCCACAAGCTCGTAATTCAGGTTCCATTACAACAAGCTATCATGGACGCCCTGGCAGCACTATGGACTTTGAGACTCTGGTATGAACATATTCACAATCAGTCAGAATGACAGTCAGGTTAGTAATTTGTGAAAAGTCTGATTGGTCTCAGCTTACGCATGTACAGGATTATACAGATCGCCAATCTTCATGCACACTTAGTTCTAGTTCAGAAAAGGCGCTTACTCAGAAGGACTGCTATGTTGACGCCGTCTGTCAAGTGAGGCACGAACAGGTAGTCGACTTACAACGTTTGGGGGTAAACGAAATAGACGGGCATTTCTCATACGTATCATACATAGAATTAGATTATACACCTCCCGAGAACAAATTTGTACGGCTTAATATTGGGGCTTCTGCCGCTCAACATCACCTGAACTGTGTACCTCAAACGCGACGGTCTTACTAATGCCGATCTGTTTTGTGTCCATCTCATCAAGATCAATATCCGAAGAAGGGTTTCTGTGGTCCCTGCGACTAATGATGCGTTCTTGTGAACTTGCCCTGTCACCAGTCGACTCTCCTCCCCGAACCTCAACAATGTTCTCGCCTTGCTGTGTTGTGAGGATAATATCGCCGCCACGGCCGTTCGCGAACTGTCGATGTGGATATCCACCAGGCTGATGCCGGCTTTGGCCTGACGAGCCATAAACTTGGTTGTGAAAAACGACCTTTGATGCTAAGATGTCGATTCTAAGCTTGTTAGCGCAGTGGATTGAGGTCGATAAGGTGAACCTACATCATCATTACTGGGAACATGCACTCCATACTGTACGCAAACCGATCGATCTGTGAAGCGAGGTTCGTCGCGCTTTGTTCAGCATTTTGGAAGGAATATGTGACAGCTCGGATGATGCCCAGCACGGCGAGAAGTGCCAGTCGGACCTCAGTACTCCGCATCAAGTATCTGAACAGACCAGCCTTGATGGCAGCGCTAAGTGACGTCGATTTCGCTGAGCTGAAGACTCGAAGGAGGAAGAAAGAGCTGAGGCATTCCAAGAGGGCGATGAGGATGAAGTATCCCATATGGAGATGGTTGATCAATGACTGATCGGTGTCGAGGGCGTTCATTATTCGTCGGGCTCGGACAGCTGCAATTACGACGCGAATACCGGAGACGGAAATGATCATGAACCAGAATCCGGTGGCGAAGATGATCCATTGGCGACCGCGCAGGACTCGGCTTAGGATGATATAACTGTAGAACGAAAGGCCAGCCTCTTGAACCTGCGACAGCAATACATTAGCTCGGATCGAAAATTATGAAGCACTTGGTAACGTACCAGCCACAGAACATCGGCGAACACGGAGGCTACGGCCTTGTTCGTAGTAGAGTTACCCTCTTCATAGAAAGCATAGTAGCAAAGCCCGTTGGCTATAGCGCCAGCAGCAGAGGTGACGATCGGGACGATAGAAACAGGACCAAAGCTCGTAATACCAGCGACCATAAGACCAAACAAAACATTAGCTATCCCGATCGTGCTGAGGATCGACCAGCTCAGCTCGTAGTAGACAGGGTCGACCATATTGAACGTGCGATCGTCGTCGTATCGGAAGCAACCATGGTAAGTCGGGGAAACCTTGCAAACAAAACAAAAGGGAAATGGCACGACACAAACGAGGGGCGGCTAAGCTTAATATTGGACTGTCACAATGGGCCTCTTTACCCCGTGGAGGGAGTCCGGGGTAGACCGATCTGGAAGTGTTGGTGATCAGGTTTAGCGAAGGGGGGGGTACCCCAGAGTGGACTGATTGATCCGTCTATTTTGGGGGAGCATTGGGGGGTAAAGTGACAGAATAAGCTGAACTGTTTGTCTGCATGTTTCAGTTGGCTTTGATGAGATATTTAATTGAGGATCCCTCCGCACTCAGCTGGTGGGAGGGACATCCCTCGGGTTCGCAGAGGCGAAGAGAAGACCAGACGAAGATTGGATGCATCAGCAGGGAAGAGGTTGTTCTGGCAAGTTGCTGATTGAAGCGCTACAAAGGCAGGGGAAACTAAAGCGGCAGCAGACCCGGCCGCTAACTGAAGGTGTCCAGCCACTGTTGGTTGCTATTTGCCAGCAGCTCACGACCAACCAACCAACACGAGACTCGAGAGAGAGTACGTACGCGGATTTGCATTTCTCCACCGTTCTTATGTGCTGTGCCTCGCTGAGTGTGCGTTGCATCCTGCGCGTAGAAACCTTTTTCCCTTGTCTAGCCTGGAATCCTTCGTCTTTTTTTTTTCTTCTTGTCTTTAATCCCTGCCACCGGCTTTTGTTGGTTCGGAGTGAATGCTGACACCGGGTGGCTTGGTGGGATACCCGCTGAAGAGTTTAGAGTCGTGCGACAGGACGTTATTTCCCAATGTCGAACCGAACTGACTCAATCTGTTCCGAGGATGGAAATTGAAGAGACTGTGTCTCTTGGTCTGTGCCATTTAAAAACTCCGATTTGACAGTTTGCGTCGAAATGTTTGAACTGATGTGATGTGATATGATGCGGAGAGTGGCTTCTCCAATATTAATTTAACCGCCGCTCCAAATTTGGTGACATGAGGCCATACCCTGGACTTCACATTCCGTCTGCTGAGATTTCTTTATTTCGCTTTTCAGACTCGAATTCGGTTTATTGCTGGAAGAAAATATCTTATACGGTTGAGTATTATATACCCAGGGATAGAACACTCGCGCCCGTTCATGTTTGGCAATGCATCCATCTGGACAGGAGGTTCTGTACCCTGTTATTTTTGAAGCATTACAATCCTCTCTCAGGATGGCTCGCCAAGGCTGAAGGACTTGCTCCCCCCCAAATCTTTGTTCCCTGTCTCAGTCACCGGAAATTACTCGACACTTCCCCGACAATGTTCTCGAAGCCTTGCTAACGTTATGCGAAAAGTGATATCGCCAATGACATCCAATACGACCTCGGTAATCGACGGCCAATTCAATTGAGCGACCGGGCTTCTGTCCGAGAGAAACGGGATCAATCGTATTCCCGATCTACTTCCGGATCTTTAGTCGGAAAGATCTGCCCGGGACGACTCCATTTCTTCTTATCACCAAATTGTCATTGGTAACGTATGACGCACTCAACGCCCAACTACCGTCTAAATGTGGGAATTCGCCAAACTATTCGGCCCGCTACCGTTATCTCCGTGACAAATCTCGCCAAAATGTAATTTTTAGAAGCAAAGCTGCCTCCCTCACATTGCACTTTTTTGGGCAGAGAAAGATGCAGTCGCTTTTACAGTATCGAAGGGCTGGCGCGGCGGCTCAAGCGCAGATTGATCGCGATATCGGCAAGGCGAGACAGCATACGGCGCCGAATGCTGCACACGATGTTGAAGCTGGCCGAAAGTCGTTGAATGGAAAGGATGAGCCCAATGCTGGACGGTTACCGCCGATCACGGAAGCCGATACTTGTGCCTCCAGCGATGAGATCGCCGAGCAATCGCTGCAGCAGACTGTGACGGCTCAAACTATTCGACAATGCATGTCCGGAGGTATCGCTCTGGGTCAAGTCCTCACGGGAATCAATGTTCAGGATCACAAGAACGACAAAGGCCATGATGGAAAGATTTTCGTGGTTGGTTGGGAGGGCCCTGATGATCCTCTTGATCCTCACAACTGGTCTATCGCAAGACGGATTGGTGTGACTCTGCAGATCTCCGTCATTGCTCTTTTTGTCGGAGCTGCATCCGGAATTGATGCGACTGTCCTTCCGCAAGCTGCAGAGTCACTTGGGGTCAGCGAAGTTGCTGAATCGCTCGCGACAGGTATGTTTTCCACTCTCTCAGTATGCAACACAAGCTAACATTCTCAGGCCTTTACTTGGTTGGGATGGGTCTCGGATCGCTAATAGCAGGTCCCTTCTCCGAGACCTTTGGCAGAAACGCAGTTTACACCTTCTCCATGGCCATCTTCATGATCTGGATCATGGCATCGGCACTTGCGCCAAACTTCGGTGCCCAGATCACCTTCCGCTTCCTGGCTGGCTGCTCAGCCTCAACACCACTCGTTTGCTCCGGAGGCTCTATAGCAGACATGTACAATAGTCTTGAAAAGACCTGGACCTTTCCTCTCTATGCCGTCGCTGGCTTTGGCGGTCCAATGCTGGGTGCTGTGATGGGCGCTTATATTGGGCCGTCAAGCGCTGTCAGCTGGCGATGGACTGAGTGGACCATGCTCATCGCATCGGGTCTTGTTCTTGTATTGGTCGTGCTTTTCATGCCAGAGACTTACGGTCCGCTTCTGTTGCAATGGAAAGCTGCTCATTATCGAAGGATCACGGGAGACGACCGCTTTCGATGCCAGCATGAGATTGCAGATGCTAGTCTCTTCAGCAGACTGAAGGTCAGCATGACAAGGCCCTTCCTGATGCTGACGGAACCCATCATTATCGCCATGACGCTATACATCAGTGTGCTATACATCGTACTGTTCACTTTTCTTGTTGGTTGGCCGTACATCTTTGAGAAGACGTATGGTCTTGACCAGGGACTCGCCAACATTATCTTCATCGCCATGTTTCTCGGAACACAGATCAACTTCGCTTTCGTCCCCATCGTCTACCGCAAGACACTACGAGCGACCCAAAAGCAAGGAGATGGCCACTTCAAGCCCGAGATACGACTCTGGTACGCCATGCTCGGCGCAGCTGCTGCGATCCCCATCTCGCTCTTTTGGCTTGGCTGGACAAACTACTCTAGCATCAGTATCTGGTCCGCCATCTTTGCTGTTGTTCTGTTCGGATACGGAGTCACGGGTATCTTTATCTGCGTGTACATGTACATCATCGATTCTTACGAGATATACTCGGCGTCAGCGCTAACATTCGTGTCTCTGACGCGTTATATGATTGCTGGAGGGATGACGGTGGTGGGCATCCCGTTTTACGAAAACATGGGTACACATTACACGTTGACTATCATGGCGTGTTTCGCGGTCGTATTGGCAGCGATTCCATACGTGCTGTACTTCTATGGACACAAGATAAGGGCGAAGAGCAAGTACGCATTCACGCATTAGATGGACAACCAACATCGAGGCTCCCAGATAGAATCAGTATTTATAGTTAGAAAGTATCAGCTTATGCCTCGGCCAATTTCTGCAACATGTCGCGCAGCTTCTCGGCCACGAACTCCGGATTATCAAGTTGAATAAAATGACCCGCATTCGGCACCTGAATAGGTCCCTGACTTCTCTCTGGGCTCGTCAACTTCGCCAGCCCCTCATTGTAACGGTGCCAGTAAGTATTCATGTAAGCCTGTACCGCCTCTCCAGGAATATTGAAGTCTGTTCCCGTACGCTCCGCAAAGTACTTGAAGTTATGGCCCAGAACAGTAATATAAGGATTTTCGCCATAGAATTTAGGAAGAGCTGGTGAGTCTGAGTGGCTAAGGAGTTGAGTAAGATTCTTTCGGCTGAGACCTTCTCTGGAGCCAACACTTGGATGAAAGCGCTTCGCGGTCTCTTCTCGGGCAACCCGTAGATTGTCTGCTGTGACACCTGGTGGGAGACTGGCAGGGTCGAAGCCTTCAGCATCTGGGTCAGGGAAGACGGAGACGAAGTCTGTGTCCGTCAGGACGCTGTCGAGAAGAACGGCTCCCGCTACGGTGCCAGGATATTCAGCGGCGTAGAGACGAGTCAGAGCACATCCTATTGAGTTTCCAACTAGCAAAAGCCTGGAACTATCTGGATCGTCGATACTCAGCCTCTCTTTCAAGATCTGTGTGATGAGCTGTCTAATATCTCGAACGACAGCCATACAGTCATGGGCGTGAGTTGGGTCAGCGGCTCCCTCATCGTTGGGATCACGATCAGTAGTCTGACCCTGTCCGAAGCGATCAAATGTCAACATTGCCGGAAGACCCTGAGGAGGAAGTTCCTTGAGTTTGTTCATTGTTGCAATCCATCCTGCTTGTGGTGCGCCGAGGCCATTGACGAAGACAATAAGAGCTGGGTTAGGCTTCGTCCCTGTAGAAGCAGTGAAGCTGTAGGAGAGCTGTGCACTTGGCTTGGTTTCCAAGCGGATGAAATCGAAGTTTGGAGTACCCTGGTCTGCCATGATGATCTTGAGGTTTTAGAGGAGAGAGGAGAAGCTAGATGCCGGTGCCCTTTATTTATTTCTCACGGTCAGCATTGCTGACGTCATCTATGTAATAATGAGAATTTAGGAGTCTGAGAAACATCCGCTACATCCGGCTAAACTTGAGGCTGAACATCTTAACTTTGAGTGTATAGTTATGTAAATAGAATGTATCAGTAAGAAGGGCAGTATCTCGGTGTCTTGGCGAAAGCCGAACTGACTATTAAGCATAGCTTCAAAATCCAACAACATCCAAGGCATGTTGAGTATTGTGTTCCCCTTCTTCCCTTCTACAAGCAACGCACTGCCCATCCTCATCATTAAAATGCTCATCCATGTCCTGCTCACATAAATCCTGTGGCTCATTGGTACGGCAACCCTTGCATCCTGTCGGCTTATAAGTGCAATCCCGAAGCTGCATTGTCGCATCATACCAAGCATTAAAGAGTGTCTTGTCGCTTCCTGGGGTGCTCTCTGATGTTCCACGTTCTTCCCTAGCGCAGAGGTGTAGAATCTTAACAGGTTTGAGGTTTTCGATGCCAGTCTTTTCCACGAGGACCCAACCTTCCTCTCCCTCCGCAGTAAGTCCAAACGTCGGTGACTCGGAGTAGAACATGGCAGGAGAGACGTCGAGGTCAAATTTGACTTGCAGAAGCCCATGGTCTATAACGTCTTCCCAGGAGGATCTTTCAGTTGGTATGACGAAGATCCAGCTCCTGTAACGATCTCCGTCCCACCACCTATTCTCGACAAATCTGGCCGATTCACACCAAGACGGCACGATATGCGGAAGAGGTTCTTTTCCTTGTATCTCTGTGGCCAACCGTTCTTTTGCCTCGGCTTCCGACAATCCCATGACAGCTTCATCCTTCATCTTCTTGATCGCCCTTTTGCGAAACGCTTTCTCGCGGCGGTGATGCTCTATGCATTCTTCCACGGTGTCTAATCCCGTATAGACATCAATACGCGGCCAATGGTTACGAGCATTACCCCATCCCACGACAGCATCGGAATGCAATAGAGAAGAACCCATACCGTGGGGATCGAACTTCGGCTCACCCAAGCAGTACAATTGAATGCTGAGTTTCACGATAGCCGCATTGGGGCCAGCTCGACTCGCGACAACATCGTAATGACGACCTGCATGGTCCTTGAATTCGCCATGGCTGGGCTTTCCAATGAATACTTTGTATGGTGCTGCTCCGCCCGTAGATAACCGCCGCTCCGGAGAAGTCATTGTGTTTGCTTGTCAAGCCAAAGGGTGAAGAAGCATGAATTTACAGGCAGTGATTAGCGGTGAAATGGGGTTTAGGCTACCAACCCACAAAAATCCGACTGTTCCCCAAGAAGAAATCACCGACCTTACATGCACTTACTCTAGCGCTAATCATAAGTGCGAAGAATTGACAGTATGTGTAGTAAATGAATGGGTATCGTTACGCTATACACCATGAAACTCTCAACTACCTTTCTCTCCATGTTCAATGTTTGATTCAGATAATGTGTGTTGGCTTGATATGTCTCGTTGAGGCGTTATAAGCTTTAGGAATCAATCAATAATCCTTTCCTACATCATAACTACTCATAACCTTTCTCCTGGTACAGTGGCGGTCCAGGCCGGACATCATTATAGCAGGGTAAGCTCTCCTCTTCAATATGATCCGAAGGCCTGACATAATCACTCAGCACGACCCTATGCTCAGATCGAAGAATCCGGCCTACTCCACTTCTGACAGATAGAGTCGGGTTGCCCTGGGGATATGTCTCCCTCATCAGCTGTATCTCTAGTACCAGGGAATGGGTGACCGATGTGTCACTGACATCGCCGGTATCTTGAGTGATCCTAGAGGCTTTCTTGATAAAGAAGGGAAACTCGATGCTGAGCGTTCCTGTCGCGTCGTCCGTGGTCCACCCATCGTAGAATGAAGATTCACCAAGAGTAATTGTCTTCCTTTGTGCATGGCTCTTCTCCTCTGCTTGATGTTCTTGTGCGTGCTGCGAACAAGCCACAGCTGTGTTCTTGGTGTTCTCCTGAAGCATCCAAGTGCCTTTACATACACGCCAGAACTGAATGTCCTCTCTATTGTCGGGACAGCTTCGAAGGCCGCTCATTGTGAGTTTCACGCAATTCTTGCCATTGGGGTCAAGGACAGGATCGAAACTGCAGTCTACCTCGATTCCAGCAGCTTGGTATATCCGAGTTAATAAAAAGGGTTTGCCAGGCACTGGTATTGATCTGGCGATGGGGAGAGTGCGCTTGAGTGTGATGGTCTCTGGTAATTTCGACTGTGATCCTGTTCGCCGCATGGAGGCTACGGCTTGGAATTCGTATGTGACAGAAACTAGGGACGTATCCATGGAAGGAGGTACGTAACTCGGTACTCGGTAAGAGAAGGGATATGCGTAATTATTGCGGTCCAGAGAGATCGTCGTTGTGATAAACTGGCAGCGCTTGAGCTCCGACATCTGGTGTTTACACGCCTTGCACGCTCTCTTAAAAGGCTTCTTGTGAACTACATGAACCCGCAATGTCGCAAAGAGGCTATCAACTTCGATGGCCTCTTGAACGTTGAATAGTAGTGAGCCCGAGATAGTAGAGCCATCAGTAGCGTCGTCATTCACAATAACGATCGGTGAGGTGTTAATTTGACAATCGAGAGATGCAGGAGGCTGATTTGGTGACTTCTGCAATCTCTTCTTGAATAGTGGAGGAGTTAGTGACTGTGGCCTGATCAACTGGGATAGGCCTGTCATGATGTGATGTCGGTAGTTGATGATAATCCGGGCTTTTGCAGGTCAAGAATATCTGGGGAATGAGAAATGAAGAGTAGAATAGTGGTTTTAATATTGGAATTCGATTATAAATACTTGAGATTGAATGGTAAGCAGGATGAAGAATGAAGTATTGCTCATACGATTTATTTATTTATTGTAGACGAACAATTCGGTCATGGTGACAGAGATCCACCACTACCAGTTCAATCAATGCCCGGTTCGAATTGCCAAGAAGAGCTTTCGTGATGATTCGATGTAAGCTTGGCAGATACACTAAGCCCTTTATGGCAATTTACACCGACATCTCCAGGTCAAGAGATCGACCGCGGAGTTCAGCAGCTTTCGATACTTGGATTAAAGTAAGCATCAAACACAGCAGAATTAAGCATTTACCAGTGGGAATTCGTGGAGCAAGAGGACTTGGACATCCCTAATTTAGATCTTATTAGGGTCTAGATTTTTGTTCGTTCAAAGGCTCAGCATGTGACTATCTGCTTTGAAAGCGCGAGGTTTTCCCCTCCGGGACCATGCCAGGCACATTCGGGATCAAGCTGCGTGAATCTTCCGCCCACGCCCTTCGCCTGACAAGCCATTAACCCAAAAGGATATTCGGGATGTCTTCCGCAGCATTGCCCATACATGGCGCGTTGCTTGATGAATGGTGATAGACACAATTTGCCATTTTATTCCCAGCCCCCAGTTCTTCTTCACCAGTGGAGGCATCCCCCAGGTCAAGTCAAGTTAGCGCACTCGATCCGCTATTCCAAAACAGGCTCACAACCACGGCGTGATCTCAGCTTCGCGTTGACAAACCAATTCTGGGCACTTCATCACTCAACCTCATCCTTTCATCACTACATTCCATAATAACGTTACCTACGCATCGGCATGATCTGACCCCAGTAATGTCGGATGATCCACCCCGTTCTCCCGCCAGAACAGCATCGGGCCAGCCCCGCAAACCCCGGACCAAGAGCTTCTCAGGCTGTTGGACATGTCGTGCCAAGCATGTGAAATGTGACGAAGCCAAACCGGAATGCAATCGCTGTCAGAAGGCGGGCGTCGAGTGCGAGGGATATGGAGTTAGGATATCGTGGGCTTCGGTGAGGAACCCGACGACCTTTAGAAGAGGAGGGAGGAAGAGAAAGGCTGCGGCGAGACTACGCCAGTCGAGAGACTTGGAGTCCATTGGGGAGAGTCTCTCCGAGCAAGATGGCCATTCGTCCAATGGTCCAGAGGAGAGTGACAATGGTGACGGTCCTCAGAATGAGGGACCTTCTGATCTGCCGTCAGAACCCCAATCTAGCAATACGCCATTCTTCCTCGACCAACACTTTCCTCTCGACCAAGGTCCTTTTACTGGTCATTTGAACACCCGGATATTCCATTCATATGAGCTTTTGGGTCAAGGCTTGACAACAGGTCCTCTATATCCCTCCTTTCAGACTGCTCAGCCTCAACTTCCCATGCTGCATCTGTTCGACCAGAACCCAATTCCTCAAGACGGCATCAATACTCAAAGTACCTCAACGCCCGTAAGCCTCGGCGATGTTAGCGCAGGCTCTCTGCCTTTACCTGGAGTATCAGAGCTCATTTCTCATACATCCTCTCCACTCGATACCCCAGGCCAAAAACGCAAGATCACACGTCATCTCGATATCCTTCCTGATCCGGCTCTTCACTGCGAGCTTCTGCAGCACTGGACCCTAAACCTCTGCGACTGTTTGGCCCCGGTACCTGGCCACTTGAACCCTTTGCGGAGCGCAATGATGCCCATTGCTCTGGAAGGCAGTCGCACAGACTCGGAAAAGTCAACAGGCGCTACTGCATTGTTTCATTTCATCTGTTCAGCGTCAGCATTCCATCTCGCTAAGAAGAGAGAGTGCGAAGAATCGAAAGGATCTCTTGAGAATGTTGCTTTAGAACACCACAATATCGGCATTACTCACCTAGCCAAAAACATCCAGCTTTCCAAAAACGGTGCTGATTGTGTATCACTGCTGGCATCCATCATCATATGTATCTACAACGAGGCCGTGACGCTGCCGACGACATTCTGGCGGCTGCACTTCCGTGGCGCTGTTGAATGGGTCAATCATATCGATCCGCAGGTTTGGCACAAAAGTGACGCAGCTTCAAGTTTATACCAGATGTTTCGGAGTATGGCCACTGTCGTACAAGCGCAGTTACTCTTTGATAGCCATGAAACCTCGTACTGGAAATTTGCCAACGACTTTGGTCCTCAGCCTGAGCCGTATACGCTGTATGAGTCTTTCGGTCTTCCTCAGCCAGTGTACGAAGGTCTCCGCGCAATGAATGCCCTTCAAATGCGGAAACGGTCTTCGACTGAGAGTGATCCTTCTGTCGATGAATTAGACCGACTAGAGATGGAACTATATCTGTCGGCACCTAATCGACCTGAGACGTCAACGGCAAAAGACTATGCCGATCTGATATACCATCACGGCTGCATCTTCTATTACGCCGCCTTGATTCATATGAAACGCAATCTGAAGGACATGCCAATGGATGCGGTACGTCCGCTTGTTGAGAAATCACTCACCCATCTTGAAGCTCTGCCTGCATGTACAAGTCAACGGTCTTCTCCAATGATCTGGCCCGTTGCTATTGTAGCATTTGAGACAGGCGATACGATAATGCAGCAGCGAATGCTTCGGACTCTCGCGTTCTTTGAGGAGAGATCAGAGCTAGCGATCTGGACACAGATTACGCATCTCGTAAAAGAGCTCTGGGCTTTGCGGAAGAGAGAGGGTGCTAATATCAAGTGGCATCAAACGGCACTGGGAAGTATGAGTGATAGCTTCATGTTACTATGAATAGGCTCCGAAATGCCGATAACGCTTGTGACGTGGCCATAGCTTCCCGTTCATCGGAGTCATGCCGTTCCGTCGATGCGTGCGCTTCACCAATCGCTCGCCCACGTTATGGATTCTTTTACGTGGATTCACCTGAATTACCCCAACGTGATGCAGTCTTTCCCCGCAGAGAGAAGTCAGATGCGTCGTGTGTTTTTACAAAAATGGAAGCTCGAGCGCGATACTCGGGAGTTGGATGCCGTAAAGTAACACCAATTGATACCCACTGCCGATGAATGGGTGACAAGCACCCCTGTACAAGGTTTTCTGGCCAGTCTACAAGCTATGTTCAAGCACTTGTCCTTCTCAAACGTTATTCCTCGGTGGCTCAAGAACGCAAGCCAGAGCATAAGTTTAGTCGGTACGCCCTGAAACAGAGTTACAGAGCCATCATTAAATTTTAATGCAACAGTAACCGAAGCGCCGTAGCCAGCTTATTAATTGGCGCCCTGAAATCTCACGGCCTGTGACGTTGAGCAGATCTGCCACGTTTGCAGATCTTTCGTGGTCAATTGCCAAAACGGGGTTACGCACTAACAAGCCTTGACGCGCTTCGATGGGGCATCCGAGTCAAGAATTTTTACACGATGAATAATGCCGAAAACATTGATGTCACTTGGTGGCCAAGTAAATATCTTCTGGATATAAAAAATGGATATCCCATGGATTTGATCTCCTCCACATCTCTCCACAGGTTCATATATATACAAATACACCAAGATGTCAGGCAAAATCATCATCCACGCAGTCCGACACGCCCAGGGCTATCACAACTTGGGTGAAGAGTTCTTCCACCTGAGGGACCCCGCACTAACGCCATTTGGCCAACAACAATGCGTCGAACGACGAAAAGCCTCGTTTCAGGATCAGTCCAAGTTCAAACTCATCGCATCATCGCCTATGATGCGAACCCTGCACACAACGAGTCTAATCTTCGATGATGCCATTCAGACACAGGACATTCTTGCTATCCCAGAGGCACAGGAGATTTCCGATCACGGCTGCGATATCGGAACAGATCCTGCTCTTCTCAAGGAGATGACGTTGCGGAATGATTGGCCAGTTGACCTGAGTCTGGTACCCGAGGGTTGGAATGATAAGAACCTTTATGGGCCAAACAGTCCTGTCACAGGTGCCTGCGCAGCACGTGCTCGCACAGTAAGAAGAATACTCAGAGAAAAGGGCATGGCTTTGAGTCAAGACACCAACGAGGACATTCACATTGCTCTAGTTGCTCACGGAAGCTTCATGCACTATTTCAGCAACGATTGGGAGAACAGCACCACTGGATGCGGTACAGGTTGGAAGAACTGCGAGACAAGGCGATATGTGTTTCAAAACGACGAGTGGGACGAGAATGCTTGGCTTGTAGAGACTGAGGAGAGCAGATTGGCTCGCGGCATGATGGGTCCCGCTCCCTCGGCAGAGGAGCAACGGCGGTTGTACGAGAAGACCATGGTTGGCTGGGTTGACCAGGGACTGCCGGATATCAGATACCTAGAAACAGCGTCGGTCATGCCGATGCAGGAACATTCAAGGTTGTAAGATGCACTGCAGATGGTTATGTTTTGCATGTGAGGAATGATAGAAGAGGTGGATGAGAGCATAATAACTGAAAAGCTGATATAGCAGCAGTGTGAGCGGGTAGATGCCATCCGAGTTTTAGACATAGAATAATTGCTTTTTCTCACCGGCCCAAAGGACGAGAATTCTTCGGATTACAAGCGGGATAAGTGGTCCAAATCACGTATCAGAACTGCGCATGATAATCATGTTGATAATGCTGATATCACATCTTCTACCTTTTTATGAAATTTATACATCACCATTTGCATGCAAGTATGAAATTGGAGTGACAAAAGATATGTACATAACGTCGTGTCTAAGTAATGTTCTAACCCTATTATTATACAAGCAAGTAAAATTCAGTTTGAGCCTCTCTCATGTCCTTCGAGGCGGTGGTGGTGACAGTCCCTGCTGTGCAGCCTCGTGTTCAACAGCCAACCCCATATTCGAGTGTGCCAACTCGATACTTCTCGCACTCTTTGCACTCTCGCTTTCACCTCCAAGGGGCCAGCTATCATCTCTTGTAAATTTCATCTCTTCCCTGTTGAACTTGTATTTGATATCAGGCCTTCCATCTTCGAGATCATCTGGCGAAGGCGGATCATTCTTGCCCCAGAAGTCGAACTCTGCTGGTTCTTGCTCTTCAGGAATATTTCGTAGTTCCATGCCGTCCGGGTTGTGGTTTAGAATGGGGGGGTGACCGGGTGTTAGGGGGCCGGTGGAGATGTGCTTGCTGCTGCGTGTCCATGTCCAGCCAGAGCCTTTCCGTTCGCCGGTCTGGGAGTCAAGACGGCGGGAGGTGTATGATGTGTGGAACTTTTTGAGGATGGGGCGGAGAATGGGTATGCATTGCACCATGATTGTTCCAGCAACTTCTGACGAGTACCAAACTTGTGACATGCCGTTGCGCCCTGGAATGTGTGAGTAAAGGTCGTAAAACTGAGACGAGACGACTTACAGATGTAGTAGGCATCACGACCATTTCCTTGATCTTTCCAGCTGACACGAATAGCTGAGACGATAGCAATACTAGACTGGAGTTAGATATATGTCCTTGAGCGTTGTTCCTTCTTGACTTACATCATTCCCAGGCTCATCGTGAAGCAAAGGCCAATCTTCTCAGCCTTCTTCATCTCCAATCCTCTCGTGATAAGCCAAGGGAAGCATGCAAAGACAAAATCCATGATTATGTTGTAGACTGTTCCCCGTTAGTATCCTCCTGCACATCTCGTTGTCCATGGTCACTCACTGTTGCCACCCTCCTTAAAGTCATTTCGGAACTTGGAATCCAAGCAGAAGTCGAATCGATACCAATTGTCGTAGGTTTCCTTGCCACAGACTTTGGCCCATTGGAAGAACACCTTGACGATCATGTAGGCGTTCATGCTGCCAATACAGAACCAGAGGATCCATTTCTGCCAGCGGTTACTCATTCGTAATAGTGTTACCGCGAAGGCTGTCTTTGTCAACGCTTGGCCGATCAATGTTCCGCATGACGAGATGTTGATGAGTATGTGCATTTTGTCGTCCCATTGTTGTGATGAGTCCTTGAGGACATAGCCGTTTCCGAATTCCCAGACGATGAGACTATTGTTGGCGAGGAGAATGAACTGGGGCTGTTAGGATGCAGCTTCGATATGCTGGGACGGGTACTCACCCATGATACCAGAAGGATATAATCGTCGTACCACATTCCATGTCTCCTCGTAATCTTGACGTACAACCTCAACCACAGAAAAAAGGTCGCTCCCGCAAACAGCGACCACAGCCCGGCGTTCAACTCGACATAGGGATTGACAAAGGAATGGACGGGTCCGTCATCTTGGTCGTCGCGAAGCCTTAGCTTCATCGCTCACATTTCCTCCTCGGCGGCAACAAGATACCCGATGTTTCGTTTGGCGAATGCAGGTACAGATTCGAGAAACCAACAATAAAACAGAAGAGGTATCAAGAAGAGCTAGAAAAAATCGGGGGAGCCACAAACGTAAAAGAAGGATTCTGGACCAGCCCAGTCAGTACTGTACCCCCTGGTCCTGCTGGGTGACGAGCATTCGCGAGATGTGTCCGCCCCTGCTTGGGATAAGCCTAACACTCGCTTGGGTAAGTGACCCTGGCAAACTAATACGGGACGGGGTCTACCTTAATTGGACACTGGGGCCGCGAGGTGAGTGAGCGAGCATGTTCGATGTCGAAAAGTTAAAGGCCTCGTTGGCGGAGATGCCGCGTGGACAGACTTTCCTTATTTTCTGTTTCTTGAAACCCGAAATTGACGTAATAGACTCAGCTCAGGCCATTAAAACACTTTTAATATCTACCGAAACATGAGTTATGCTTTTTCGCCATCGGGTCTGGGATGCAGGATGTTGCTTTGTCGGAAACGAACTCCACGGACCTGACACGATCATCACGAAAAGGCAGTTTCACGCACACGGTACAGGGCTCTAAAAGAGCCTATCAGCCCGAAGAAATCGTAAAAATAAGGCCTGCCTATCGTCCGGGGTCGTCAAGTGGATTTTTCTCTGTCTAGTCTGTCTCTTTTCGTTGTGCAGCTAGTGCAGATAAAAAGTGAAACGACCAAGTGATTCCTATTGCAGGATGAGGCCCCTGTCTCGGCAATATATCGAGGCTTCCTATACGTGGTTTAACTAAACCCTTGGGTGGCCACCCCTGACAAGGACGCTTGGACGATTTCGTCCTTGCGGGCCATGTGGTTTGTTTTTAGAAGAACGAGAAAGGTTCCAGGCTGTATGTACGTAGGTATGTCACTAACTAAACCGGTCAATGCTTTCTTTTGCTTCCGCGGGGCAGGCTTGATCAAGGAAGAGGGGGAGAAATGCGATCATTGTCCGTGACCTGTTTGAGTACCTATGATCCTGGTGACGTGATGCCCAGAGTCTGCATTGGATCGGTAGATTATCACATTGGCGCCGGGGAACAAAACTGATTGTGGATCGAGGACCGTTGAGAAGCCCGGGGCCGAGAACATTCCGCAAATTAATGAGATTGAAAGGAACATTATAAGCTGAGATATAGGGAGCATGTCAGCGATTAACTTTGCTTAACGATGCATCTGTACTGGAGCCAATCACTCTATCTGCGATTCCCGTCGTACGGTCACTGACACATACTGTACACAACAAACTGTCCACAAGGTTATCGGCCGAAGTTCCAATGTCCGACCCCGATTCAAAGTTCCTCATTCAATGTCACTGTATTCGCCTCACTCGCGAGCATCACTAACCTAACCTACACCCTGGCTGTCTTGCTTCAGCTCATAGCCTAGCCTAGCCCGCGGGTCCTCGATTCCAGCGCTGTGGTTCCTGGGATCCCAAGGTCCGTCTGCGCATCGACCATTAGACCGTTTAGTGAAACACAGACTACCAATCGCTCACAAAACGACGTTATTTTTCGATATTCAGGAACAGCGAGTGGGGGAGAGCGGGGCAAGCAAAAGCGACACTGGTCATCGTAAAGCAACCCACACCGAACCACGCGTGTCCAAAACAGCTTGAAGGGGAGGGGACGCAGAAGCCCACGCGGATATAGGGCCAGGATTAGGAATAAGAATAAGGTGGGATGCACTGCACTGCACAAAAGTAAAACGTGACAAGAGTGAATGCTAATTAATTAATGTCGCTTTTTGGGTAATTGTGATTACGTCGCTCGCTGTGCTGTTTGTTACCCTATCCTGTCTTGCTCTTGGTGCGAGCGACGACGACCACGGCTCTTACGACACGGGACTTGTCGAACCAGTTGAACAATCTCCCTGCTAATTTGAAGCCGCCCATTGTGATGCCGTATTCTGTTAGCAATTTGTCTTGGCGATCGAGGAACTTGACCAGGCCCGAAAAGACATCGTCTGTGATCTCCTTAATCGTGATCTCGTTGCGGTCATATCCGCACTCCACCAGTTGATCTCTGTACTCTGCCTCCGAGAGGAAGGTTTTGAGTGGGCAGCCCATCATTTTTCCGATGAGTCTAGCCCTCCAGATGTCCTTGGTGGAGGCCTTCTCGTTGAGGAGGAGATCGAATGCCATGTAATTGGCGTCGAGTTCTTTGGCGGCATGTGAGAGAACGGGTTTTCGGGACGGAGAGAAATGGTAGATACAGTCGAGAGCAAGCAGCCATCGCTCCGTGTACTTCTCATCAGCCAGTGAATAAACAGCCTCTTTGATCTTGGGACTCCAAGTTTGCGGCTTTGCGGCATCGGCGCGGAAGAGACTGAACGCCTCCGCATCAAATGGGGTTCCCGCCTCAGACAGCTCGCGATAAATCCTGCGTCGCGACGTCTGGACCTGCGCATCATTGAGCGTAAGCCCAACATAGCGGAAATCCCTCCAGCCCTGCTCCGTAGCCGTCCTCGCCAATTGCCAAGTCTGGTCACCACATCCGAACCCCAGATCTAGAATGGCGAGGGAACCGCGAGGACTAGCTTTACCAGGTGCATCACCCGACAGCCCGGCCGCGCTCACAACCTGTTCGAGCAGCGCAGAGGCAGCCTCGGGGAGCGTGTTAATTGGCTCGCCTGTATGAGTTTTCCTGGGAGAGAAATGTCAATGGATGTGTGATAGAGGCTGCAGAAAAACGTGGCTGGGCTTACCAGTATCCAACGTTCATCCACATGGAGGGTGGTCGCGTCGTAATGTTGAGCTTCCAGTGTCCCAGACCGTAGATATCGCTCATTCGCATCACCACCAAAGCAATGATACCAGCGATGGCCAGGGTCGTGACGAGCCCTGCGGCAAAGCCAAGGCCAAAACTGTCTTGATCGAAGAACATGGTGTCGATAGCGATTGCGGTCCGCGCCGTGAGTTCACGGCTGTTGAATGTGATGAAGAAAGATGGTGACATTTCACGGTCGCTCGATTTACGCACTGATTTCACCCACTGACTACAACTTCGCTAAATGACTAATTCCAGAATAAATCAACCAAAGTTACGGCAGTTAAAGCAAGTAGATTATTGCAATTGAGGTGATAATGAAAAGAAATCTGCATTCATCTATTATTCTAGTCGTTATTGGTCATTAATTCTGTTCCCACGGAATCACTACGCCAAAATCTTGAGCTACCCTAATGGCCGACACGACACATCCCTCCAGCAGAACCATGCCATCCCAGCACCAAGCACCAGCGATCCACACATTATCCTGTCCATTGACCCAAGCCATGGCCTCACCATCCTCGCTCTTCTTCGATCCCGATTCCCCTAGCAATTTCTGAACGAGGGCCTGGCCCTCTGTGTTTCTGAGAGTTCTGGTAAACTTGGCCTTCTTGATTGCTTCTGGCTGTGCCTCTTCGCGTAGCGGACATGTGCTGACAACGACTCCGCTGGGCATGGCGTGAAGAGCCTCTGTGCGAGGGCTTCCCACATCGTTGAACATCGTTCGCAAGGTCAAGACCTGGGCTGCTGATGTGTCTTTCGAATGGTGCATACAAGCGATGGATTGGCTGGAACCTTCGTTGTCGGTGTCGACGACGCTGATTCCCGCCTTTTCCGGCTTCAAAACAGAGCTTTCGACTTGACGAGTCGGAAGCTTCGCCAATGTAGACCCCAGCGGTTTGAAGATGCGGCCAGCGACATCAGGAGAGACGGAGAGGATAACGCGGTCAAAGACTTGCTCGTGGATGCGCCCGGATGCGTCAACGGTAGATTGCCAGCGAACCAGCACGGTACCATCGACCTGAGGCACAGCTTCAATCACACGACTATTGAGGTTGACATCCTCCAGCCCTTCCGTCAATTTGGCCTGGACCTGCGAGACTCCGCCGCAGACAGCGTAATGCTGCTTGCCATGCGAAAGCTTCTTGTAGTTGACCACGTCGCTCGCGGGGAATTGGAGCAGCTCTTCGTGTGTGCACGTCGCTACACCGCTCAGAAGCGGAAGCAAATAACGCGATGTGTATCGTCGGGGTAAACGTATGCGATCGAAGTATTCGGAGACGGTCTCGCTGTATCCGGAAGATGTGGTCTTCAACGGCGCGACGAGGAAGCACGCAATGGTGAACCAGAATTGGCACACAATCAGGAAGACAATCTCGATAAAGTGCGCAATCACACCGCGATTGCCGGGCCACGGCGGCGGTGTCTGGTGCAAGTTGGACGCATGGATGAAGTATGCCTCGTTATCGCTTCCCTTGACTGGGACAGTTCCGTCGACGCTCGTGGCTGCTTTTGCAAAGACAAAAAGGAATTTGATTGGATGCAGCGGGATTTGTAAATGTTGATACATGCGCATCAAGTTGTGGTAGTAGCCGTCAGCGCTCGCGCGCATTGGCAGATCGATTCGTTCGGCATCGTCGTATTTCTCGTTCTTGATCGTAACAGAAGCAGAATCGAAGGATATTCTGTCGCCCTGAAGAAACGAAGCGTGAATGTTAGCGAGAGGATTCAAACCCAGGGCGAAGGATCTCGGTTGTCGTTGACGACGTGGCGCACCTGTTCGAACAACGTCACCCTATAATGGTCTCCCTTAATGAGATAAGCACTACTAAGACCGGCGAGACCCGTGCCTATGATAGCGACTCGACTTTTCGTATGCTTTTCGTTCATGGCGATGGTGTTTTGTACTTGTATTTACTTACTCTACATTGGGATCTTTGACCGTTTTTGATGGAAATTTGCAGAGAATGTCACCTGGTGTTCCTACCCTGTTTTCTTCAGTGAATAGCTCCAAGATAAAAAAAATAATTGAATATTCTGATTGGATCATTTTACGCTCAGACAGTCCCACCGTTCACAAACGTTGAGTGCCGAGGCTTGTTGGTGTTGGCGAGGTGCTAACCAATGATTCAGCAGTGAATGAGCTGATCCCCGGGAGAATCGGCGCCTTCAAAGCTAAACGCATGTGAAAGACCGTTCGGCATTATAACTATCCGTTGTATCTTGGTCGATCGTGATCATGCTGAAACTTGCTTGACAAATGCCATGACAGCGAATGAGACCATCAAGAGCCGTTGTATTGAACCCCTCTCACTCAACGCTGAAAGTTTCGGGGTGTCGGGCACGACAGGTCTTCAGCGCAACGTGGCGAGTGGGCCCCGCCAGGAACTAACTGTACATATAGGCGCTATCAGCACCAACGCAAACTGCGTCAGTCACAGCGGGTCTAGTCCAAGGAAGCCCAAATAGTTTCTAAACCGTCTTTTCATGTACAATTGCCTGTTGTTAGTTGACCAGCTCTGGGGGATACTGTCATAAGAATCTGATAGAAGCTTTCGAACTGATTCAGGAGTAGGGAAAGGAGGCATAATGTTGCAAAACTTGTTCCATCGACGCATCAAGGTTCTGTAACTTTAGTGTTTCTGCACCCTCACGTTAGTTAGCCTCCAGTAGCTAAAGAGGTGGGGCAGCTGCCACCAGGCGGCCGAACGGCCACTGAATCCTTGTTGAAGATTCAGTGCTTGGTGACATCACAATTTAGCAACAATCGGATCCATTTAACATCTCCAACCTTTGCCCTATACTTCCTCATCGGGGCAAAGCTACTGTCAGCCGGTTCCTGCAAGTATTCGTGAATGTGATGTAGAGATGATGAAATACTTGTGGGAAATGTATGGTAAATGACCGTGCGACGATGAATGGAACAGTTCCTGAATCACTCTCACGTCCAGGAATCCTCGGATAGGGCGGATACCTTCTGATCACGAGCGCTTACAAAACTGAGGATTGGTAAGATATTACTGTGAGACGAGGTCACGGAGTTTGGATTCTCATGCCTTGGGCTAGGTCGAGGATTGTGTTCTGCCGTCTGGAGTGCACAAATACTCTACTTAGCCAATATAGACTTAGACTTTGCCAGCGGCTGAACCTATATGCTACGAACTGGGGACTATTCCTCCTTGAAAACATCATACTTGTACTTTGACCCAGTGTGATCATCCCGAAGTCCAGACTGGCCAATGCCATAGACGTTCTCTCGCAGAGTATGACCCCCTTCACTAGGTATTTCGTGATACAAACCCCTTCTTCGGAGCTCTGGCACCAACAGCTCAACCAGATCCTCAAAGGTCCCAGGCGTAGTGACGTAGCCAACATTGAATCCATCCAAATCTCCCTCCTCGATCCAACGCTCCATCTCATCAGCAACAGTTTGAGGACTTCCAACAGAGACTGGGCCAAGTCCACCGATGCCAGCCTTCTCGGCAATGACCCTTGGCGTCCACTTTGGAACATGCTCGCTAGTGACAGTGAATGCGTCGAGGAGACTTTGAACCTTGTGCTGTTCCAAAGAATCTGCAGAGGTGAGCTCTTGATCGAGCGGGATCTTGGACAAGTCGATGCCAGTCCATCCGCTGACGAGAACTAGTCCGCCAATTGTCGAGGCGTACTTTTGTAGTTCCTTGAGCTTTTCTTGCGCTTCTTCATCAGTGCGACCAACAATGGGCGTAAAGGTCGCAAAGAACTTGAGAGACTGTGGATCTCGGCCTAGCTCAGCAGCCTGCTCGCGAATTGCTTGAATCTTGGGCTTGAGCAGTTTGGGTGAGTGGGAAGATACGAAGATGCCTTCTGCATGAGTTGCCGCAAACGTCTGACCGGCTGATGAGGTGCCAGCTTGGAATAAGAATGGCGTACGTTGAGGCGAAGGGTCAACAATATGGCGAGTATCCAAGTCAAAGAACTTGCCATGATGGTGGATGGTCCTGATTTTGTCTGGGTCCGCATAGCTGTCTTTCGCTGGATCAGGGGAGATGGCATCGTCTGCCCAAGAGCCTTCCCAGAGTCTGACTTAAGATTAGTTTCAAGTCTTCTGAGAGCCATAGAGATTTGACATACTTGTATAGGACACGCAAGTACTCATCGGCCTGCTCATATCTCTCGTCATGTGCAATAGGACTGTCCAGGCCAATAGCTTTGAAAGCCGCTTTCTTCCAACTGGTGACAATGTTCCAGCCTTTCGAATGATTAGCCCCTCATGTATTATATTTTAACACTCAGTACTTACCAATTCTTCCTCTGGTGAAGTGGTCGAGTGATGAGAAGCGCTTTGCCAGGAGGAATGGTGGTTCAAAAGATGTTGAAGCAGTGATGGCAAAAGACAGGTTCTTCGTCACAGCTGCCATGGCACTGATGGGAATAGTTGGATCTGTCATGGGCCATTGAGCTGCACGGCGAATGCAGTTATCCAATTTTCCCTCATAAGTGTCATAACCGCCGTAGGTATCTGCCAGGAAGAGCGCATTGATACCTCCCTTCTCAAGCAGCTTAGCCAAGTCGATCCAGTATTGAAGATCGCGCTTAGTGGCTGACTTGTCTACTGGATTCTGTTTGTGTTCAGCATCAATTCTGTACAAAGAGTTGGTGGCACTAACCTTCCATTGACCTGGCGATAAGTGCCCAATCGTTGACATGTCAAAGGCATTGATGATGATTTTCTTCTTGGCATCATTGTTGCTGTTGTCGGTGGCACTCCCGTTCGTTTTTGGGTTGTGCGCCATGATGGTTACAAAAGAAATAAGCAAGTTCAAAATTACAGATTGTTTGCAAATGCTTAGGAGATGGAAGATTTGCAATGGCTGTCAGTTGATCTGTATCAATGCCAGCCTATTCCAAGTCCGAATCGCTTCGATATTTATGTTAACGAAACCCCGCAAGGCCAATCACGCCTTCGTATCTTTGATGCCACTTAAGATACGAATGATCACGTCTTCGGCAATAGCAGGATCTAGATTGAACGATAACTTGCTGAGACTCTTGCGTGATCCCGATAACGGATGTCACAATCATTGTGAGACCCCGCGCCTTCAACGGACTCCAGATTAATTACCGTATGTTGAGGACACAAGCTGTAAGTAAGGGAACAATAAAAAGCATCAATACTTGTTATCTTTTTAAAAGCATAAAGCTATGTATCTATAGCTGTACTGCGACACACATCAACACCATCCCAGATGTCAGCTTGACTTGTTTCTCCTAGCACTCGAGAAAGCCAAGGTCAGTTACGCAATACGACAAGAGATAAGGCAACGGCTTGAACAATTCAATTTGTTTAACATAATTCATGACACATAAGTGAATGTGAGGTATTCTATTAGTAATACATATAACCGCTTTCGATGAAACGGTATGAATCAAAGAAGGTATCAGGTCAGCGCTCGCCAGAAATGTCCACCAAGTCCCTTCTCAACTGCCCCAGGCAGATATTCGATTCAGGAGTGTCCTCTTGGTACAATCTTTGGTTCTTTAGTAAGCCTTCTGGCCGACGACATTGCCGGGACCGGAATATCGAGCAACAGTGTACCAAGCACCTTTGGAATCCTTGGCGGCACCAATACCGATCTTTGTTGACGTCTTCCAGACACATTGGGCTGACAAACAGTTAGCTACGTATAGTGAGGTGAGGCGGGTTAATTATCTTACTGTAATGGCCATACATTGAGAAGTTACCCTTGGGGATAGTCTCTCTTTTGTAGTACTTCTGCTCGTTGAGCCTAAGCCCTGTTGTCAGTTGTGTATCATGCTAAGAGAGAGTTGACGTACCAGCCCTGAGTACCAGCAGTGATGGGGTTCTTGAATCCATTGCTTGCCCAGGCATATGCAAGATTCTCGCCCTGGTTGGGGCGGTCCTTTCCTGCAGAGTGCTGTAGCTTACCAGCCTTGGCCAACTTCTTTGCGTAAGCTGTAGCAGCTGACTCGAGCTCGGAATCCCACACGAGAGCCTTGACTTTGACCTTGGAGCGAGCGGCGTTATGACGGCTCAGAGCCTCCTTCTTATCGGAAGACAATGCCCTAGGGAAGAGTCTTGCAAAGATGCCGCGCTTCTCTTCAGTATCGTCTACCTCTGTATCCTCACTCTCACTATCGGGATAATAGATGACGGGATCAAGGCCCAGTCGAGTAACGTCAATGTTAGCCTCTAGGACACGAGGCTTGTTGTAGTCACTGGGGACCTTGTAGTCATTCTCAGCGCTGACTTCGGCCTTTGCGGAAACACCATCAGAGTCTCCGCTCTCGTCTTGAAGACCAAAGCCATTGACAGAGAGTTCAGTGTCCAGGAGTTTGTTGGAAGGTGCTGCAATCACCGTTGAGAGAAACGATGAAGCAAGTAGAAGGGAAGAGTGGAGGTAAAGAGTTGACAAATGCATTTTGCCTGGTAGTTGAAGATTCTTGGTGTAAGATTATGTGTTTCTGTGCGTGATGGTTGGAAATATGTTTCAAGAATGCCTGATCCTTGGTCCTTATATAAACTTCAAAAAGCTTCTTGTATGATGATCCAGTCACCTAAAGATGGGAACTTATCTGACGTCGATGAGTGGCGGGGATGGGACTGAGTTGCGGATAGATCACAATCCGTGAGATCGGCGACCCTGAAGACCCTTACTTATGATGCTAAACCTAACTTTAAGTACCCAGGGGCAAAAGCCAAATTTCTCTCCAGGTTTTGTGGAGGTGCCTTGCCGACGCCATCCTTCTGTTTTCGATGCTTGGGAGTTATGCATTTTAGTGGTTTGGCCCCTCGGTAGTTATGCTGGATCAAGATCGTGATGTCTCAGATGTTTGCGACTAGCGGTTCTCACAATCCCTTGTTAAAGCATTCAATAAGTGACATTTTCCGGCAAACAATGCAAGGGAGGGACAATGCAATTGTTTTCCATTACCAACGCTCTTCGGTACCTTTCTCTGGGAAATCTGAGGCAAATTGTTGCACTGATAGAGTTCGACTTGGCAGCGGAGAGGAATCCGCAGACCTGGAGAGCTGATGCTCATGAAATCATCACTCCAAGTTCCTGAGAATTCCACCAATAACATCATCTTGATCTGAGTTCCTGCCCATTTGACGGTATTCAATGGATGCAGAATGGAGGTGTCATCTGAATACGGTGATGGGCTTTGGCCGTTCTCGGAACATCTGCATTCCAACGACCGCGTCACCCTCAAACTCGGTCTAGTCTACAAGCGTTTCAAAATCTCAACGACCAAATAACGGGCGCGATGTGACATGTCTAAACTTAAAAGGCAGACCAAGCGAGCTGCGCATTCGTCATTCACATATGTGAGACATCCATTACATTGCTGTCCTTGGGCTGTGCAACCCACCGTGCCCGCCAACAAGGAATGCCACTCAAACCTTGGGCAACATAAAGTCGCCAGCTTTACCCAGGACGGAAGAGCTGAAGCCGTTGGTCTAAAGAGTCTTGACGCAGGGGAATTCCAGGTACGTGGAGCAGGTCTTATGACGGCAGTTGCAGATCCGTCTGATGCGTGCCGGTTCTGTCAGTTCAGGCTGAAATGGGACTCATCGAGAACGCGCGGTGAGTACCGGGTTATCACTGTCATTTTGGCGGAAGTTGCCAAGGGCAAACCATGCTTGTTAGGATGTTACGGTTTGCTCAAAGCATCAGTCGGACCAGTCATTCAGACAGTCAATAGTTGTCGAGAACAAGCTGTCAAGATGTAGCTTTTAATTATATGCATCGAAGGCTATGAACAGTCCGATTGCCAAAAAGTGGTATCGCATAATCGCCTCCAATGGTTAGATTTATTTGGGAAATTTAGATTTATTTGGGAAATAAATACGTCATGAAACATTAAGACTGGTTGTCTTGGCAGTCCTCTTGAGTATCTTCCATGACGTTGATCTATCCTGTTTGTCATGTTTGAAAGGAAGGGCAAAGTGGGATAAGGGGCAGAACTGTGAGGGAACTGAATGTTGATGATTGTGAACACTTACCCGATACGAGTTAACACGGGCTTATCTCGTCCGTCATTCGAGTCCATATTATGTCTTTATGTCTACACACTTTTGACACTCTGGGCGCTACTGGTCCTTAATGGCGCGTCTCTGAGGCACCTAACCTGTCATGCTGACTTCCATTTTGGTCTTGTTGCCGGAGATATTGCCAATAGTTCAGGTGGGATCCCTGTAGACAGTGCCGTTTTAGGCGGCTAGCAGCAAAACAGCTCGTCTCCATGTGTGATGGGTAGAATGGGCTAGTAATCAGTTCTGGGCCGGTTGATCATCAACGTATTTGTACGTACTCCGTATCTCGCTAGACACCTGGCGAGAGCACATGGTTTGTGAAGCCAAGTGATACTACTTGACGAATAGAATTCGATATAGAAATGTGAATAGACAAGGCTAAGCCATTTTGACGGGCGCCAACTTAACACTATTGATTTTATGCATGAATCAATAGACCCGGTGGGGACTAATAGATCCTGGCCAGCTGAGCCAACAAACATACAGGGGCATCGATACACGTCAAAACAAGGACCAGATCTTTCTTTGCTCCTGCTTATACCCAAGTTCAGAGCTAAAGTTTTGCAAAGGCAGCAACTGGTTTTCGAAGAACTTTCCGAACAGCTGCTTAGTATCACCATCATCAATACAGCCAACATTTCATCACCTTTTCCTGGCACACACCAAAAGCTCCTTTTGAACCAGTTCAGTCCACACCCAGCACCCAAAATCCGAAGAGTAACACATTCATCGACGATATGAATTCTGTTTTGCTAAGGAGAAGTCCGAGGCAAAGGAATGCTTTCACAGTGGTAAAGACTTTTGATGACAAGAACAGCCCTCCGGAGGATTCACCTATCTTTACCTTCAAGCCTATCAAACCTGCTACAGATATTGAAGAAGAGAACGAAAGAGCAAATGAGGAACAGTGGAGTGAGGAGGAGGTAGACGTGGCGGTACAAAACGACATGGAGCTCGATGAGGAAGGAGAGACAGAAGAAGAGGTCATAGAACCGATGGAAGAGGAAGAAAATGACCAGATCGAGGACGAAAATGAGAGATGCGAGGGGCAAGGGGGAAAAAAATACGCACCGGAATACGTGAACCCTTACTATACGAAGATTCCCAGTACTGACATTGACATGTTTGAACGAACAAGTAAGATGGACAAGTTTGACGGGCCGAAGAGCGTTATAAACGATCCCATGCAGGAGATGTTGCAGCAAGGCGGTTATCTGTCCTTGAAATTCCTCCTAGATCTAGCCATGAACCAAGTTGACTGGCAGATATTAAGGTTAGTATATCGTTCCGAAACCAGGCAGCATCCTACTGACAAGTTTACTTCTCAATAGGCGAAGATCGCTTGCCAAGTTCAAATATGAGAGTAATGACAAGAGAGAGCAAGAAGAAAAAACATTGAAAGACATGGACTTCCTCGGCCTCACTGAAGAGCCCGGGCCTGACCTGAAAGTCGAAATCTATACGGAGGACGAGAAAAGAATGTAAAAGATTGAAGACGAAGAGCCGAAAGTCCAGGAGGAGGTGGAGGTGGAGGTGGAGGTGGAGGTGGAGGAAACAGATGGTATGTCGGAGGAAAAGAATAAGCCTCGTCCAGCCATCTGGATCCCGATGCGCCGACAAACAGGTGAATTGGTTTGGATGGGGTTTAAGGCCGGAAACCTCAAGAGATGGAAGGGCACCAATGCAGAACGAGTTAAGCAGCTCGCAGCCATCAAACGTATCTTTGCTAGATTCTGGATAAAGATGTTCAGAGGCCCCGATGCTGAATATGTGGCTGGCTTTCGAGCCCGTTACTCGACAGATGTCTTCGATTTCCCTCTTATCGTTGTACCTGGAGAGTCAATCAGCACTCTTGGCGCCAAAGGGTATGCTACAAAACTTCTCAGTGACACCGTCGACGCGATAAATGAGAAGCACCGCAAGATTCCAGAAATGGGCCGAAAACCTATCAAGACTACGATCAACAAAAAGACCAGCAAGCAGTCTGAAATCAAGACGCAGAAATTCAGCAAGAAACAACCTGGAGTCACAATACCAAAGCCACCCCAACACTAGGCTAACATGGAGCTCCAGTTCAGAGCTAGGAAAGATGTCGATAACCACAAATATGTGAAGGTATGTCCTATTCATCCTCTCAAGGCACTTGGTGCTGTCTTGCTTCGTCTTTTGTGATTACAATAACATCTAACGTTCACTGCGTCAACTTCAAGATAGGAGACAACCCCTTGGGGCTCTACTCAACTTATATAAGGAAGGAAGACTTCCATACATATATGAAGAGTTTAGAAAAGCCCAGAGTGGAGCTTCGCAAGCGTCTCAAGGCTATGGATGCCGCACGCTCGATTCCCTCTGAAGAAGCGTACCAGAAGCTGATCGAAGCAAACGCCAATGGTGATATTATTGAACTCGAACAGCTCTCTGACAGTCAGAAAAAAGGCCAGAAAACGGTGTTGGACGCGGGTTCTATGACTACTCTGAGCAGTAAAGTCTCTTCTCTCAAGATTATCAACGCCATAGGTAATAGGACGACAAAGAATGCCCCCGGGAAAATAATGGGGATGTCTGCATCTCAGGTAAGAACTCTCTTATCATTGAAGAATTCTTTTAATCTCTGTGATCCAATAGTGTGCCCATGATAATCTGGGTTGGGCAAAATTGCAAACCAGCAAAGAGGATAAATCGAAGGGCATGATGCTGCGTAATGGATTGTATATGGCCGAGGTAAGACGAACCAGACAGCGATACCAACACACACTGACATAATAACTAGTGGCTCCATCTCTCTGCGTTTTCCTGGGGCGGCCTTCTCGAGCCTCCAGTCTATGGCAAGATTAACCCCCAGCAACACGACTCAAGCGACATACCGGAGAATCTGGTTCTTGGAACATCTGAAACGAATTCCCAAATGACAAGGTGAGTGAACCAGTAACATATCAACGCCCCAGGAGCACGAGCTCAGTTTAAGTCCACATGGAGCTGATGATGAAATAGATTTGAAAAGGCCTGGCAGGCTTTGATCAAAGATGAGACACTTCTGAGAAAGGACAATACTTACTCGGCTGTTCTCGAAATCGTACGTAATCCGACATCAGAGAAGGACATACTCCAAGATGGGAAGGCAGCTAAGTACACTCGACACTCGGTGTCCCTTGGAGACTCTCATGATCGCCTGGCCAAAGATTTCAAGTTCATCGCATACTCCGTTGAGTACTCCCTCGATTTCCCATCCGGATGCCGCCTATTGGGGAAGAAAGAGGACACGAGACTGTCCACTATCTTTTACCCTTTTTCGCGACCTCTGTATCACAAGCTAGAAGCTGAACTGGACACTTTATTGTACAACCATCTGAAAGTGGTCTCTGGCCTTATCAAGCCTCCACAAGCAATCCAACCTGGTGTCACAGGAACCCACGGATCACTCGGCAATACCGTTGCCTACAACACGTATAACGACGACAATCTATTCGGGCCAGCAACATTGGATATAGGATTTCTTGGTGTGCTCCAGATTTCGGACAAGCCACAGCTATTCAACAAAAAGGCGCACACTAGTGATAAAGTAAATTCAGTCAAGGACTGAAAGAAGGGTGTCAAGAAGTTGAAGAAGTAGGTCGATCAGCCTCAAAATGTATAGCTACAGTGGCATATGCACAACAAGATGTGCGTTCTCATGATTCATGAATCCTTGCCTGAGAGTTACTGAACTTGTGATGTGACATTAGACGTCAAATTTACTCAATTGAACAACAGTTACGAACACAGTACTTCCCATACTAACCCCGTAGGTCAAAATGCATCGGTGGCCGTTACCTTCAAGAAGCCCTTCAAAGCGCCTCCAAAGGTCCTTGTATGGTTCACAGAGATATCGCAGCCACACGGCTGGCGTAGTCTGTGGACATATGCCAACAAAGTCACTGAAACCGGTTTAACAGTGAACATTGAGACATGGTGCGAAAGACAGTTTGAGGCGGCCCGTGTAGCGTGGTTGGCTTGGCCAGAGGAGTAAGACGGTAAGACGATCCGATCAGGGCAGCACAATACCTTCACAAAAGAGCAACAAGTTAGTGAGTACCCATGGTATAAGGGATCTTTTAGCAAAGATCCCAAGGTGTTCACGGCTATCGACTGGATTGATATCCCAGATACTCAACCAACTGGGTCGATTGGTATATACGCAAAGCATGAGTGGGCAACCAAGGATAAACTGCGATGGCATGCAGGCGTAAGCGATAGCACGGATTGTATCAAGATCGGCATGTGCTGGCTTGGAGTAGAGTGATTGACTACTAAGCAGAGCATGCGATAAAAGAGGATATCAGAGGTATCTAGGTGTCGAATCTCATTTATCCACTGACTTTTAACCAAAGTTCCTTTACATCTTCTCATCATATGTTCTACGATCATATTTTACGGTAGCTTTGAAGCGAGAATGAATTGTAATTACTCTCCGACAGCATATGTATGCGGTGCTTGATAGTGAAGGACAGTGCGAAATTGCAAGGCAGCAACGGGTACTCGGTAGCGTGACAGATAAGATAAGAGATTATAGCACGATTCATCTCGGATCTTAGATAGTCCGAGGCGCACAAGGGCTTTTGAGACACTAGCCTAAAAGGTTCGCACTGTAGTGCGCTATCGTCAATCAGGTTCGTCTTCTTGCTGTAGGGTAATTATCAGTGATGCTCATGTAACATAATCGTCAAGAGATAAAGCGATTCATGCCTCAAAGCGCTCAATGCGCTCAATGATGACTTGGTTGCTTGTTTTGTCCCCTGAGCTTGTTGAATCAATTACATAAAATCTTTTCTCGCCATTGGTCTGGGTCTGAACGTAACTAATCGCTATTTCACATCTTCAAGTACGTGTGAGGGGCAAGCCATTTCTTTCACAATGTGTTATCCAGAACGGTCGCTTGCTCACAATAGCAATCGATTTTGAGGGAAACCCTCCAAATGCAGAAGATTGCGAAGAGCTTGCCATTATTACAATCAATGACGCTGGGTTTTCGGAATGATAACCTGGGTCCTTGCACCCGTCGCTTTCGTGGGGTAGCACTTTAATTGCTCGCATATGAACCAATCCTAGACACTTTAGTAAGTGATCACATGTCCAAAACCTCAAAAATGTTATCTCAATGCGAATATTTCTCAAGATCGAGATACACATTCCATTGAGGCTGAATCTCCCAGGTTCTAGGCTCTGAAAGAGTTTGGCTTAGGTGCTACACCTCCGCGGTGCAGCAGTGCTGCGTCGTCCACTGATGTGTCAATTAATGAATTAATGCCCTGTAGCGGCCACTGTTTTTCTTATCACGATACCGCCCTGCAGGTCGCTTCGCCGCCGGCCAGTGATCAACCGTTTCTTATTCCCTCGCTTGAATGTTTGCGCTGATACGGGCGCATTCGAGGCTGGGGTTCCTGGCCAATTACGTCCGTGCGTTCTTATCATTGCCCCCATGGGAAATTACTTATCGTGCAGCTGTACCGTTTGCTCTTATCTTGAGAGGCCCGCCGGCACTTGAAGTCTGAAGGCGGGTTTATTATCTTCGTACAGCGAACCCCAATCGAAGGGATTATGCACTGTTAACGAAGCCTAATCGGGGCAGAAATGCTTTCTCTTTTCGCTTTGGCCTATAGGCGCCACCAAATTTTATTAGTTAATACGATAATCAGAGGCACACATTGCAGATCATTAGCAAACTAGGTCTGGTGGGGGTGCATAATCTGATTGATGTGGGTGCACAATCCGGCATTGCATTATCTTAGGTTTCGTAAAACGGCTGCCATGGCTGGATATATAATAACGATGAAGATCTCAATAGAAATTGTTGTGGCAAATGCTCTCGTGATAGACTCTTGACTTCTAAACACCAACCTTACTGCAAATATATCACAATGGCTGGTGGTGGCGGTCGTTCATCCGGCACAGTCGAGCCTCCTCTGAGCCAGGCCTATGGCTATGGCATCGTTGTTGGCCTCGGCTTTCTTTTTGCCCTGGGCATGATCTTCACGACGTGGGTCCTGAAGCGGTATAACCATGAGAAGCAGACCTCGGAAATGTTTAACACCGCTGGCCGAACCGTCAAGTCTGGTCTTGTCGCTTCAGCTGTTGTTTCCAGCTGGACTTGGGCTGCTACCCTCCTTCAGTCATCCGGTGTTGCATACCGATATGGTGTTTCTGGACCATTTTGGGTGAGTTAATTGCTTGTGAATAATGAATTGCGACTAATGATCGCAAAGTACGCTTCTGGTGCTACCGTTCAGATCATTCTCTTCGCTACTATTGCCATTGAGCTGAAGAGAAGGGCCCCCAATGCGCATACCTTCCTTGAGGTTATCCGAGCTCGATATGGTCGCATTACTCACTGCGTCTACATCTGCTTCGGTCTTTTCACCAACATTCTCGTCACGGCTATGCTTTTGACTGGTGGCTCTGCCGTAGTCACTTCTCTCACTGGCATGCACACTGCAGCAGCATGCTTCCTGCTGCCTCTTGGTGTTGTTCTGTACACCATGTTTGGAGGGTAAGTTGAAAATAATTTCGATGAAGGAATAACCCTAACTCGCGGCTTAGCATCAAGGCCACTTTCCTGACAGATTATGTTCACACCGTCATTATTCTCGTCATCATCCTCATCTTTGCGCTCACTGCCTATGCGACCGGCAGTGAACTCGGATCCCCCAGCGAAGTCTACGATGCGCTAACCAAGGCCGCTAAGACTCATCCTGTTGATGGCAATGCTGAAGGTTCATACCTCACCATGCGATCTCGCGAGGGCATCATCTTCTTCGTGATCAACATTGTTGGCAACTTCGGTACCGTCTTCCTGGATAACGGTTACTACAACAAGGCCATTGCCGCTCACCCCGTCTCTGCCCTTCCTGGATACATCATTGGCGGCCTTTCATGGTTCGCCATTCCTTGGCTCTGTGCGACTACCATGGGACTCAGTGCTTTGGCCCTCGAGACCAACCCCGCCTTCCCTACGTACCCCAACCGCATGGACCCTGCTGATGTCTCGGCCGGTCTTGTTCTGCCGTACGCTGCAGTTGGATTGTTGGGCAAGACTGGTGCTATCATCACTTTGATCATGATCTTCATGGCTGTTACTTCTGCGACATCTGCTCAGCTCATTGCTGTTTCCTCCATCTTCACCTATGATGTTTACCAGTGAGTTTTCCTTGTACGAAAATTTAGACCTCATGCTAATGTTACCTCAGGACCTACATCAACCCCCAAGCTTCCGGCAGCCGACTTATTGGTATCTCGCATACGACTGTCTGTCTCTACGGTGTCATCATGGCCAGTTTCAGTGTTGGCCTCCACTATGCTGGAATCAGCATGGGTTGGCTATATCTGTGGATGGGTGTCATGATCTCCGCAGCTGTCATCCCCGCTACTCTGACTCTTCTCTGGAAGCGCCAGAACTGGATTGCTGCCGCGGCATCTCCCGTCCTCGGTCTTTTCTGTGCGCTCATCGCTTGGACTGTCACCTGCGCCAAGGAGTTTGATGGTGTTCTCAGTGTCGATAACCTCGGTTCCAACAACCCTATGCTTGCTGGTAACGTCGTCGCTCTGTTGAGTCCTCTGATCTTCGTGCCGCTCTTCACATTCGGTTTCGGCTCGGACAGCTATGATTGGGCTTCTATGGCTGCTATCAAACAGGCTGACGACTCCAGCGACTCCAATGGTGACTCTGAGACTGCTATCGTGACCAGCTTCGCCGTTGCTCCTGAGGAGGACATGGCCAAGCTCAACAAGGCCTCAAAGATTGCCAAGACAATGACTGTCTGCATGACAGTCGCTCTCCTGGTTCTCTGGCCCATGCCCATGTATGGAACATCCTATGTCTTCTCCAAATCCTTCTTCACCGGCTGGGTTGTTGTTGGTATCCTCTGGCTGTGCTGCAGTTCCGTCGCTGTTGGTCTATTCCCCCTTTGGGAAGGCCGTAAAAGTCTTCTTCGTGTCTTCAAGGGTATGTTTGGAATGGGAGGACCAGAAATTACGGAAGAGATGCAAGGAAAAGCAGTGCACGAGGAAAAGATTGATGAATTTGAAAAGCAGTAGTATACATGAGATTCAGTATGGTTTAGCTTATTTTGGAATACCATGATATTTATTAGTTGAGAAAGTGTTATAAGCAATGTCTTACGTCGCCTGAGTTTATGATCTTGATAAGTGGAGGCGTGATTTCCCTACAGCAAGCTGTGACTAGTTACTATATTGCCATAGCCAGACGCTGGTCTTTTACAGAGGGTTTCCCCGACTACTATTTCAGGTGAACCTTGCGTCTACTTTCTACATCATTGAAATTGACATGGTGTCTCAGATGGCTAAAGGAGCTGATGAGGGCACTATCGCTACCATTCGTAAGTTATTCAAAGAAGGTGAGCCTTGAGATAGACTCTGGCTATAAGCTTTGGGATGGTACTATCTACTTTCCAGGTTACTATAACAGGGTTCGCCGCAAGGGGGTATCAATCTATCATTCGGGAAATACTTGCGAGAAGTACTGTGCTATACTAAGAGAGTAGAAGCCTCTGAAATAGATATCGCTTGCTAAAGGAGTGTTTTCCTAACCCTTACCCATCCTCTGAAGAGATTGGGCCTTGGCCGATACTAGCGACAAGATCACAGCGTGATCGACTGCTCTCGGAAATACTTCCCCTCAGTTTCGGAACTCCTAATCGGAATGATCCAGATATCGTATGGAACATAGCCGCAGTCGGGGCCAAGTCCATCCAAATCATTTTTGATTAGGCCTCGGAAGCGGACCTTCATATCCTGAAATGCAACGTCGTCGTTTTTATGGACTTTATCATCCCAACTCCTACCTTCGCGCTGAACAACGAATCGTACAGCGTCAATATCGTTGAAGCCATGCATATATTGAAACTCCGACATTGGCATGGGGCCGAATCTGTCGTAATTCTCCCATAGTGTGAGGTTTCCGGGTGTCTTTTCGACACTGTATTTAATACCGTATCTTGGCCTTCTAGTGGTAGCCTCTGGTGTTTGATATGTGGCTTGCGGGAGAGGAGGTGGAGGCATAGCACTAGTCGCCTGGTTTGCCTCTTGTACAGGGGTTATGTCTTCAGTAGCCAACTGAGTCTTGTCAAATGACATTGGCTCTGAAGTTGCGCGAGGGTTCTGCGAGGTTCCGACATGAGAAGCTCCAGGAACCTCTGTTCCAAGCTCTGGACTGAGACGGGATCCCGGATCACTCTGTCGACTAGGAGGCGGCGACAAGGATTGGGAATCATCTTCCGTGTCAAAGGTTGGTGTTTCAACAAAATTAAGGCGTTGGACCGGTCGACAGCTGCGGCCTGATGAAGTGTATTTCTCAGTAAAACCATCTATGGCCTGAAAGATTGTTCCCGCCACGGTGGTGGTCTCTAGGCGTTGAGCCATCTGAGCAACAGGTGCAGTTGCTCCAGAAGAGATTGCAGTGTGGCTCGGAGTATTTATGGCAGTTGTGGAGGCCTGAGGTGGCGGTGTTGTGTTCCTCATGTTGCTTGCCGATGAAGTCTGGTTCAGTCAGTTGATAACCCTTTGTGCATCGTGTCTGGTGTAAGGGTGTGGTGCTAACATAGAGAAAACTACCTACTTGGTTATCTAGTCCCATAGGGCGTGGACGAATATGGTCTATATCTGGAAGGTCATCATCCGAATCGACTTCGTTCCATGGGTCTGTGTCCATTTCCTCGCTTGGAACTGAAGGTGACACGGCGTTACTGACAGCAAATATGTCAGCTAGAGTGTAGAATTTGAAAGCTCACAATACCTTTGTCCAAGTGTTTGGGATCTCTGCCTCTCGTGGCGTGCAACTGGTTTCTTCTTGGATGGTGAATTAAGGCCCTTTTGGTGTTCTTGCTGGTTGTGACGAAAAAAGAGTTGGGCAAGCAGTTTGACGATTCTAATACTTGGTCAGTAACGTATTTACGCAATTGTTTGGGAGTCCTACTTTTGATCATCCTGTGGCCAGATCAGTGAGTCCCCAGAAGAAGAGCACTCGCTTGCGGGCCAAAATTGCTTTCCTCGACCTTCAATGATTGCAAATCCTTTCGCCATGTACTCGAGGTCAACTCTCTGTCTCGCATCGGACCATTTGATCAGGGAAACCCCAGGCACCCCATCACTGGTCTTATAGCCCTCAATGAACTTCTTATAAGTCTGCACGAAGAATCGACTGGAGGGATCGGACCGCGGATAACCTAATGCGATTTGGAGAGGGGTTATTTTTGGAATATCACCAATCTTCTCCTTGCTCATAGCTGATAGTGACTATCGAAGAATAATGTGAGTCGAAAAAAGAAAAGTTTGCTTGGAGTTGAGAACCGGTTGTACACTAAAAATCGATTAATAGGTCAAGACACTAGAGGAATAGAAATGCGTTTCCGTGAGGGGAGGCCTCTGCCTGATGTATGGTCCAGTCTGCCTCAGCTGAACACCCCGGCCAAGTCGAAACCTGCGGAGAAACGTACATGAACCTTAAGCGCTCTCAGAAAACCTCTAGGCCTCTGAAGTTGGCCCTTCAGCCTCGCGACAATGAGAGTTATCGAAACGAACAGATGTACATATTTCTGGACTTTAGGTTTTGCGAGCGTTTGTAATCTCAATTTTGTCGCATTGAAATCCAGGTTTTATCAACCAAGATATTTGCGCCAAGAATTGGATAACAGAATGAATTAATCCGCATCGAGAAGTTGTGTTGGTTCAGAACCAACAGCTCTTGAGAATGAGGGTGTACCGACTGCATGAGCTCGAGCCAATAAAAAGAGTGGTTTTTGGGCAAAGAGAGGCGGTGATCCATAAATAGCACAATCTCTCCCTTTTCTGGTATTTTTTCCATTTTATCTGTTTCACTTTCGTCGTCTTTGGATTTTACGATTGATTCTGAAGCAATTGCTGCCTTTGATGTGTTGTCGCTGCGGCGCAGCCATTACTTGCGTGGGCCAGGCCTGATCAAATCTGCCTTACCAGAACCATGATCTACACCGAATTGCGAATCGAGAAATTGAAAACGCTTCAGAAGAAGTAATTAAGTATCCATAAATGTATTCTTTGGATTTCTTGTTCATTTCTTACTTGTTTCTGGAGGCAAATCGGTGTTGTCAACTTGTCATTGGCTAATGCTCCCTCATTAAGGAGTGTTGGCTCATATGACTCTAGCAGAATTGTTATCCGAGATTGGCATGTCTGGTATCTCGGTTAACTGGCTACTGCCCTTTGTCTTATGGACCCTTGACAAGACAGACAGAATACAGTGAGTATCTGGTCCCTCAGCAGTCATCTCTTATTTGCAACCAGACTCCATGAATGTTTCTAGAACTTCTACTGTACTAGAACAGAGTCTCCGCTACGCCACCCGTGTCTGTCAATCGTAGTCAGATAAACCCAATCGTGAGCTAGTTCGCTAGTGTGCTTAATTGATCCACAAACTGCCAGCATTGGAGGATTACACACACACATGCCTAAGCTCCATCATGAGCTATGACAATCGTTCAGACTTTTACTGGTTACACTTTTCCAACGCTGCACAAAAACGTGTCGCGTATTCTATCTTTTGATTCTGGTTTCTCAAGGACATGTACTGCTCGAGCACGCGATAAATGATGAAAAAAGCCATGATGTTGCCGACATCAGTCCGTCAATGACTCAGGCAGCCCATTCCCTGTAAGAGCGGGGAAACGTTAAGCTTGATTACCCAAAAGTCAAGCTTATTATCCCACGTCCACGAGAGTCGTTACGCAAGAATCTCTACCCATCAAACCCCATCAGGCAGGTGAATAAACACGCCGATCCCTCCCCGCAGCAAAGCCAAGTAGCCAAGCCAGCTCAGCCATTGGCCAAACCTGGGGAGCTTCCCAAGAGGGTTACAACGGCAAGGCATGACGACATTCGCGAGAGCTATCCCGAGCTCAGGATCGTAAGCTTACCGACTGGGAAGGGAAGTTCATCCATCATGATAAGAGCTTTGGCAAATCAAAGGCGAGCTTGGCCCGAGATGCGATCCTGTTTGTTGGGAATACCAAGGACCTAAGTGTTGTTTATGCAATGGTTCCATTCCAAGGTAACATGACACTGCAGAATGGGGTTGGTCATGCTTGCGAGAGTTGCATTTATATCCGAAGCTTCCCATTGCTCCGCGACTACTTCCCCTCCCAGGCCAAATGTTGAGAAGTCCAATTGTCATTGAACCTTCGATATGCATTTCCGACAGCTCTCGACAGTCGCGGCTTTCGCTGCTGGCGTATCTGCTTGCCAGCGTGATCTCGTTCTGGGCAAGCGACATACGCATCGCCAGCCACTGACCAAGCGCAATGCCGATTGGCCTCCAGTCTTGACAGAGCAAGAAACTCTTCTTGTCAATTCCTTTGATAATTCATCCATTGACAAGTGGTCTGACTACTACGGCCACCAGAATAAGTTGGCCGGCTACGGAAAAGAAGCTGCCCAGTGGACCGCCGATCGTTGGTCCGAGAGCGGATTCGATGCGCATCTGGCGGAGTACCATGTGTTCCTCCGATATCCAGTCAGTTCATCTCTCTACTTCACCGGCCCCAACGGTACAACCACCGAGGTGAACACCAAGGAGGAGGTGCTTGAGGAAGATGATGTTACAGGCTGGGATGTGCTTTCACAGCAGACCTGGTTGGCGTACTCGCCGACTGGAAATGCTTCTGCCGAATATGTCTACGCGGGGTAAGTCAAATTGCAAAGGTATTCGGATGCTGGCCACTGACCTTTGAACGCTAGGCGAGGATCAATTGATGACTTCGATCGAATCGTCGAGCTTGGCGTAGATATTAAGGGCAAGATTGCTCTTATCAAATATGGTGGCTTGTTCCGCGGTCTCAAGGTCAAGAATGCTCAAGACCATGGCGCCATTGGTGCCATTATATTTACCGACCCTGGTGATGATGGAAACATTACGGTAGCCAACGGTTACGAGGCCTATCCTGGTAAGACTTCTCATATGACAGCTATGGAAAGCTCGTGCTAAGCAAATATCAGATGGTCCTGCTAGAAGTCCCAGCTCTGTCCAAAAGGGCTCAACACTATTCCTGTCTACTCGTACTGGCGACCCCACGACTCCTGGCTACCCATCCAAGAAGGACTCGCCTCGAGCTGACATCTCCGAGGTCATTGCCAAGATTCCAGCCCTGCCAATTTCTTACTCGGCCGCTCAGCCTCTGCTACAGGCTCTCAATGGCCATGGTGTCACCGCTGAGAAGGTCAACCGCACTGCTTGGACAGGCGGTCTCGATGCTGACTACAGCTCTGGTCCTGCACCTGGCGTGAAGCTCGCTCTCAGCACCGTCTCTCGTGATTCTATTGAGCCAGTACACAATGTCATTGGTGTTATTAACGGAACCAATGCCGATGAGACTATAATTATTGGAAACCATAGAGATACATGGATGGTCGTAAGTAGAACGCCTAGCAAACAATCACAAAGTTCATCACTGACTGACTATTTAGGGCGGTAATGGAGACCCCAACTCTGGTTCTTCGATCCTCATCGAGCTTGCTCGCGCATTCAAGAAGCTCACTGATTCAGGCTGGAAACCGAAGCGAAACATTGTTCTCGCGTCTTGGGATGCAGAAGAATGGGGCATCATTGGCTCTACAGAGTGGGTTGAGGAGCATGTCAACTGGCTCACTGACACAGCTGTCTCATATCTGAATATCGATGTTGCCGTCAGCGGTCCTCGACCTAACCTTGGTGCTTCACCCGAGCTTCATACCTTTGCTACCGAGGTTCTCAAGAAGGTCGTTGATCCCAACTTTGGTGGCTTCAACCAGTCGCTCTATGACGCTTGGCATGCTGCCAGCGAGGGTGACATCGAGATCCTCGGCTCTGGCTCTGATTACACTGCTTTCTTCCACCGCGGTATCAGCTCTCTTGATACTGGAAGTAGTGGAGGTGCCGGCGATCCCATCTGGCACTATCACTCAAACTACGACACATATCATTGGATGTCAACCTTTGGTGATCCTGGATTCCACGTCCATACCGCTCAAGGCCAATACCTTTCCCTGCTGGCTTACCACTTGGCCACTGATGATATTCTTCCTTTTGACACTCAAAATTACGCCAAGGAGCTTCGTGCATACTTTGAGGACCTCTCAGAGTATGCTGAGAGCAAGGATGCCGGTCTTGATCTCAGCGAGCTTGACGAAGCCATTGAGCACTTCAAGAAGAGTGCTGATGAAGTGAAGGCTCTTGAGAACCTTGCACGTGAGCGCGACGATGATGTCCTCAAGAAGGTCGTTAACCATAAGTACCGCGACTTCCAGCGTGGTTTCATTTCTCAAGGAGGCCTGCCTGACCGTGACTTCTACAAGCATGTTGTCAATGCCCCTGGTCTCGACACTGGCTATGCCGCTGTCACTTTCCCTGGTATCACCGAGGGTGTCCAGTATGCTGAGGACGGTGACTTTTCCTTGGCTCAAGAATGGGTCAAGAAGACAGCTCGTGGTATTGTTGTTGCCGCGAACATCTTGAAGACATAGAGGGAGTTTGGAAAGAGTTCGAACAGGAAAGGCTTCGCTTCACTTCAATCATTTATGAACGTTATGATCTCATGGTTATGATAATTATGGTACTTGCATAGCATTCACAGGTGTTTTGGCTGATGCCAGTTTGGGGGTTTGCTGAGTGGAGTTACCTGGGCACAGTAACAAGGGGATAGGAAATTATAGTCAATCAAACAAATGTGAAGATTGAAAGATATCCTTAAAAAGAATCATGTCAACTGCACTGTTGTATGAAGCTTGATCATTGCTGAAATCTATTTGCACAAAAAGTTTAGACAGGCCTCATGAGTCATCAACGTCGATGCAATGTTCAATATGATTCAGGAAAGCGTATTATTGTATCTACGCAGTACTTACACAGGTTACTTAAAGTCACTGGGAATCAGATCTCTTCTTGAGGCGCCCCTGCGCCGACAGCCGTTCATAGGCGCCAAGATCGAGAGGCTGTCGAGTCTCCAGCCTGATGGCATACGAATCCGCGAGATATGAGTTCACTATTCACATGGACAAAATAATCCACGTAAAATTGCAATATTCTCCAACTTGTTTAGTCGCATTGTAATGAGAACTCGACGGTCAACTACTCAAGTGAGTCTTTCTAGTCGTTGGCTGGTTGGGTTCTATAGCCTTCCGCAGCCCAACACATTCTTCTCATTTCCAATATTTTCTCTGATCTTATCAAGCCGCCGATAAAACGTGCACAACTGCCGACAGATGTGTAATTGACG